GAAAAACCATGCAACCCTTAAGAGCGTGATGTTCGCCTTAAGTGAACTTACAATTACTAATGACAAGAAGCCCTCCTCAATTTCAGGGTGATGTTCCAACAGAAATTGCATCAAATTACTTGTCTACATATCCTAATGGTGATCAGTCATTAAAATAGATAGATAGTTTTAAACACAGTGATTAATAATTCAAAGCAAACATGCATCCATTCATAAGCAAATGAATAAAACTACATATTCATGCTAAGGCTTACGGCCTCGCCCTAGCAAAAGGAATTAGTTACACATAATCATAATTGAAATCCAAGAAAATATCATTTGAATTAATAAGAATGAAAACACCTGAAAGTAGCGAAAATCCAAAACCCTAGCAATTGCTCCCAAAGCCAAAAGGAAGTCAAAAAGGAGATCCCAAAATTGTTGTGAAAAGGAGCTTAAATACCTCCTAAGACCTAGCTACCCAATCCCCACAAGGAAACTAAGTTAAAATAAAGTAATATTAGGAGATGAAATCCAAGTTGGATTAGGAGAATCTGCCCATAATCTGGTCAGCCACGTTTTGGCCTCAAATCTCCTTCAAATCTGGCCCAAGATAGCTTATTTTAAAGATAAAAATATTCTGAACACTTCTCCAGAAGGTCACAAACCGATCCGAGGTCATCTTGGGCTCCAAAAACGCAATGAAAGCCTAAAACGTCACTATTTCAGCACCGCGCACTGCTCTTTTATTTTATCGCCAGAAAATAATCGCTTGGTATAAATGTCTGAAATTTTGATACAATTAAGCCAAGTGACTCACGAACGTCCTCTAACTAGAATTACTCCAAAATTCGTCCATTTGATTATGTTTTGCTTCAGAGGAAGTCGAAAGTCCTATATTGGAAATATAATTCAAAGTATCAAAATTCTTCCAAAGTATTAACCAAAATATACTAAGAATTGAGTTAAATATATAATACAAAATTGACTCATTACTACCCCAAAAAAATTTCAAGTTATCCCACAAATACTATGGCCCATATCAAGATGAAGCTCGCATTGGCAAAACTACTTATCGCCTCCGTTTGCCACCTTCTACAAAAATTCACCATGTCTTCCATGTACACTCTTAAAGCTCAAATTGGGTCAGCACATTCTTCCCTCTCCTGACCTTCGGACTTAGATTGCCAGCAACGAATTCCAATGACTGCCCGAAGCAGTCATTGATTGTCGCCTCCTCAAACATAACAATTCTCCAGTTGTTTAATGGCTTATCAAATGAGTTGGTATGCCCAAAGCCGATGCCACCTGGGAAGTAGCAGATGATATCCTTGCTCGCTTTCCTTCATTTGTCGCCTAGGACATGAAAACTACTCGCCTAGTCACTGCCCATTGCTGTTAAGCTTTACTCAAAGGCTACTTTAGCCATTCTATCCTTATGGATTAGCTGTTTACCTTTTCTTACGTGGCAGCTTACGATCTGGCCCTAAAAAACTTTCGTATAAATTGCTACAGCATCAATAAGAAAGCAGGATATAGAACTTTGTCTGTTTCTTATTTGTCTTTTTCCATTTCCTTTGTTTTCAATATTCTGTACTAGTACTTATCAATACATAGGCTTAGCTAAATTGGTTAAAGTAGATGTACTCTCCACTTTGAACCCGAGTTCAAATTTATCTTCCTGTAGGTTAGATTAGATTAAAGTACAATATTGCATATATTTATATATATTAAAGGACTTCTATGGAGGGGTGGTAACCTAATTAACCCTAACCTAACATCAAGGAATAATAAACACACTTAATTACCTATCCTAAAAAGCCTGTACTACTCTCTATTGTAATTGGGGATTACATTAATGCCCCCCTTAAGCATGAGGTCGGTTGTAGGTCATCACTTTCACTTGGGTGCTTACTTGATTGGTAGGTTTGCAGCATATAATTTAAAAGAAGTTGGGCATGCTCTGGGGTCATGGAAGTACAATAAGCTTAATCATAAAAGTGGGTATCATATTCTAGTAGGCTAATTAAGATCTGTTGACAGTTGGATGATATATAGAATCATAGATTTATAGATTCTATAAAAGCAGACCTAATCTCGAATTATTCATGCCAAACACCTATATATATATATATATATATATACACGGTCACTTTTTATTCAGGGATCCCTCAAATAATTTTATTTGAGGAACGCCCTTTAGGGTACCGTACATATGTTTTTTCAACGATCCAGACCATCTATATTTTAGGTATGCATTCGTAGATCATTTTTTGCAAAAAATTAGACAAATCAGAAACTGTCTAAACATCTAATTGTGTCATACAAAATCGATGAACACAGTGCTTCAAAAAATTACTAAAATTTCAATAATTTAATTGAATGGTCAAATGATATCAGATTCAAGTGATTTTTTTTATAGAAATGATCTTTGAATGAATATATACAAAATAGACAGTTTTGTTTAGTGAAATACAATGCGGAATAGACCCTACAAGAGTGTCCCTCAAATAAGGAGGCCCTAGAAGAATGTCCCTCAAATAAACTTACTTAAGGAATCCCTCAATAAAAGCTATATATATATATGTATATAATGTTTTATACTTTGATTAATTGCGCCAATTAGCTAAATAGTACGATGTTCGTTGTCTTTTGTCGATGTTCGTTGCCGTGAAAGAATTAAAACCCATAACTACGTATATTGGTGGACAAAATTGCTATAACCCACATTTTCCACATCCTACGTGAAAGAGGAGGGAAATAAAGGAGTGAGTGACCACCATTTAATCAATGGTCACACGGCCAAAATGGTTGAAAGGTCAACTTTTTCTTTTTAATTATAGTGTTCATTTTTGAATCTAACAAATAAAAACCAAATAAATAAATAAATATATATATATGTCTATATGTAAATATGTGCGAGGAGAGTGGAACCAAGGCTTTTTTTAAGTGTTGTTCATCAACCCTAGCTTTTTATATAATTTCAAAAAAACAAAACAAAACAAAGCAATATTCACAATTAATATGCGGGAGATTGTTCAAAATCTCATGTAAAGGAAGCAGCACACTACCTTAACCAATTGGCCTAACTTATATTCATCCGCTCTAGTTGGAACATGGAAAGTTAGCTAGCTAGTGTGTTTAATTAATTGGCCTAAGTTTATCAACTATGCTAAAAGCTTTTGATGAATTAATTCAGTTACTTTCTTGGACAGGAGAGGCTGTGGTGATGTAGTGACCACCACCAACCGTAATATATATATAACCTTAAATAAAAACTCAGCCCGCCATCGTTAGCTTGTGACTTTCCTCGAGACTTTCCTTTCGTTGCCAGAGGGAGAATATATTGATTCAAACCCACGTGTCCATTGAGATTTCGCTCTCGTATTTTTCTTTCTCTTGTAGTCTTGGTACACATGAAAAGTAAACAATAATAATGTTAGGAAGACTACAATTTTAGAGCATATAAGTGATCTCACAAACCACACATTATTTGTCAATTCAATCAGATGAAAACAAATTTATGCTTATCTCTACTAATTCTCATCAGTTTTCAACCGATATGAAGCTATCATTTTCTATCTGCTGCATTGGTCAAAACGAGTGGACGATAAATAGTAGGCCCTTTTTTTTTCTTTTCACACTTTCCACATTCATTGAATAATCACCCGCTAACTGTTGTTGGCCCAATGTGTACAGGACATATGTACCTTTTCTTGAACCAATAGCATTAGCATATATTGGTCAGTTTTCAACGTCCCGTATACTTTAAGATGAAGATCATCATGTTGTTGTGGCATCGAGATAATATGTTTTAAAGTTTCAGCATCAGCATGCATACATCTTCTCTCCTACACTGTCCAATTACAAAAGAAAGAAATTTCTAAGTACATGGCTTTTCCTCTACATCTTTAGGTTACTTCCTCGAAACCGAGTTTTTAGGCTAAATAGTTTCCCAACAAATATATCATATGTATCCGTGTATATCCAGCACGGTGTGTGGAGGATTTTGATCCTTTTGTTCCGGGGGGAATAGCCTCTCATCATATATATTGCAGCAGGAACGTTGGGTATATTGACGGGTCTATTCCATCTTAGTGTATATACATATTTACCTGTAAAATAGTATAAAATAGAGTATCTTAGGAAGTCTAGATTTTGACCAATAAATAAATAAATAATGTTAAGAAGTCTAGATGATTTGATCAAATCTATTTTGCACAAGGTTGTCTCATCACCAACTTCTGTATAAATTGTCTGACTTTTTCATTGCATGCAATATATAGAACATGTGGATATAATATTCAGATGCATCCATATATATATATATGGGGGCCATGATACCATTAGGCAAGGCACAATATGATACCAAAAGGATACTTAAAAAGGAGAAAAAGAATATTTGAGTCGCCAGAAAAAGAACTCAGAAGGAAGCAACGGATTCAAGAATAAGGAAAACACATGTTCAGACAGAATTGCATGGCCCTCAACTCGTGGGGGCACCTAGTTCAATTATTTAACCCGTGGATATATACATATATACACGTGAATAAGCTTAATTTATTTATAAAGTATTATTTGTTAAAAATAAATATAGGATTACACATACACACACGTAGTTCAAATTTCAAAGAAAAGTATACCCGTACGAAATCTGGGTTAAATTTGGTCAAAACCAACCAACTGATGAATTATATTATTAAAACGAATGCGATTATGCTAACAGGGATTACATTTCCACCCTTAATCATGAATTATCTTTGTGGAAATGACCATTTCTTTACAAGTATATATTATTGATACTTGCGTGCCGTTTACGACATCAAACATAGGACAAATTATTAAGAAGCTCCAAAGCTTAGCCATCGATGAGCCGCCTCACTGCCTTTAATAATTCCAATCAGAAAAGAAAAGTAGAAATCCCACCTTTTTATAAACCACACATAACTTAAACCAGTCCATATAAATTAATCAATCTTATCACTAACCTCTCTCTCTCTCTCTCTCTCTCTCTCTCTCTGATGGAAAATTACCAAACATTTTTTTCCTCGGCAGCAACACCACCAGCTTCTTCTTCCTTGTCATTGAACATGGGGAACCCTCATGGCGCTTACAGTACTACTGATCATCTTCAATTCCAAAATAACAAGTCACCACCAGCAGCAAATGGGTTCTTGGGGCTGATGTCAGATATGGAGGTTTCAAACAATATTAATTCTTCTCAGAGCAAAAGCTTTGTGGGGCCTGAAGGTGCTGTGAGGTTAGGGACGAAGAAGGGGGAGAAGAAGATAAGAAAACCCAGATATGCTTTTCAAACGAGGAGCCAAGTTGATATCCTCGATGATGGATATCGATGGAGGAAGTATGGTCAAAAAGCGGTGAAGAACAACAAGTTTCCAAGGTATGTGTAGCTCCTTATAGTTAGTTCTATGGCACCGATCTATAAGTCGACCGTGATCAATTATTTCATATAAATGCGTTACATCAAGCATTCTAGGCTTATTCGACCTCTGCATACAAAATATGTAAAACTTAGGTTATGCTTTTCCGAAAAATATGTAAAAAATACCTCTGCGAGCAGATATGCTCTCCACTCTGCACCCGAATTCAAATCTCCCTTCTCGTTATTTAGATTAGTTTAGAGTAGAATATAGCATGTATAAAAATAAAAAAAATAATAAAAATAAAAATCAGGCTTATTATTTCATGTTGAACTAATCATGGTTGCAAACCTGATTATACTTTTCTGTGGTGGCTGAAAATGCACACCAGTCACTCTTCTTTACGGAGACATCAATCTCACACTTGAAAACCTAAAAAATTTAGAACAATCGCTCAAGTAATGAAAGTTAAGCAGCTTATTAATATGGAGTTTTCATAGTCAAGCATGACATATTGGTCATGAGGTTGCCGAGCAACATTTGATATTTGTTGTAATTCAAAAGAAGTATAATTAACAAATTGAGATATTTATCAGGGGAAAGAGCTGGTCTGTCCTTGTATATCTGCTCCATTTTATAATATTCTAGTTCACATGTTTCTGATATATTAATTATGAAGTTCTACAATATACATGCAGCGAAATGGGATATTGGATTCTCAATGTGTACAATTATTAATATTCAAGCAGCATGGGAAGATTAATCGTTGACAGAATACTGATTCTTCAACTGCTCTAGAACTAGTGCAAGTTAATTAGATTAAATATATTAGTAGTTAGTACATTAATTCAAACATGCATAGAAAAAATATATATAATTTTTTGAATACAAACGATAGTCTAAATTACAAAGGTGCCGTAGGGGCAGTGGCGGAGCCAATGCATGCGAGCATGTGCCCCTCCTCAAATATTGTTGTATGAATATTTAGCTATAGTAATACTATACAAATATTATGAAATTCCTCTTAAATTCTTAAATTTCCCACTTTTTTTTGTTTTCTCTTTTATTATCGTGTCTAAATTTCTTTTGAGTTGCATAAATTTTGTTATTATAAATTAATATTAGATTATTTATACAAAAAGTAACAATAGAGAAAGTGAAAAGAGTTTCAATTTTTAAATGTGCCCCCTCTCACTTCAATTTCTGGCTCCATCACTGCATAGGGGTTCAAATCACGGGTCCGCAAATTAAGACCTTTTTTCGTAAGACCCTTTTCTAGTGCACTACATAGAAAATATATATAATTTAAGTTAATTATCTATGGTGACGTACGACCATGCATATTGAGTTAACTTGTGAGTTTGTTTATTATATACAGAAGCTACTACCGGTGCACGCATCAGGGGTGCAATGTGAAGAAGCAAGTTCAGAGGCTAACCAAAGATGAAGGCATTGTTGTGACAACTTATGAAGGCATGCACTCTCATCCCATCGAGAAATCAACCGATAACTTTGAGCATATTTTGAGCCAGATGCAAATCTACACTTCAATTTAATTATGCCCCTCAGAGACAATATTTTACATGTAAAACCTCTACTTTGTAAATTATTGTGTAGTTTTCGGAATTAATTAACAAAAATAAAATGTACTGCGGCAGGAATTGAGATTCTAGTCTATCTGTTGAATTGTTTTATTATTTTATATTTAATTTATCTATATTTCACACCATGTGATTATGTGTATGTAATATGCAGCATGGTGACGATATTATGTGTGTAATATATATAATTTTTTCTTGGGGAGTTTGACCAAGACTTGATTCTGGTGTAAAATAAAGAAAATGGCTTCTTTTTGCCACAAGTTAAAAGCTAGAATGCAGTGTGGAATTTGTTTCTTTCTCTTGTGAAACTGTATGAATTTTTAATAATCCAAAGCCTTTCATAGAAATATTATATATACGTTGCTACATTACATAGCCAAAACACTAATTAATTTGTCAACGGGTCTAGGCTAATAGAAAGAGTCTTGACTTGCAAACTAGAGGTCTCAGGTTACCTCCATGACATTTTAGTTGTATGTGTGAGAAATTCCCTCCTCTGTAGTTTAGACTATCCCTTGTACTAAAAACACACTAATATAAATTTTAATCTTGAAGGAATAGTAGAAAGAAACCCTAGCCCCCTCTCTCCCAAAAACCCCCTAGAGCCATTTTCACTTTGAGGGGGGAGGAAACCATTGTTTGTTCTTCCTCCAATCTCCCCTATTTTCTTCTTCACTCTCTTCTCCTCTCATTTTTAGAGACAAAAGGTTTTCCCTATTTGTCTTTGATTTGTCATGATTTTCCTCCAATCATCACAGGTGGTTGCATCTCAGCGTCAGATCTTCACTTTGCGTTTCGGCGTTAGATCTCTACCACCATCCTATTTGTATCTTGTTTATGTTCAAAATAAGCCACTAGACATTTTGGGTTCTGTGTGTAGTTTTCACCTTTTCTTTTATGAGAGCTTTTCACCTCTCATTCGTGAGAGATTTTCATCTCTCGTTTGTGAGAGTTTTATTTGTATTGTTATGACTTGGTTTTTTCAAGCTTTATCTCTTTTTGATTATTCTGAGTTTGCAATCTTAATTAGGATGCCTATGCCAGAGTTTCTTCGATCCTGCATGATCGTTAGTGGAGGCGCATTGTTGGAGCATGATTTCTTTCAAGAAGAAATGCCTCCACAGATTCTTAACTAAAATCCGCAGGTTTTCATAATTGGAAAGGACTCCAAATCGCTTCTCCAAAAATGAACGATGTAAGTGGGAAGAGTACTTGCAAAAGACACTTCAACGCTCAAGTCAGAGTTTGTGCAGTGATCTCTTAGTGTTTGATTGAATTTCTCATACCTTTGGTTGAGACTCCATTGGGCTTTTATAGCTCTCCAAGGCTCGACCCCTCTAGGTTTACGCGTCCCATCCTCCATTCCATAATCGTGGGGAGTTTGATCAGGTTACGCCTTCCTTGCTCCGCACTTCTCTAATGTGAGGGAGGTCCAACTAACCCACATCTTCACTTGCTTGTAATCGTGACATATTAGTTGGGCCTTGCTATGTGGGATATGATTTTTGGTCCCTATAGTGCCCCCTTTTTTTCCTTATTACAAACTTCGTGAGTAGAGAGAGGGAAAATTAATTTTACTTAGATTTAATCCTTTGGATTAAAACCATAAGGGACCCATGGTAGAACCCATTGACCATGATCGAATCCAACTAAATAATTCATATTATAACATTGTCGAACTCATCATGCAAGCAATACCTGTTGAGATATCGTCATCCTCATGTGAGCAATTCTTGTTGAGATGCTGCCAAACTCATACCCATAATCCTTGAATTCTTGCTGAACCCATATATAAGTATGGTGGAACTCACGCATGCCGTAGGTCCTACGTGTCCAATTTCAGCATCTCAATCCCATATAAGTGTTAGTGAACCCAATACTTGGTGGGGGTTAATTGGATTCGTGGAGAACTCAACTAAATAATTCTTATTATAACATTGCCAAACCCAATCCATGCACATTTCTCTTAGCCCACCAATGTCTATTGTTGGCTTCTCAACTGAACCCATGCATGGTGGACCCCAAACTGTTGGAGCAAGATTCCTTCCAAGAAGAAATGCCTTCACATGTCCCAACCGTTAAACCAGGCCACTCGTACGATCAAACAAGTTGAGTGTGAAGAAAATATGTGTTCCGTTAAGCATTCAACGAACGATGGACAACTTAGGGAAAGTTCCAAAATGAGTAAAAATACGAAATCAGCAAGCAACAAAGAAATTAAAACTATAAAATCAAATGTAATACTTCCTCAAATGAGTCGCGTTCCAAGGGCGTGGTACATATTGACCTCTCTCAATATGCCTCAACATATAGGCCCATTTTTCCATAGGCTTCCTTACAAATTTTCTTGCGTTTAGATCCTTGGTGTTCTCCATGACCTTCCTGAGTACCCATTCACTCACTTTGAATTTTCTTTGTCAAACTCGTTTATTGAAATAATTGGCCACCTGTTTGGGGTTAGGGGTAAAATAAAGAAAAGAGAAAACTAAAAATTGATTGAATATAATGTGTCGAAACGAGAGTAGAGAAGTAAAGAAGAGCAGTGAATCGAACCCAAATCCGTAACACCTCAAACCCAAAATCCCTAACACCCCAACTCCAATCGACCGTCTTTATATAGTTTTGTGCGTGGATAGGGCACTTTGCTTCTCTCTCTAAACTCTAACCCTTTGGTGTTGTAAAGGAAAAATTCAGCCACATCTGGGGTTGAGTGAAGAATGTGTCGATAACAATGCCTAATGTAGTCGCAGCTGCTGGAGTTGGAGGTTCAATTCTTGACTTCTTCAATAAGAGGAAAGCAAAATAGCAGCAGAAACAATTGGATGAGAATGTGAAATCGTTAACCTTGGTTACAAAAGAGCTGAGAAATGTAAGTTTGTTCTAATTAATTTAATTTAATTAATTTATTTGTGAATTTCTATTTCATTTCATATTGTTAGGAAATAGGTCACTGGGGAGCTAAACCAATCAACACAGGTGTTGCAGAGCAAAGTGGATGCCATTCAAGCTCCCTCCCGGCCTCCATGGCCTTTTTCCTTGTTCTGGTAAGCTTATTTCCTATGAAAGCAAAACTAAAGATTAATTTTCATATATGTCTTGGTATTTGATTATCTACATCTGGTTGTTCATGACCAGAAACTAATCAAAAGACCTTTTCTATCATCTAGATTTGATTGTTCATGACTAAGGCGCTATAGAGAAGAGGTAGGATAATATAATGTAGGAGTGCTCTTAGGCTAGCCTTGTTTTTGGAACATTGAGTAGAGTAGTAAAGAATGACTTATTCATGAAATTAAAACTATACGATGTTGAAATGGAATAGTGACAAATTTTCAGAGTTAGAAATAGAATAATTTTCTATTGATTAAGGGGCTATGGGTAAAATAAAGAAAAGAAAAAACCAAAAATTGACGGAATATAATGTGCCAAAATGAGAGTAGAGAAGTAGAGAAAAGCAGCGAATCGACCCCAAATCCTTAACACCCCAAACCCTAAATCCCTAACAACCTAACTCCAACCGATTGTCTTTGTATAGTTTTGTGCGTGGATGGGGCGCTCTGTTTCTCTCTAAACTTTTCCCCTCTAGTGTTGTAAGGGAAAAATTCAAATAGTTTTGTGAGAGTTTTATTTGTATTGTCATGGCTTGTTTTTTTTTTTCAAGCTTTATCTCTTTTTGATTATTTTGAGTTTGCAATCATAGTTAGGATGCATTTGCCAAAGTTTCTTCTATTCTATGTGATCGTTAGTGGAGGTGAATTGTTGGAGTAGGATTTCTTTTAAGAAGAAATGCCTCCACAGATCCTTGACTAAAATCCGCATGTTTTCCTAATTGGAAAGGACTCCAAATCTCTTCTCCAAAAGTGAACGATGTAAATGGGAGAAGTACCTACAAAAGGCACTTTGACACTCAAGTCAGTGTTTGTGCAGCGATCTCTTAGTGCTCGATTGAATTTCTCGTACATTTGGTTGAGATTCCATTGGGCTTTTATAGCTCTCCAAGGCTCGACCCCTCTAGGTTTGCGCTTCCCATCCTCTATTCCATAATCGTGGGGAGTTTGATCGGGTTACGTCTTCCTTGCTCCGCACTTCTCTAATGTGAGGGAGGTCCACTAACCCATATCTTTACTTGCTTGTAATCGTGACATATTAGTTGGGCCTTTCTACGAGGGAAAAATAATTTTACGATTTAATCCTTCGGATTAAACCCATAGGGGGACCCATGGTAGAACCCATTGACCATGGCCGAATCCAACAAAATAATTCTTATTATAACATTGCCAAACTCATTATGCAAGCAATACCTGTTGAGATATCGTCATGCCCATGTGAACAATTCTTGTTGAGATGCTACCAAACTCATACCCATAATCCTTGAATTCTTTCTGAACCCATATATAAGAATTGTGGAACTCATGAATGTCGTTGGTCCTACATGTCCAATTCCAGCATCTTAATCCCATATAAGTGTTATTGAACCCAATACTTCGTGGGGGTTAATTGGATTCATGGAGACCTTAACTAAATAATTCTTATTATAACATTGTCAAACTCAATCCATGCACATTTCTCTTAGCCCACCAATGTCTATTGTTGGCTTCTCAACTGAACCCATACGTGGTGGACCCCAAGCTGTTGGAGCAAGATTTCTTTCAAGAACAAATGCCTTCAAAGGTCCCTAACCATTAAACCAGGCCACTCGTACGATCAAATAGGTTGAGTATGAAGAAAATATGTGTTCTATTAAATGTTCAATGAACGATGGACAATTTAGGGAAATTTCCAAAGTGAGTGAAAATACGAAATCAGCAAGCAACAAAGAAATTAAAATTATAAAATCAAATGTAACACTTCCTCAAATGAGTCGCGTTCCAAGGGCGTCGTACATACTAACCACTCTCGATATGCCTCAGCATATAGGCCCCTTTTTCCATAGGCTTCCGTTATCACGTACGGTCTTTCCTATGTTCGTCCAAATTTTCTTGCGTTTAGATCTTTGGTGTTCTCCACGACCTTCTTGAGTACCCATTCACTCACTTTGAATCTTCTTTGTCAAACTCGTTTATTGAAATAATTGGCCACCTGTTTGGGGTTAGAGGTAAAATAAAGAAAAGAGAAAACCAAAAATTGACCGAATATAATGTGCCGAAATGAGAGTAGAGAAGTAGAGAAGAGCAGTGAATCGACCCCAAATCCGTAATATCCCAACCCCTAAATCCCTAACTCCCCAACTCCAATCGACTGTCTTTATATAGTTTTGTGCGTGGATGGGTTGCTTTGCTTCTCTCTCTAGACTCTTCCCCTTTAGTGTTGTAAGGGAAAAATTCAGCCACATATGGGGTTAAGTGAAGAATGTGTCAATAACAATGCCTAATGTAATCGCTGCTACTGGGGTTGGACGTTCAATTCTTGACTTCTTCAACATGAGAAAAGCTAAAGAGCAGCAGGAACAGCTGGATGAGAATGTGAAATCGTCAACCCTGGTTACAGAATAGCTGAGAAATGTAAGTTTGTTCTAATTAATTTAATTTAATTTATTTGTTTGTGAATTTCTATTTCATTTCATCTTGTTAGGAAATAGATCACTTGGGAGCTTAACAAATCAACACAGGTGTTGCAAAGCAAAGTGGATGCCATTCAAGCGCCCTCCCAACCTTCATGACCTCTTTCCTCGTTTGAGTAAACTTATTTCCTATGAAAGCAAGACTAAAGATTGATTTTCACATTTGGGGTTGAGTGAAAAATGTGTCGATAATAATGCCTAATGTAGTCACTACTGCTGGGGTTAGAGGTTCAATTCTTGATTTCTTCAACAAGAGGAAAGCTAAAGAGCAGCAGAAACAGCTGGATGAGAATGTGAAACTGTCAACCCTGGTTACAAAAGAGTTGAGAAATGTAAGTTCTAATTTATTTTATTTTATTTATTTGTTTGTGAATTTCTATTTCATTTCATCTTGTTAGGAAATAGGTCACTTGGGAGCTTAACAAATCAACATAGGTGCTGCGAAGCAAAGTGTATGCCATTCAAGCTCCCTCCCAGCCTCCATGGCCTTTTTCCTCATTCGGGCAAACTTATTTCCTATGAAAGCAAGACTAAAGATTGATTTTCACATCTTGGGTTGAGTGAAGAATGTGTCGATAACAACGCCTAATGTAGTCTCTGATGCTGGGCTTTGAGGTTCAATTCTTGACTTCTTCAAACATGAGGAAAGCTAAAGAGAAGCAGAAACAGCTTGATGAGAATGTGAAATCGTTAACCGTGGTTACAGAAGAGCTCAGAAATGTAAGTTTATTCTAGTTAATTTAATTTAATTTATTTGTTTGTGAATTTCTATTTAATTTCATATTGTTAGGAAATAGGTCACTTGGGAGCTTAACAAATCAACACATGTGTTTTAAAACAAAGTGGATGCCATTCAAGCTCCCTCCCGGCCTCCATGGCCTCTTTCCTCGTTCGGGTAAACTTATTTCCTATGAAAGCAAGACTAAAGATTGATTCTCATATATGTCTGGTATTTGATTATTTACCTCCAATTGTTCATGACCAGAAACTAACCAAAAAAACTTTTCTATCATATAGATTTGATTGTTCATGACTAAGGCGCTATAGAGAAGAGGTAAGATAAAATAATGTAGGAGTGCTCTTAAGCTAACCTTGTTTTCAGAACATTGAGTATAGTAGTAAAGAATGACTTGTTCATGAAATTAGAACTAGACGATGTTGAAGAGGAATAGTGACAAATTTGCAGAGTTAGAAATATAATAATTTTCTTTTAATTAAGGGGTTATGGGTAAAATAAAGAAAAAAAACAACAAATTGACGGAATATAATGTGCCGAAACGAGAGTAGAGAAGTAGAGAAGAGCAGCGAATCGACCCCAAATTCGTAAGACCTTAAACCCTAACTCCCTAACACCCTAACTCCAATCAACTGTCTTTATATAATTTTGTGCGTTGATGGGGCGCTTTGCGTCTCTCTCTAAACTTTTCCCCTCTGGTGTTGTAAGGGAAAAATTCAACTACATCTGGGGTTGAGTGAAGAATGTGTCGATAACAATGGCTAATGTAGTCACTGCGGCTAGGGTTGGAGGTTCAATTCTTGACTTCTTCAACAGGAGGAAAGCTAAAGAGTAGTAGAAACAACTGTATGAGAATGTGAAATCGTTAACTCTAGTTATAGAATGGCTGAGAAATGTAAGTTTGTTCTAATTTATTTTATTTTATTTTATTTATTTGTTTGTGAATTTCTATTTCATTTCATCTTGTTGGGAAATAGGTAACTGGGGAGCTTAACAAATCAACACAGATGTTGTAAAGTAAAGTGGATGTCATTTAAGCTCCATCCTAGCCTTCATGGCCTATTTCCTCGTCCTGGTAAACTTATTTCCTATGAAAGCAAGACTAAAGGTTGATTTTCATATATGTCTTGGTATTTGATTATTTACATCTGGTTGTTCATGACCAGAAACTAACCAATTTTTTTTCTTTCTATCATCTAGATTTGATTGTTCATGACTAAGGCGCTATAGAGAAGATGTAGGATAATATAATGTAGGACTACTCTTAGGCTGACCTTGTTTTCAAAATATTGAGTAGAGTAGTAAAGAATGACTTGTTTATGAAATTAGAACTATACGATATTGAAGAGGAATAGTGACAAACTTGCAAAGTTAGAAATATAATAATTTTCTTTTAATTAAGGGGTTATGGGTAAAATTAAGGAAAAAAATCAAAAATTGACTGAAAATAATGTATCGAAACGAGAGTAGAGAAGTAGAGAAGAGCAGCGAATCGACCCCAAATTCATAACACTACAAACCCTAAATCCCTAACACCCTAACTCCAATCGACTGTCTTTGTATAGTTTTGTGCATGGATGAGACGCTTTGCTTCTCTCTCTAAACTCTTCCCCTTTGGTGTTGTTAGGGAAAAATTTGGCCACATCTGGGGTTGAGTGAAGAATGTGTCAATAACAATGCCTAACGCAGTCTCTGCTACTAGGGTTGGAGGTTCAATTCTTGACTTCTTCAACAGGAAGAAAGTTAAAAAGTAGCAGAAACAACTGTATGAGAATGTGAAATCGTTAACTCTGGTTATAGAATAGCTAGGAAATGTAAGTTTGTTCTAATTTATTTTATTTTATTTATTTGTTTGTGAATTTCTATGTCATTTCATCTTGTTGGGAAATAGGTAACTGGGGAGCTTAACAAATCAACACAAGTGTTGTAAAGTAAAGTGGATGTCATTTAAGCTCCATCCCAGCCTCCATGGCCTCTTTCCTCGTTCTGGTAAACTTATTTCCTATGAAAGCAAAACTAAAGGTTGATTTTCATATATGTCTTGGTATTTGATTATTTACATATAGTTGTTCATTACCAGAAACTAACCAAATTTTTTTTCCTATCATCTAGATTTGATTGTTGATGACTAAGGCGCTATAGAGAATATGTATGAGTGCTCTTAGGCTGACCTTGCTTTCAAAACATTGAGTAGAGTAGTAAAGAATGACTTGTTTATGAAATTAGAACTATACGATGTTGAAGAGGAATAGTGACAAATTTGCAGAGTTAGAAATAGAATAATTTTCTTTTAATTAAGGGGTTATGGGTAAAATTAAGAAGAAGAAAAAACGAAAAATTGACTGAAAATAATGTACCAAAACGAGAGTAAAGAAGTAGAGAAGAACAGCGAATCGACCACAAATTCGTAACACTACAAACCTTAAATCCTTAACACTCTAACTCCAATCGACTGTCTTTGTATAGTTTTGTGCGTGGATGAGGCGCTTTGCTTCTCTCTCTAAACTCTTCTCCTTTGGTGTTGTTAGGGAAAAATTTGGCCACATATGGGGTTAAGTGAAGAATGTGTCGATAACAACGCCTAACGAAGTCTTTGCTACTGGGGTTGGAGGTTCAATTCTTGACTTCTTCAACAGGAGGAAAGCTAAATAGCAACAGAAACAGCTTGATGAGAATGTGAAATCGTTAAACTTGATTACACAAGAGCTAGGAAATGTAAGTTTGTTCTAATTAATTTAATTTAATTTATTTGTTTTTTAATTTCTATTTCATTTCATCTTGTTGGGAAATAGGTCACTAAAGAGCTTAACAAATCAACACAGGTGTTGCAAGGTAAAGTGGATGCCATTCAAGCTCCCTCCCGGCCTCCATGGCCTCTTTCCTCGTTTGGAACTTATTTCCTATGAAAGAAAGACTAAAGATTGATTTTCATATATGTCTTGGTATTTGATTATTTACATCTGGTTGTTCATGACCAGAAACAAACCAAAAAAACTTTTCTATCATCTAGATTTGATTGTTCATGACTAAGGCGCTATAGAGAAAAGGTATGATAATATAATGTAGGAGTGCTCTTAGGCTGACCTTATTTTCAGAACATTGAGTAGAGTAGTGAAGAATGACTTGTTCATGAAATTAGAATTATATAATGTTGAAGAGGAATATTGACAATTTTGCATAGTTAGAAATAGAATAATTTTCTATTAATAAAGGGGTTGTGGGTAAAATAAAGAAAAGAAAAAAACCAAAAATTGACGAAATATAACGTGCCGGAACGAGAGTAGAGAAGTAGAGAAGAGCAGTGAATCGACCCCAAATCTGTAACACCCCAAACCCTAAATCCCCAACACCCTAAATTCATATATTTTTGTGAGACTTTTATGTGTATTGTTATGGCTTGGTTTTTTTCAAGCTTTATCTCTTTTTGATTATTCTGAGTTTGCAATCTTAGTTAGGATGCTTATGCCAAAGTTTCTTTGATCCTACATGATCGTTAGTGTTGGTGCATTGTTGGAGCAGGATTTCTTTCGAGAAGAAATGCCTCCACAGATTCTTGACTAAAATCCACATATTTTCTTAGTTGGAAAGGACTCCAAATCGCTTCTTCGAAAATGAACGATGTAAGTGGGAGGAATTTGAGATACAATCCTAAAAAAGATTTACGAAAGAGTGTGTCATCTATAATGTCATACCTTGCGGCCTTTATTCCCAATTTTCTTGCCTCGATCGGGTCGTCGGGTTAGATTCCCTTCGTGAGATAGTTCGTAACCGGAGTCATCCATGTTTCTTCTTTGATTTCAATTTGCGTAACTCCAGGTTTAATTGGTATGCTGGGATTCGATAAAAGTTCCACCGAGGCGACCCTCATGTCCTTCATCGATGTCGACGAGGCGTAGGCCAAGTTATCTACTCGATTGTTCATCTCTCTTTGCATGAATGAGATGACCCTAACCATTTCCAAGGCTCTGGCGAATTCAGAAGCTAACGTGATCCCATTTATGAGTCTCGCCTTTTCTGCTTGTCTTTTTTTAGACTGGGATCGGGCCTCTTCTCCCTTTGTGGGATTTGGTCAACCGTGGATGGTGTTGATATCCAATAGTTCTTTATTCGCGATATTCCCAGTCATTGTTTTCGATCCATCTTCTTTACTCACCTTGTTCTCAAGTTCAGCGTGGTATTAGGACAACATTCCCTTTCTAAGCATTGCCTTCACCTAGTATCTGAGACTTTGGCACTCATTGGTAGTGTGCCCAAAATGATGCGAGCACGTCTTGTTTCTATCTCACTTTTTTAGGGATTCACGGATTGTTGATGGTGTTCAAAATATGTGTTTTCCCTTATTCTCGTGAAAAAGTTTGGCCAAACTAACCATGAGTTTGGTGAAGGGTCGGTTTTGTTTAGATCAAGTACTAGCTTCTTATCTTGAAAAATATCGCTTCGCCTCTACTTTTTGTTCTGGTGGAGGCTTCCAGACCACAATGGTTGACATGGCGCATTTTGACTAGGTGAGCTCTTCTTCCTATAGTCTGATGATTCTATCCGCCCGAGCCATCGCTTCCCTCATGTCCACTAGTGGGGTTTTGACTAAAGATCTATGCATCTTTGTCCCGGGTATTACCCCCTCACGAAATGCCAGCAAAGTAGTATGAGAATCGCATTCCTCAAGGGTAGACATTTTCTCCGTAAAACGCATCTGTTGATGCTCAAATGGTTAGGCCAAGATTTAGTCCAACTTAGTGATGAGGTGTGATGGATGATGAATGAAGGTGATGACCTTAAGCATGTGTGTGAAGACTTGGGCAAGCGATAAATGTAAAGAAGATAAGATATACGTGGTTCACCTTTAATGAATGGGCTACGTCCACGGAGAAGTGTGTTCTCATTATAATAGTGTATGATTACATTTGTACATGGGGTTGGACCTGAATATAAAGATAACAAGTGAGATGCCCAGGTGAGGGATCTAGAAGAGAATCCCCGGCCCTAGGGTCTAGCTCTGAGACCCGGATCCTCCTCTCAGTGGAGAGAAGAAGTCCCATTTTCACATGGATACTATTCCCTATTTATAGGGAGGTGAAAGTGAGAGGTTTGTGTAGATTTCCGATGTGGGACTTTGCGCAAGTCGCTGTGGTGGTGACACGTGTCATGGTGTTGATGCTCTTGGTGCTAGTTGTTTTGATGCTGGATATGCTTGGTTGATTATGGTGTAAACAGTAGTCCCCCAAGTTTGCGGTCAAGAAGTAACTTCTGGGTTGGGAACTTGTTAGATTTTTGTGTAATCATGACCGAGCATTCCAGGTTCAGTGGGAGCCGTAAGGCATTCCCTAGTCCCCCAAGTTGGCAAGCTAGAAGTTGCGTCAACACTTGGAAGGTATGGTGGTTGTGTGAGCTTCTAATGTTGTTGGTAGCTGGGTACCTGGGCATTTTGTAGGGAGCCGGGACTGGGCTCTGTGAAGCTGAGCTTCGGTAGGAGCTGGGGCCTTGAAGCTTTGGCAAGGGAGCCATGGGGAGCCTTCATTTGGTGTTAATGCTCCTTGCCATTTTGGGGCTAGGCTGCGCGTGATCCCTTGGTACAAAGGTGGGCTGATCTGGAAGGGTAGGTTCGGCAAGAGTGAGTCTATGCAGAACACGAACCTTCAAATTTGGGCATGGCTATGGAGTGTTTCAAATTTGGGCCTAAAGGGTCTGCCCATGAAGAGGTGCGGCAAGGATCCAAAAAGTCATGGGAGCACATCCTGACCTTGGCAAGGCCCTTGCCGAACGGCAAGGGTCAATTGGAGACTTATGTGAGCATTCCCCTCTTCGGCAAGTTTGTTTCTGTTTTTTGTTTTTTTTTAATGGCCATATGTCATGGGCTTTTAAAGAACAAGAGCCCAAGAGGGCTTGGTGATCCATGCCATTCGGCAAGCAAGCCAAAAGGGCTTTGGTTCTTGGTTTAGGCAAGGGGCCTGGCGGGGCCATGTGGAGCTGGGTCAAGTACTAGGATGACTCAGCAAGTAGTGGAGCTGGGCCTTCCAGGTTTGACCAAATTGAGAATAGCTAGGGTTGGAGTTTTGTGAGAGGGGTGAGGCTGGGTTATTGTGAAATTTCCCGGGGGGCCATGCTGTTGAAGATTCAGCAATTGTCACTTGTGTATAATCTGGAGACTGTTCATTTGGTGGTTGTTTGAGAGCTCAGAAGGCCGTACGTCCGTAAGCAGCGCCCGGCCAGTTCTTGTCGTTCGGCAAGTGTTCTTGTGAAAAATTTTGGATTTCATTTCGAGCCGTCGAAGCCTTCAGCAGCTTGGGCTTGTTTCGGCAAGAAGTGAAGACTTGGAGCTTCCCGAGTCGGGTGGGCTGATTTTCGTGACGGTGGTTGTGCTGTGAGCTTTCTCCAAGTTCTGCACGGCCCTTGCCGTTCGGCAAGGGTGGCATTCGGAAAAGGTCCAGGTGCTGCGCTGAAAGCTTCCCTCTTTGGTAAGAAAGGACTGAAATAGATTTTTGTGTGGGCTAGGTACTAGGCTTCAATGATCTTGGCTGTTCGGCAAGACACGAAAAAGTTGGAGCTAGGACCTTGATGTTCGCGTGGACCTTGTGATTGGGGTTGTTCAGTACGGACCTGTGAGCTTGGTCACAGCTTTGGCAGCGCAGATTCTCTAAGCTTGGCTGGGATTTATTTGTTGTTTCTGGAACCACATGAGGTGCCACTAGCTTGCCATTTTGGCAATTTCGGGGTTGAGTGGGAGGTCTTGACTAATCCATTCCCTAGGGTGTGTTGATAAGATCTTCATACTAGGATTTGTTTGGGTGTCCAGATCAATTTGGTGGCTGGGTGAGCATTGCCAATGAGGAGAACACATGATATTAATTTGAGCATATCAATCAACGCAAGCATTCGGCACCCTCTCATTAAGCCTTTGAAAATGAGTTGCATGGGCACTCTTTCAGGCTGACATGACAGCTTGCCCATTGGTCATATAAGCGTGGGCTTCGCTTTTGAATCTTGCGGGCATGCTGGGTCCCAATTAGAATTATGCACGTTCATTTCCTCCTTATTGGCTTTCATGTTTGATTCCATGGCTTAGGTGTGTATTTGGAAACCTGCAAAGTGATACTCCTTGGCCATGCAAAGTGATGTTGTTGGTGAATTGGGATACTTGTCCATGCAAGCCATGCAAAGTGGCCGAATCTGGACAGCTATTATTCATATGCAATATTCATATGTAAGAAGAGAGATCTTATCTTGTGGTGATGATGTACGTGGGCGTCGCTCATATTAGAGAGGTTTGCCGAAGGCATCGCATGTGCCTCATGATGACGAGGTGCTGAAGGCATTGCTTGCTTCGAATGATGATGAGGTGCCGAAAGGCATCACTCAAGCTGAATGACGACAGGGTGCCGAAGGCAACATAAAGATGGCATGTTGTAAGGCATTGTGACTAGGCACGAGGGTGCCGGAGGCAACACCAAGCTAGCATGTCGCAAGGCAAGGTGGCTAGGCACGAGGGTGCCGGAGGCAACACCAAGCTCGCATGTCGCAAGGCAATGTGGCTAGACACGAAGGTGCCGAAGGGGACACAAAGCTTGCGTGTCGCAAGGCGATGTGACTAGGCATGAGGGTGCCGGAGGCAACACCAAGCTTGCATGTCGCAAGGCAAGGTGGCTAGGCACGGAGGTGCCGAAGGGGACAAAAAGCTTGCATGTTGCAAGACGATGTGACTAAGCATGATGGTGTCGGAGACAACACAAGATGTGGCTAGGCACACGGGTGCCGAAGGCAACACAAAGCTTGTGTTAAATGATGATGTGGTGCCGAAGGGCACTGAAGAAGGGGAGAACGATAGAAGCCTTTTGTGTCGATTCCCACAGACGGCGCCAAACTGTTGATACTCAAAATGGTTAGGCCAAGATTTAGTCCAACTTAGTGATGAGGTGTGATAGATGATGAATGAAGGTAAGGACCTTAAGCATGTGTGTGAAGACTTGGGCAAGCGATAAATGTAAAGAAGACAAGATATACGTGGTTCACCCTTAATGAATGGGCTACGTCCACGGAGAAGTGTGTTCTCATTATAATAGTGTATGATTACATTTGTACATGGGGTTGGACCCGAATATAAAGATAACAAGTGAGATGCCCAGGTCAGGGATCTAGAAGAAAATCCCCGGCCCTAGGGTCTAGCTCTGAGACCCGGATCCTCCTCTCAGTGGAGAGAAGAAGTCCCATTTTCACATGGATACTATTCCCTATTTATAGGGAGGTGAAAGTGGGAGGTTTGTGTAGATTTCCGATGTGGGACTTTGTGCAAGTCGCTGTGGTGGTGACACGTGTCATGGTGTTGATGCTCTTGGTGCTAGTTGTTTTGATGCTGGATATGCTTGGTTGATTATGGTGTAAACAGCATCAAATAGTCTTTAAGGCTTTCTCCAATACTTTGTTTCGTGCGGAATAGGATCATGACATCCTTCCTCCTCTTCTTATTGCAGATGTATTGAGATATGAACATTTTACAGAGTTGGGTGAAACTACCAATAAACCTTTGGTTTCAACAGTCTAAACCATATCAAGGCTGATCCCGACAAGCTTAAGTGGAACAACTTTCAACAAAGCCTCATAATCTTATTCGAGCACCATTTTCTGTTGAAAATGATAGATATGCTCAATGGGATCGGTTGTGCCCTTGTACAGCTTAAATTTAGGCTAAGTGAACTTGGCGAGCTTTTTGGTTTCAAGATGTCCTTTATGAATGGTGACTTGTAGATTCCCTCCGTTGCTTCTAAAGAGAGTTCCGCGGGTGTTTGCGGCTTGTACCTTTTGACAATCTTCTCAATATGATTGCGCAAATTAGTGTTCATCGCCCTATTCGCTATTTTCTATAGGTCGTGATCTTTGTCTTGATCTTCGGTCGTGGCCTTATTGAGGCCACTCAAATGCGTGCTGCTGGAAGAGTCTCCCTCAGAGACCTTACGTCTTTGTTTCCTCCTACCTTTTTTTGAGCCTTCGTGGCAAGCCAGGCTCTGCCTTTCAGCCTTCTCCAAAGCTTTCTAGGCCACCTTTCTAGTATCGCGCAATTCTTTCATGATTTTCTTCAACTGGGTAACAGCAAGGCTTGGTTCTCCATCTTGAGCATTAGACCTTGTGCTTCCGGGGCAAAGGGTGGACATTGCATTTTCAAGGATGGATGTGTTTGTAGTTCCCTATGCGGGTCTTTATGATTGATTTTGCGAGATTCCCATAGACGACGCCAACTATTGGAGCAAGATTTCTTTCAAGAAGAAATGCCTTCACAGGTTCTTGACTAAAATTCACACGTTTCCTTAATTGGAAAGGACTCTAGATCGCTTCTCCGAAAGTGAACGATGTAAGTGGCGGGAGTACTTGCAAAAGATACTCTGACACTCAAGTTAGTATTTGTGTAGCGATCCTTTAGTGCTCAATTGAATTTCTCATACCTTTGGTTGAGGCTCCGTTGGGCTTTTATAGCGCTCCAAGGCACCACCCCCTAGGTTTGTGAGTCCTATCCTTCATTCCATACTCATGGGCAGTTTGATCGGGTTACAACTTCCTTACTCCGCACTTCTCTAGTCTGAAGGAGGTCCAACTAACCCACGTCTTCACTTGCTTGTAATCGTGACATATTAGTTGGTCCTTGCTTCGTGAGATATGATTTTTGGTCCCCACACGCACCAGATTGTCTTAGTTTTGATGTTAGATCGCTCTATTATTATAATAGCCCTTTGTGATTGCTTTGTATTGGCCATTTATGGCTAGTGTCTTTTTTGGTTAAATTACGAATGCAATCCTAGAATTTCTCAACAACAAAAAAACTTCATCTCATCTATAATTCGATCATTTATGGCTAGTGGCTTTTTAGTGACAGTTGTTTTATATTTCGATACTTTTTACTTCTTTAAAATTCAATTATCCCTTAAATGTTGGATTAAAGTAAATCCCAACCCTATATCGGATTGCAAAATCTAACAAAACAATTAATATTTTGCCAAACTTAACAGTTTGAAAATTCAAAACAATGAACCCCCTAGAACTTGACATAGAACGTGTGACATTATTAAGGGGCTTTTGGATTATTACGTACTCTCAACAAGTGCAAATATAAGCTCTTATTTTCTTTCCTAATTTTAAATTATAATCCACTTCACATTTGGGGGAGAAAATTGACTAGAAAAGGTACTCAATTTTTGCTAAGGGACGGTTCTCGGTGACCATGCTTGAAAGCAGAATATGCTTCTTGAATGCTAAACGTATCATGTTTTCTCTTACTAAACGCCCAGTCGTCCATTTCCTTACCAGAAAAGAGTATTGATGGATATGATTGTGATTAATGCGATTACACGGTTACACCATATGATTGTGATTTTTTTAGCATCTAAGTTGTTTTATAATTGTTTTTATTTATCTTATCAATAAAATATTATTGGTTTTTTTTATAAGAATAAAAATGTCAATTTTTTTTATACACAAAAAACAAAAACAAAATTGGGCCAATTCTTAAGTTTCCCTTCTTCTTTTTTCCTTCTAATTCATATATAGGGATATGGATTATGGATGATGTTGCATTTGAATAATTTGTCTGATATTATTATGTCATATGCCTCTATTATTGAGGAAGGGATACGAGTCAGGAAATGTACTTGAAAAGGTAATTATCACTATATCAAGTTGTAATTTTTTTCTTAAATAATATAATACATGGTGTTGAGCATCATTTTTCCATAATTAATCCAAAAAATTGAGCATCATTTTTCCATAATTAATCCAAAAATTGAGCATCACGTTTTCCTTAATTAATCCAAAAATTGGCATCATTGGGAGGCATTAGTACTGTGCTCAAATTATCCTTTGAATTAGATTAGATTACATTTTTAGGAAGTTAGCAATTTAGAAATTAGAATTGGGTATGTAATGTTGGCTTTTACATGTGCTTGAAATCGTTACGATTGCTAGGTTGCCAATTTTGATTTCCTAAGAGCACTTCCACCCATTTGCCATGGCAAATGCCAAGGGCAATGCAATGGTTGTTACTATTCATGTGAATAGTGGCAACCCTTAGAAAAGGCTTCTTGTGTTTCTACCCATTGTCATGGCAACCCAAGGGCAACCACTATTCACATGAGATATGATGAGAGGAATTTGTATAGAGTTTTAGTGTGGGAAGTGAAGAATATGGCTAAGTATTTATTTTTTAAAAAATTCTTAAATTTTTTGTTTTTGTTTTTAAAAATTTCGTTGCTGACATCATCATTGACTTTAGAAGCCCCCATGCACGAGCTCGGGCTCGTTTTGCCTTTGGACTTGCCCGATTTGCTGGGATCCACATCTTACCTGGGCTGTTGAAGCCCACTGAAAGCTCGACATGGGGCTTGGGCTCCCTCCTACTCAAGCAAAACTGCAAAGATGGAAGTGCTCTAAGATTATAAGAAATATGAAATATTTGATATGTCTTTTTAGGAAGTTAGCCATTTAAATTATAATTGTATATGTAATGTTGGTCTTTATATGTGCTTAAAATTGTTAAGATTGCTACGTTGTCAGTTTTGGTTTCATAAAATTTTAAGAAGTTTAAAATATTTGATGTGTTTGTTTTAATATTAGAATATAAAATTATTGCACTTTATTAGAAATTATGTGGATGGAAAATTTTGATTGGTTTTTTTTTTTTTTTTTTTTTTTTTTTTCCATTTTTTATTTTTTTATTTTTTGGTCAATTTCCAAGATAGCCAATAAAGGTTGAATTTTTGGAACTTTGTAACCTAATTGACCTCGATGACTAAGGTTTGGGCCGCAATTTAACTAAAAATAAATAACAACAGAACGTATTTAAAAGGGCATTTACGTAACTTACAGCCACCCAAGCCCAAGGTAATTTTGCTTGCACAGTCGGGAATAGGGTTGTCGCGGTAGCTACAGAAATAGTCGATTCCCAGTTTTCTCAGTAGCGACGAGAGAGAGAGAGAGAGAGAGAGAGAGAACGCCAGGGAAGAGAGAGAAAGGCCATTACAAATTCTGTGATCGCCAAAGGGGCTTCAATGCCTCGTCGCTGCGCAGATTAGTCTTCACGAGCAGATACCTATAGATACAAATTTTCAGAGTCGATGGCTCTCACTGCGGGCAAGCTCACCATTCTGGTTGGTGCAGGTCCGTACAATCCCTCCACATCTATTCGCTCCTTCGATTTCTATAAAACTCAAACCTCATAGTAATCTATTATGACACCTTCCCCAAATCCCTCACAATTTTGTCCCCAAATTGGCGTCTGATTTTTAATTCTGATTTCGGGCATAGTACTGGTGGAGAAAAGTTAGGGTTTCGGACAAACCCTAGATCCTAATATATGGAAACACTAAATGGATGCGAAATTATTGACAGGAGAAAATACCTTCTGTTGGTTTCTGCATTGATTAAAAATGTGCACTATTTGGTGTTTCTTAACTAGTTTAAGTTCTGCTTCAACTGTCCTAGCCTGTTTCTTATCATATGGTTCAAGTGAGTGAAACTGATTGTAAGCTTCTCAACTTGAAACGAAGGTCATTAAAAATTGGGGGTTGGCTATAAATTTATTAATTTCTATTGTGTTAATGAAAGAACATATTTTTATAATCAATCCGTTTATCCTATTCGTTTTTAGGCATTCTTGGTTCAGTTCTTGCAAAAGAAGGACGCGTATCTGATCTTGTCTCTGGTGCATTCAAGGTAGTTCCTCATGTTATTTGTTTTATCTTCTATATGTGTAAAATTAAACTTCAAATTTGCTGTTTTAACGTATGTATGTGTGGCATCCAAAGTTACATACTGATCTTGCTGCCAGTTGATGATGTTGTATCGTAGGAATGGGTATTCTATATTAATTAGGAAATGAGGGTAAAGGTTCAATGTCCTGGATGGCTTTCGAGACGGCATTCTGCGATCTTGTACAATATGCATATTTAGTTGGCCTTGGATGTATGCTTTAAAGTATATTTTAGAAAATATATTTTCAGTGACTGCTATTGTTTTGTTTGTGTTTTTAAACATGTAAATGTCCTTCAGCGTTTTGTTTCAATTCTATAAATTCTAATGCGTATCAGTACGACTATAAGATTTTGCTAATTTTTGGCCTTTTACCACAGATTGCCTGGAAGCAAATTATACGAAATGATCAGACTCCATCGGTTAAGAAACCACACAACGACTCTTTGATGGCCCAGGTTTCATATTGTCTTATAGAGTTTTATTACTCATAATTGCATTTAAAGTGGTTGGGTATTATAAGGGGTGCCTGGAGAAGCACATCGAGTCATCATGATTCAATTGTTCTAAGTCAGCATCTGTGTGGATTCTTATTGGAGCTTCATATTCCTGAGGATGGATAATGTGATTATGTAATTAAATTTTACAGATGAACAACCTACGGCAGGAGCTGCAAATAATGGCATCAAGTCGACCCGTTACAATTGTTACTACAAGTCGAACAGGTTTCGCCTACCTTTTCTTGCACTTTAAAGATATTTTTATGTGTATTGATTATTTGTTAGTAACCACACGAGCCAACGAAACCTTAATTCTATGCAGTGTTTGTATCTTATATTTCCATCCAATATGAAAACTTCTTATGGCACAGATTTATGGAGATAAATATGGTGTTTTTAAATTAGTTCGATTTTTCATAATTTCTTGTTATGATTTGCAATAAGGTCTCTTCGTGAGTATTCTGTGACCTGTCTTTGTTTACTGCAGGTACTAGATATGGTATAATTATTGTTGTAGTGGTGGTAGGAGCTGGCTACATTTGGTGGAAGGTAAAAGGTTTTATTTTATACAAGATAATAAAATAGGCTTAAAGTACATCTCTCTTGACAAGGTTGTTATTCTATATGTGCATCTTGTGTATGTTTTCAGGGGTGGAAGCTTCCTGATATGATGTTTGCAACAAGACGTAGCTTATCCGATGCTTGCAGTTCTGTTGGTAGTCAGCTTGAAAGTGTTTATTCGTCAGTTGCGGCAAGTCTCTCTCTCTCTCTCTCTCTCTCTCTCTCTCTCTCTCTCTCTCTGTGTTATTTATTTTTCTTTTTTACCTCAAACTAGGAGATGAATTGTTCTTCTGCATTAAATTTTGGAGAAAACAATGCCTTTATAAACAACCCTCCTGAAGGACATGTTTATATCATTCTTTATTATTCTTTGTTAAAGTTGTGACATTGTCTTGTTTTTTATGTTGTTGTTACTGTTTTTATTATCATGTGAGAACTTGTCTCTTGGATCCATGGTGGAATAGAGATAGGAAACTATGCACATTGTAGGTCATTATGTTGTTTCGTGATGCATTGAGTTCTCTCTCGAGAGTGAGGGGAGCTCTATCTTTTTCCTTTCCTCTTTGATGCCATTCAATTAGACATGGGCTCTGTATGACAGCGCCATGAATACTCTGGTCTGAGTCAAGTATTACCTTTTCTATCTCTTTCAAATGTTGTTGTTATGAGGTACTTGATTTATTCCCAAAAGGCATTGGCTGTGGTTGAAAGGATTTGTGGTTTAGTTGAAGTAATCTATTTTCGATGTAATAAATTTTCAAACCACTGGCTTTCATATCAAAACAAGTTATTGGAGTTATCGGATGGTTGCAACCTCCCTCTACATGTTTGGATTTTGAGGTGGGAGTCCCCATGTGGGCACTTGTGGTTGGCTGGTATTTTATCTGCATTTTTTTAATTCAGAAAAATACAAAAAATGGGAAGAAACTGCCCCTTTTTTCTCCTTTACTAAATATTTATAAAATTTACAAAACCTTTTGGTCGTTGCTTCTGATTGATCAATAAATCTCTGCACTTTTCTCAAGGAAATTTTCTGAACCTGGTGTGCTAGTCTTCCTCATGGATTGATTTTTTATTTTGAGAAATGAAAAATAACAACATAAAAAGATTTCTTACTTTGTAGATATTTTGTCTCATTTTCAGGCCACTAAACGGGCATTATCTTCACAAATGGATGGTGCGGAACGTTCTTTGGAGGAATCTATAGAATTTAATACTAGGACACAGCAAGAGGTGGGCCACCAAGTTAGATATTAAAGAGTAATTTAGTTTTTTGTATTTTCTGTTTCACGATCATTGACGAAAAATATTTTGAGCCATTTATAGGCTATTGAAGTACGAGAAAGAGCGAATGCTGTCTGTGAGAATATTAGAGAATTTCAACATGCAGTGCAGACTCTGGTAAGTCATTGTTTATATATTCATTTCTTTTCATTTCTCTCCTACAAGTATGCATGGACAGGAAATCAAATACTGATAATTTTTTTGTCTCAGGAAACAAAAATTAATGTAATAGAAGGGAATCAGGTATTATAGCATTACGCCATAAGACTTGTGGCAATTTTTACACTTGTGATTTATGAGGAATTATTTTCTCCTGCAGAATACTGTTTTAATCTGATTGTCTGGCCTTTGACATATTCCTAGGATGTGACTACTAATGGAGTATGGAAGTTATGTGACTATGCCCTGAACATTGAAAAGGGTGGAACTGCAGAACGTATTCAGGCATGTACAGACTATTTCATCCATACATGTCTGATGGTTTTTCATGTCTGATTCGACAGTCATCTTATGTTACTTTCTTTTGACTATTGATCAGTTGTGCTGCTTTTTGTAACAAATTCGACCATGCCTAGCCTTAAATTTTATATTTGTAATGTTACTTCAGTCTGAATTTTCACATCTCTGGTTTTGTACCTTTATGTTATCATGCATGAGTTTCAATTGATATTATTCCTTTGGTATCATACTGACTCTAATTTCCATGGTCTTCAGGCATCACCATCCGGTTTTTCTGGCCCAGTTCGTGAACTACCACCCACCTCCCCCTCATCTTCGGTAAAAATTATCATCAGTTTCAGTAAATAGATTTACGCTAACAGTTCCAATAAAAAAAATTATGCATGTCAGTTTTAATTTTTTTATAAAAAAAATTATGTCCACTTCGTTCTAACAATTGTCTCCCATTTAAATTTTTTAGTTTTTTATTTTTTTTAATAACTAGTGTAAGGGTTTAATATGCATGTGCACAAACAAAATGGAGTGAATCCGGAAAGATTGCCTCAGTTCGGCCAAATATCTGATTCACGGGTTTTTGTAGGTGACACCACTTCAGCCCTTGAGGCCAGCACTCGAGCTACCCCCATATTCATCCTCGAGGGTAAGTTTTATCTTTGAGGTAGAGTATACTGTTGATCAATCTTAGTAAGATAGTACACTGATTTGGTTGAGGGTTTAAAACAAATACCTGTGGGTCTTATTGCTTTGAAGTAGTTTGATATCGTGCATATATGTTACAGAATTCTAGATATGTACCATCATGATGCCCGGATTCCAAAGGCAGAATAGCTAGATCAACAAAATATGTTTTATCTAAAGAATAATTATATCACCATTCCCTTTCTGTTTTCTGGGCCATTACTATACTTATGGGCTATTTTTAGTGGTTGCATTGCATCCATAGACTTATTCATCTCCAGTTGTTTCAGGAGAACAGAGGCATCTTGGAAGCAGCTGAGGCATCAAATCGCGGTGAGGTTTCTAATGGGTTTCGTGCTCTGGAGGGCACAAACAAAGCAGCTTCCAGTTCTCGGTGGTTTGGGTTTGGGTTTCCAACCTCTAATACTTCGACAATCCTAAGGACGCGAAGTGCTACAAGTGGGATGGTGCAACAGAAACGATCAACTAGTCAGCAATTATGAGGATCTCTGTATAGATCTGCCATTTAGAATGTATTTATGTGATAAATCATTTGGACGACTCTCTTGTGGGCGAAAGCCTTCAGCAGTTTAGACTGGTTAGTTTTAGAGAGCCAACCTCAAATGTAGTTGGTGCCTAGTCCCCTATTCAAAGTCCATTGGAACGGGACCGGTATTGAATTTTGTAGAGCAGTGGTTATGTCATAATATAATATGGTTATCTAAGATGACTTTCTTTTTTGGTTACATTGGGAGGAAATAAACCCCGGTGCTTCGATCCTCGATCCTAGGTGCCGAGCAGGGGGAAGGCCCATTGTAGTATGACATAATTTATGTAATAACGATTTTTAAGTATTTATGTTTGTATATTATAAAATATCGCAGGTGGGAAAGGGGAAGAGAATCAGAGAGGAGGTTTTGGATACCAACTCATAATATATATGGTCTACGAGAGCATTATTTTCCAATGTTAGAAGAGGTGCTAAGTTGGAATTCTCACCAAAATGAAAACAAAATTTAAATGTAATTCATGGGCAAAGGCGTCGTGTTTATTTAACTTCTGCTAATAATAGCGTCACCACTGATGGAGTTACGATTTAGAAAAATTACAAAACCTTCCACTTAAGTCAGACTACGATTATATTTAGAAAAATTACAAAACCTTCCACTTAAGTCAGACTATGATTATATTGGTTTAGTTTAGACCATGGCTCGTATCTTTTAAATCATATACAAGCCTACAAGTTCATATGGTATTTATGCAAATTTATATTTTAAAAAATAATAAATAAAAATCGTGCGGATCCTTAGGCAGCGCAAGCCCAATTCTTTTGTGTCCATTGTATACCTTTACGAGAAAGGCCAACCGGAGTGTCCATTTATTTCCCGCCATTTTTCTGTTTTCGGCTTCTTTGGCGCGCAAGTATAAAATAATGAACTGACGCAACTGTGTGGCCCACTAGACTAGAGATACTTTCTCTTCTGAGCTCGCTCATCGGACTGAGAAAAGAGAGGAGCCAAAATGGAACCCTTTCGGTCTCAGAGGAAATTGATCGTCAACGACGTCGTCTCGACCCTCCCTCTCTACCGCTCTGCTCCCGCCCTTGAAGTTCGTCTCGAAGAGTTCGAGCTTTTCGCCCTCGATCGCCTCCGAGGTAATTCCTACCTTCTCGATAACTTTTGCAAATTTCGTTTCCGAGCAAGAGTATTTTTGGTCCAAAAATTCGGGCAGTTTTTGCTTTAATTTTTGTTTGGTTCCTCAGAAAATGTCGGAAAGGTGAACGCATTTTCTGGTGCTAAGTTAAATATATTATACCAGATCTTTCACCGTTTAGGGCTCCAAAATTAACCGAAAAGAAAGAGCTAACAAGTATGGGGCTGAGACTCAATGAGATCATAGTGGTAGACGGTCTCGTATGTTGTATTGTATTGTCCGGATTTGTTCTTTAATAAACTTCTCAGTAAGGTAGAAAATACTGAAAGAGTAGAGTTTTGAGCATAGTTAAAATTCAACATTTGACTGTCGCTGTTGTTGGTTTGGAAGTAAATGCAGGAAAATATTTGTTATTTGCCTGCTAGAGTGTGACTGTTTGGGAGCTGAGAAATAGAAATGCTTTCTGAAATAGTAATTGATAGCAATTACTGCTTTTTATGCAGTGCTTAAAGGGATTTCTGATGCATTATCACGAGGAAGGAAACCTGAAGAAATGGAGAAATTGGTAAAACCATAGTTCCAGGTTGAATATCTTTCAATTTCCCTTATTACATGCTTTTCGCAAGTTAACATTTAGGCCTTTTACAGGCAATTGATCTATGGAAGACAAATATGAGGCATCCTCAGGCATCCGAGGTCATCAACAAGGACATAATATCACACTTTGTTCTGCGTCTAGTTTATTGCAGAACGTAAGAACTCAATGCTTTTTGTTATAAATGTTTGTGCCATAAAGATTTCCTCATTTTATCTTATTCTATTATTGTTAACTTTTAATCCGTGTCTTAGGGAGGACCTGAGGAAATGGTTTCTTTCCATGGAGACTGCCCTATTTCGTTACCGGTTTAAACAGGAAAAGCAAGAAGCTCAGGTAATATGCATAGTGATTGGTCCATTTTGTTAGTCAGTTTCTGATGATGTGAATATTCTGCTTTTGGGAATTCAGAGGGCACTCATGGCAGAATTTGATCTTCCATACAAGGCAGTTAGTAGTTCAGAATTTGAGGTAATTATGTGCCTCATACTTGTGATATCATGAACTCAATATATACAAATGTTTATCTGAAACTAAGATCATTTCAGCATTTTGTATCAGTCTACTTTTTCAAGCCTTTAATGTCTTGGTATGTGTTGCAATCACTATATTATTTTATCTTCCTGTACAGAGTGTAAAAGAGAAATTGGTCCTGGTTTCACGTTCCCTTGGTCAATCTTCACCAACTGGTACGACAGAGTATCGATTTTATTGGTTATTGTATCTGAATACTTGAGTCAGTAAATTTTGCATCACTTTTATAATTGTGGGTTTTTTTAATTCCACTCAGATGCACTGTTAAGATATCCTAATTTCTAGGTATGTTCAATAGTGTGGTGTCTGCCTATGTTGTTAGGTCTTGCATTCGGCATGTTCATTTACCTTTTTAAAAGGAATTGCAATTTGTTGCTCACGTCCCAAAAAATAGTGATTATCTACATTTTCCTTCATAGTTATCTATATTCTAATTTGCTCCTTTTATTGCTTTCTTTCTTTTGCAGCTGATGACATCTTCTTCAAGGTGTGTTTATCTTTGCTTCATGCTACTCTTCAACCGTATTTTCTTTTCCTTATTATTTGTTTAAGACAGTTTATCTAGTTATTGGAGTATAGGTATGAGTCTCCCAACTTCTGTTCATGTGGAAGTATGGACAAAAACCATGTCTGATGTTCTTGTTGGTCCAATGTGGTCCTATGGAACAAAACTGACATATTCAGTTGGTTCTATTTATTGCTTGTGTTGTTTTATGGATGAAATCAATTATTAAGAAAACTAAATTATTGAACGCATCTAAATTCTAACTTGCTATAAGCTCTCCAGCCCTTGCTAGATTTTCCACCATGAATCTTATTTTGTCAAAAACACTCAAAAGAAACATGTGAGTATGTGGGTTTGTATTCTGATGGTTGGAAATATGTTAATGCATTGTTTGCAAATTTTGGGAAGAAGGAGCTTCCTGATCTTGTAGTCTTCAAATTAATAAGTCACCTTATGTCAGTAACATTTGTATTTTTCTCTTTGTTTTCCTTCTGTCTTTTTTCTTATTATCCCACTCCTTCATGAAGGTACCATTTGAAGAAGTTCCAGAACTTGTAGCTGGTCGTAGAGTGTTCATCAGTAAGGGGCATGCATATATAGCTATGAGTCAGGTTAAATTTGATGCTTTCTATTAGTTCTTGCACATATCCATAAAATGACGATTATCCTTGATATCATTTTGCGTTTATTTACTCCTCACTCTCTCTCTCTCTCTCTCTCTCTCTCTCTCTCTCTCTCTCTCTCTCTCTCTCTCTCTCTCTCTCCAAACAATAGGTGGTTTCCCTTGTTGCCACACAATTCCGCAGTCATCTGTCAAAGGCGCTTATTTTGACAAACAGGTTATTGTTGGCTATATGTAATTGAAAAAGTGTTGGTAGTTAAAAACTCATTGATTATACTTGATATTACTTGGTATTATTTTTTCCTCTGTATTGTCTGGAAAATCTAAGTGGTTTTGGGTTTTTCTAAATATCTGAAGTTGCATTTTCTTCTTGCAGAAAATGGACTACAACTATAGCAGAACAAGAGAAGGATCGGTTGACTCCGGTGAGTATCGGATCGTGAACCTTATATGTTGAAATAGGCATATATTTTAAAGTTAGCTTATTGACAATTTTTTTCCCTTTAATTTCCATTCAGATTGTTGAAGCCCTATCCTCAAGTTACCTGGGACCTGACTATTCTCAGGTAGGTCATTCCTTGTATTAACACATCTATTACCCATACGTATCAATTATAAGTTGAAGTTGATTAGTCTATGTTGACTGCCTTTATAGCCAAAAGAATTTGCTCTGATTTCCTTAAAAGACATTGATGATGTAGCTAAGAGCTCCTTTCCTCTGTGCATGCGTCACCTGTTTGAAAAGGTATAAAAATTGGATAAAGAATGGCGCTTCTTTGTTTTTCTGGCTTTGTTATTCACATCTGTCTATTTTATTTGCTAATTTTTCTTCTCAGGTTCTTTTGAAGTTTTTATATTTCACTGTTCTCTTGTTCATTCGTTCTGCTTATTTGCAGTTGAGAGAGGATCATCATTTAAAGCATGGAGGTAGAATGCAACTAGGTCTCTTCCTCAAGGTTAGCATTTCAATGAGCCGCATCAGTCTGGTTTCTGTCCTGTCTTTATGTGGGTATAGATTAGCATTTCAATGAGGCGAGACACATGTGGTGGAAAACTCCTTGATAACATGTTATTCCATGATTACACCTACTATTGCCGTATGTTCTATTTGGTTCAATTTAACTTTTCCACGTCCTTTCCAAACACATACTTCTCAGTTTCTCTTTTTTATTCATACGCATCATGCATAGTTACATAGACATCAGATACTGATCACTGACATATACCACTGCTTGGGTTGAAGTGGTGCTTTTTTTATGTCTTGATATGTATGTTAGTGACAAGAGTGATCAAAATTATTGAAAGTCATTCACCCTTTTTGTGTATGTGCTGTAAAAAGTTGCATTACCTGTTTATAGGAAATGTAAAGATTTGCATTAGCTGACGTTTATTTTGGAGAATTCAGATATATTATTAAATCTTCAAGTTTTGCTGCACATTTTGATGCATGAAAAGTGTCAGTTGACGTTTATAAATACCACCTTGCTATGTCAAATTGCATAATTTGTCAAAAGAATCATGAATCTGTCTTTCTAGCACCTTCTTTTCCCATTGGTTATTTTTTCACGAATTTTGTTGATTAACCTCTATGTGTAGGGTGTTGGCTTGAAGCTGGATGATGCCCTTGCGTTTTGGAAAGCTGAGTTCTCGCGAAAGGTGAGTGGTGTTTTTGAAGTCTTTCATCTACCAAATCTTCATCATCGTAAAGGCACAAAGTTTTCATCTAACATTTCATGGCACATGTTATGTGCTATCAAGATAGCAATCCAGCTTATTTGTCCACATATGGTAGAAGGATGAGGCGTATTTTTATTGAAAAATGTCAGTAAGATGCTTTTCTTTCCTGGTCCTTCTGACTTGCCTTGATTCGATGCTTTGTGCTTGATCTTTGTCATAGGTTGGTGCTGAAAGGTTTGACAAAGAATATTCATATGGCATACGCCACAATTACGGAAGAGAAGGGAAAAGAACGGTAAGACATCAAACTCAGGAGCAGATACTTGGATGTACCTGTAAAGGAATACTTAATATGATGCTCTGCGTTATGATCACAATCAAATATGTTTACTTTTGGACATTGCAGGATTACACACCTTATTCCTGTCAAAAAATCATCTCTTCTACTCCTGGTGTAGGAGATCATCATGGATGCCCGTATCGAAATTTCAAGTAATTACTATTATAAATTTTTTAATTATGCATCTGGATGATGTTTAACTTGGCATAAAGAGATTTAACCTCTGAACTTGGCCTGTGTGACATTACTGGATGCGTTGTATTGGATAGAACTGCCACAGCTATATATATAATTCAATAGTTTTTTAGCTAAAGTATACATTGTTGATCAACACCATCGAACAGGGAAGTTATAGTTTAGTGTCAAATGACCTCAGTATACCTTATCAACTTCAACCATTTTCTTTTAGTCCTCACACTTTAATCGCATCTCCTCGCCCTGGAAAACAGTACTTGCTCATCATGGCTTCTTTAATTTATTTTTTTGGAAACACTTGTTTGATAACTTGAGCAAATTATACTCATTGGCTCTTATTTTTCTGTGACAGTGAAGAGAATTTGAGAGCAGCTCTCAATAAAATGGGAGTTACTGGCCGTGCAGTTGGAGATGTCATGGACAAAGTGCGAAACAGACATTATCAGGTGAAAATTTTACTACATGCATAAAAAATTGTTCCAGGCTCAGCTTTTTTCGTTCTAACACGAAGTTAATACATGCGGACTACTTGGTAATATGCATCAGCTGGCATGCACCTTGACGTTTGAAGCTGTTCATGGGTCATCATGCGATGCTGGGATTAACCATCCAAATCAATACTTTTCTGACAGCCAAAAGATTATGCAGTCCAAGGTAAATTATGTTTTTATTATACAAAAAGAGACCCCCCCCCCCACCCAAAAAAAAAAAAAAAAAAAATAAAAAAAAAATAAAAAACTCAACGGAAATTCGGTTTTTCGGGAGTGTGCCTAATTGATGCATAATAAGCATGCAGTAGTAAAAAGATGCTGAAGTTACGTTTTGAAAGCTTGCCTAACCTTGATCTGTTTGTTTGAGGCCTTAAAAAGGGTGAAGTTGTACCACGCGCTTATCCAAATTATTCTCTTGCAGAACCAGTCTGCAGCTTAAGGAGAGCTTTTGGGCATTGTCATTTCAGACAGAGGTACTTCTCTCTAAATAGTCTACTTAAGTTAGTGCAGTTTGTGCAAGTGAAGGACACACCTAACCCAAATGCAAATAACAGAGCATCGAGCCAAAGTGGACCCAAAATTTTGATTGTTCTATCCACATCTTTCCACTCAAGGAAAGCCTTTAAAGTCGGTTCTCTGCCTTAAAGTAGGCCATGCATTATGGTTTTTATACACATAGAGATGGCAGAGCTGGTGGCCCCACCTTTCCTTTCCTGGCATAAAGGTTGGGTTCTGCTTTACATTGAAAAATATGTAATTTAGTATTATTTAGAATCGCATCTTCATGTGAAAATTCGGACCTCTTGATAAGAATAGTGCATGGTGTGGCATATTGTCTGTTTTCATTCGTCTGATTTTGGGTGCTCAATGTGGAAATAGCATCACCTGGATCAGATTAAACGTAATCTTGTTGACGAGAAAGGGGTTGGTTCTATTCTAGCAAGTGTTGCAAACATGGCTCCAGCACAAATTTGGTGTATAGGTTTGATTGATCAGACTGACTAATCACGAAGCACATGATAAAATATAATGTTAAATGTTCCTATTGAGGATATAGGGTGAAATGCTATCTTTGTTCTATGAAAGATTTTCGTTTATAATTTGAATAATGCTCTCGTAATTTCCAATTCGAATTATGTAATATTCTACATCGGTTTTTTTGTGTAATATTTGATTATTATTTTTTCATTATGTACAAACAATAGTATGGTTCTTAGATATGACAGTGCATTTGAGTGAACAAAGTATATTGTCAATGGCTTTTATTACTTCTTATTCGTTTGCCGAGAGCGAATTTCTTTATTTATTTTTAATACAATCGATGGTTTAAATGATAAGGGAATGCATTATCGTGTATCTAATGTCCATTGACCCACCTTCAAATTGGGTAGGAGATATGAGGCCTAAAGGCGAAAAAGGCACTCATTAATCAGCTCGACCCCTTTTTTATTAAGCTTTGCCATCTTTTACCTTAAAAGTCTCGTTTGTTTCATGGAACGAATTTAAGAGGAAATCATTTCTCATGTCATTTCTCAAGGGATGGGGAAATGAATCCATTTCCCATGTTTGGTAATGCTGGGAAAGTAATTGGGAAATATCACTTTATTTTCTTTTTCATGTTTGTTTTGAGTAGGAATGGAAAAGAAAGTTCGTATAAATTTTCAATTATACTCATATTAAATTAAATAAAAAAATAATGCATTTAATAATATATTGTAATTCTAAATTGTTAATTGGGACAAAATAGTCATGAAAAATGTTTATTTAATATTTGCTCATTTTTCCAAACTTTTCCATGAGGAGGGAAAACAAAACTCAAGTTGAGAGAATGACTTCATTTTCCCCCATATTTTCTCATGAGCCAGACAACGATTTCTTATGCCTAGACTTATCAAATATGGGAAAACAATTGATTTCTCATCCCTAAGTCTCCTTTCCCGTGAACCAAACAGGACCTAAGAGAATATCTCTTAGGTCCCGTTCAAGCGCTCCGCCTTTGTTCATCTATAGCTGCCATGCTTGGTATTGTAAACACATATCTATTGCTTGCTGCCCTTGAAAGTCTCAAAACAGCCTATTTTAGACCTTAATTTAACCTTTCGCCGAGTGTTATTGTTAAATCTAATGGCAAGGTACTTCCCGTCATGAGAATTAGAGTGAAGGGTTTCTCACACACTACTAAAGTATCATAGGAGTTCGAACCTGAGACAATTAGTCTGCAAGTCAATGTCTTTTTCCAATAGACTAGACTCTGTTTGCACAGATTTTTATATTTCGTTAAACATCAATCACCACTTTATTCAAGTTATTATATAAATGTATATTAATGTTCACATTGAATTACCAACTAACTTTTAATTTAATGGTATTTCATTTCCTATGTTAGAATAAGTCTCAAGTTCGAATTTCCTACTCCCATTAATAAGAAAAAGAAGGGAACCTAAACCGACGGTGAGACTATAACATTGCTTTTTCTTCTTTTTGGTGAGGAAGACTATAATATTGTTGGTAAAGTATCCTTAAGAAAACATATGAACATCATAATGGGCAACATGTGAACGTTGAGAAAAATAAACCTAGCGGAGTAGCGGGGGGGGACCATCACCTTTTAGAGGGGAAGGAGGAGTCTCTCTCTTTAGAGAGTTGGGGTTTGCACAAGCGTGCAAAGATCTGTTTGCTATTTTACTTGTTTTAATTTGAACAAAAGGGCTTTGCCTTCCAAACCCCAAGGTTTTCGGGTCGTCAAATTTGAGCAGAGCTCCTCCTCCCCTGCAAGTTTACAAGTGAGAAAAATAGAAGAAGAAGAAGAAGAAAGAAGTACCCTTCTTTTTATGACCTAGTGGGAGTGCACAGTGGCTTTGCTTTGCTTGCTATGCGCCACCATTATTGTGTTTCCATTTCCGTAAGCAAATTCATATTTTAAACTATGAGTCATAATACGGTTCCTCTCTTTAGCTCACGTAAACTATCATTACAATTTAGTGCTCAAACATAAACTAAACATAAAAATGATATATATTCATATTTCTTAATTACATGAGCTGTTTTTTTTAAAACCGAAGTTAAGGAGCGAGGGGAAAATTTACACACACGAGTACTACGGAGACTTAAATTCAAGATCACTTGAAGCGCTAAAAGCCAACTAACACCCTATTGGTAATTACATGAACTTGATCCACTTCCTCTTCTAACCCGATGGCTGATCCTTCACAATATTGGTTTCAACTTTTGTGCACATGCCATTGTCCTCCTCCTCGCCTGCTACTTTTCTGGTTTTGATTTTGGTTAGTGGATATGGGTTAAAACTCCAAGTCAAATAGAGCTCAGAACCCAAGAAGGAACATCATGGAATGTGAGCTATGGAACACAAGATTAATTCCTTTTTTTCATGTCCCTCTGACCTTTCCACTCTTTTCCACTTTTGGTACTTCACTTTCTCTCACTTACAAAGTTGAAAGCAACTACGCTCTGTCCCTTTCCCTTCCACACGTTTTTGTGCATTTATTTATTTATTTCAGTTTTCACTCTTTATTAATCTTTGTGCATTTTATTTATTTTATTGTCAGCCTTGTTAGAAAATGGCTGCGAGCCTAGAAGGGTAAGGAGGAGACTTACCAAAAGATGAGCCTTCGAGTTATTGTGGTCTCTTTATTTCCCTTTATAACTCTCTCTTTTTTTTCCTCTCTGGAGTTATCCATACAACAAGCTGCTCTCTCTGTTTCCTGCTCTGCCCTGCTTGCTAGCTACTAGTAGGCATCTCTCTTTTCATAAACTTTTACTCCAATTTTCTGTCAGACAACTGATGCCTCAAAACTCCAAACCAGGCTTCTTATTATTGTTTACCTTTTCAAGAATGTCCACAAGTTCTTCTACATCGATTTGTTTTTTCAGTTTTCATGCTTAATTACACGCAGCAGCAGCAGTTGTTTTTTTCCTTGTTTTACTTCCTCTTTTCAGGGTTTCTCTATAATTTGGACGGCGGGATCAAACTAAAGCAAGTTTTGTGCTTCACTTTTGCCTGATTTCCAGGCTTCCCTCAGAGGCTGAGGTACCCATCATTCTATTTTTTAATCCTTTTCCTCATCATGTTCTTGTTGTGATTTTAGGGAATTGTACTTGAAAAATGATTTCCTTTTCTTTTCTTTTTTTTTAAAGGCTTAAAACAGTAAAAACTGTAGTGTGCATCATTAGTCAATATTGGTGGGCTAGCTACTAGATTTGCTTTTCATGCCTTCAAGGTGATCCAAAATTTACTGCTTGAGAGAGTTTAGGGAAGAAAAATTTTAAGGCACACTTTTGAAGAAATAATGAAAGGATTCAAGACTGTTTGTGATACAGATGATAGTGCTAGCTAGCTCACGTGGCATACTGACACTTATATAATTATAGCTTTTGAATAATCAAAAAAGTTGTTTTCCAAAATGCATCTCCAGGCTGATAGTTTCTTACAAAATTATATGTAACTTGGAGGAAATATTTTTCATCTTATTTGGAAATTTCAAGAGAGATTCACTATTATACCCAATATAGGAGCCCAAATTATTATTATTATTTTTTAAATACCCTATATGAAATGAACTTTATAAACACATCCAAAACTCATTTACAACATAATAAAAAGGTTTTTAACTTCTTTTAAATTACAAAATTGTCATTGATTTCTTAACACAAACTCAACCCCAAAACCTCATAAAAAAGCTCAGAACACTTAATAGGGCATCAAAGTAATTTAATAATCAAAATGAAATTCAATATGGCCAGCTGTCATTTTTTGAGTTTGTTTATATAAATTAAATGGTGTAGGGTTTATCTATATTATTAGTGCTAAGAATGAGTATATGACTAAATATCTCAAATTTTAAATTGTTGGGAAAAAGAGAATTAAATAATGATACTACTCGCCTTCTACTAGTAAGGAGATATTCAGAATCACAGTTTGACACATATGCAAAAATAATTCATCAAAAACACAAAACGAAAAACTTTTGAACACGAAATACTGCTATTGGCAGGAATGTAGGAGCTCCTACTTACATAAGGAGGGAAGTATTTTCCATTAAGTGGATAACAACTTCTCATTTAAAGTTCTCTCTCGCTCTCTCTTCCCAATTGGTAGGCATGTTGAACAAAGGAAGACAGGGAACCCAATGCTCTATGCAGCAGTACTTTTGGATTTTGGTGATGCGTAAAAGAACAAATGTATTTTAGGGGAAAAGAAAGTGTTCATTCCAAAGAGTCTTTTTCTTTTGGCTATTACTGAGGACATTTTGGAAACTGGTTGCCCAGGAGAGAAGGCATATTAAAGATTGTTCCAATTTCATTCTGCTTCTGGCTTAGGACTGCATACATAAAACTAGAGGATATCTCTTGATAAAGTTTGAAACTTGTGAACTTGGGCAATATGGAGAACGGATCAAAGGGCAAGTTGAAGGATCCAGGGGTCTCTATGATGAAGTCATCTTCGAGTGCTGCATCTTTGAAAAGACCGCGAAGAACCAATAATGGAGCCCAAATTGCATCATGCTTGGTTGATGGGTGCAATTCAGACCTTAGTGAATGCAGGGATTATCATCGACGCCATAAAGTATGTGAGCTCCATTCAAAGACCTCAAAAGTTACGATCAAGGGCCAGGAACAGCGGTTCTGCCAGCAATGCAGCAGGTAAAGGAGGAAGAAATAATCTTATGTTAACTACTGTGACGAAAATGTATATCTGCTCACAACAAAAACTTGTGCAAGCTATAAGGTCAAGCTGTTGAAATTAGAACTAAGGGGCCAGAAGTAGAATTCAACTTATTTATGTTCATAAGTTGCTCTGCCTAATAAAATGTATTTGTTGGTTTGCCCCATGTATAATCCAACTGTCGTGCATTCAAAAAATAGAGCATCTTGAACTAGCATATGAGAGTTGGACGCATTCTCTTACAAACTAGTCTTACGTGGAATTGGTGACCTCAAAACCCGATTAGATGTCTTAGTCTTTATGTATAGGCATAATGCTCAGTCATTGAAAAAAGATGGCTACCATATGGCAAGTTTTACTTGTGTGTTAATTAAGACTTCTTTCCACATATCCTGGTTGCCTTCTTTATATATATGTTGACATTCTTCATCGCATTACTAAGGTTCCATTCATTGGAGGAGTTTGATCAAGGAAAAAGAAGCTGCAGAAGACGTCTTGCTGGACACAACAAACGCCGAAGGAAGCCTCAATTAGAACCCATGTCCACAAATTTGGGAAGATTCCTTTCCAGTTACCAAGGTTTGGATTTTTAATTGGGAAGGTTGTGTTCATGGACAGTGTATTTCACATTTTCCATAGTCCTGATGAGATATCTACAATTGTTTTCATTAGCATAACTTGAAGTACAATGCGTTCATATACAGGCACAAGATTCTTACAATTTGGTAGTCCACAAGTGTGTCCAACAATTGCTGTAATGAACTCTGCATGGGGTGGGGCTATGAAAGCAGAGAATGATGATGTGCTTCTTCATAGTCACTCGCAGTTAAGTGAGACGAGAAGAAACTTATTTCCGGGATCTTTGTCGTGTCAACAGAGCATTGAGTCCATCCTCTCTCAAGCTTCTGCCTGCCAACAACTTGTTGGTACCAACTTTGCATTGGGAAATTCAGGCAACAGCCACAAGATGTTCGCCAATGGATTATACCGCGACGTTGAATCCAATCGTGCTCTCTCTCTTCTGTCATCGACACCAGCATCCCGGGGGGAGATCGGTTTGAGCCACGCAGGGCAGTCCAGTTCAATCTGGCCAGCTCAGCCCCTGATCCCTAGACTGCGCTACAATGTTTTGGGAATGGACGATGACGCTGCCATTTCCAATTTGGTTGCTGATGGCAGCAGCAATGCCAATAATATGCATTTCCAGGGCATGTTTCAGATAATATCTGATGGCTCAACTGCTGGTGCCCCTCACTAGAAACCCTATCCGGCTGGTGGGGGTAATTTTATCTGCATAGATTTAGCTCTCTTTGTGATTAAACATGAAGGAGTTGACTGCCCTTCAAAAATTGAGAGAGATCAAAATGTTTCTTGTTTGTATTTTTCTCGTACCCCCGAAGAGAAATAATCATGCTGCTATATGAAAGTATTTTCTATTTCCACGATGTAACCATTTTATAAGTTGTTCGCTCTGATAGTCTGAATCATATTTGTCTGAGCTGATGACACTTTTTCTATTTCAACACAATACATGAAATGATTGACCAATTATCTTTGAGTTTTGTGAAACTAGAGACCACTGATCCTAGGGGTAGGAAGGAAGGAGGGGAATTTACTCACACACCTCGGTGCTTAGGGGTTTCGAACCTAAGACCATTGATCTTAGGCCAATCATGCTTTTCCATTATGGTCTGACCCCAAACATGCTTTGAGTTTTCTTTTTCTTTTTTTTGGTATGAACATGCCTCATATTTGATCCCGGTGGTTGAAGGACCTGTATGGGCTCTAGCCTCTCGTGGAGCCCAGGTTTTCTTTTTCAAAGTTTATTCAGTTAGCCCAGTTAATTCTCAACTCCAGCCCAATTTTAAATCTTAGCTTCCCCTCTGTTTGAGCCTCACATTTATAGTGAGGGTTAACTACCTATTTTATTAACCTCATATTCTCCTTCGTTTTCATTTTCTTAATTTGTCTATTTTTAATAGTAATAAAAATTAATGGGAAACGAGGGTTCGAACTTGGGACCTTTTGAAAGGGAAGTGCAACTAGTAAGAGTTAGATAGTAATTATGAAAACAAAATGCACTTAATTAAACCAACTTGAAACAGAAATTTCTTAAAACTGTGTTTTAACCTTTGAGCTCGTTTGATAACCATTTCAATTTCAATTTTTTTATTTTCATTTTCATTTTTTGTGCTAGATTATAAAGGAAAATGAAAATGAGAATGAAGTGAGGATGAGATTGAGAAAGAGAAAGGATGAGAGGGAGGATAAACAAAAGTGAAAACAATTTCAAATAGATTTCAATTTTTAGTTTTGGTTACTCTTCCCTCCTATCCTCCCTTCTCATCTTCCCTCTCAATCTCATCTTCACTCTCATTCTCACTTCCATTCTCCTTCTTTTTTCCTCTATACTCTAACACAAAAAATAAAAACTAAAAACTAAAATTGAAATGATTATCAAACGAGCCTTTTGATTATCAGTGTAACAACATAACACGTTTTGCTTTCCCAAATAATTGACATAATTTAATGGGGGGATATTTGGGTCGCTGTTGGCTTACTGCTCTGCTCTGTCCATTTGTGGTGGTTGAAGATGACCTAAAGTAGACAAAAGGCAAACCAAATTAAGTTACTTTCCTTTTCATAAGTGAAGACCTCCAGTTCGTTAACCCTACACTGCAATGGCCCCTCCTCTGCAAAGGCCCATTACCGCACATGCTCCCCACACACAACATTGCTTTCTTCACAATTATTAATATTATTATGATGGAGATATCAAATTAACCTAATTGTGGTTCTAAATTAATCTCCAAATTAACAACCACATGAATCATGATGATGAGACGATCAAACATGATGTTTATTTTTTGGATTTATAATTATAAGTAGGTTAGTTCATATGTTAATTTACAGCTTTGGGCAGCATGCACTTCTAAAAAGATACTAGCTAGTCTTGCTGCCTTCTCTAGTAGCCGCAGTTTTGTCTTGCTTATGAACCATCAAATTTGTGGAGGAAAAAGGGGAAAGTCTTTTTGGAAATTAGGGTTTTTGATGTTGAAAAATCACTAATTTTCCAAGATTGGTTATTCACACACGAGTTGCCTCAAAGCAAAAGTGAGGGTTTGGGTTTCATATATGTATCTTTGTGTTTTTTTTTTTTTTTTTTTTATATAGATTAGGGTTGCAAGCCATGTGCATACATTATAAGTTGTTAGTGTCTCCACATTGAGTAATTTTTGAGATGGTTATGCCTTTTAAGATCAAGTTACTAGGTTAATTAAGTAAATTATTATGCCTATTAACCCATCCTCGAGTACATAGCTCGTGTCCTTAGCCAATTACCTAATGACTAATCACACACAAAACACGTTATTGTTAATTTCTTGTTAGGCTTTAGTTTGAATATTGAATTCCCAATAAATTCTCCAAATTTAACAAAATGGAAAACTAATGATTACTAACACGCTCATTTTTATAGTTAGTCGAGCACACTAGTCGGTCAATTTTGACCAATTTATTATGAGTGGGCGACTAGTCCTAACACACTCATTTTTCTTCTTTTTCTTTTTAAAGTGATGATATGATAACATTCTTAAACAGAAGCATATAGTTGTTCTTTATTTCTTCCTTGTTGCTTTTACCAAAGCTTGCTGATCACAAGAGCAAAGAAAGACTCAAAGATAAAGAGACTTTGAATTATTAATGGGTGCACTGAGAGACAAAAAAAGAATAGTGACGTCTTCGAAAGGAGAGTAAAAAAAAAAATGGGCCAGCAAAGAAACTGGATCGGTGTTTTTGAAAACGAAGATGAATTAGAAGAGGAACCCACTTGCGACGTGACTTCCTTAAAGACATGTGCCCAAATGGGAAAGAGGTCCACGTATCATTCTGGTTGACGTTGATGGTGTTCGCCCTAAAATGGAAATAAATCTGACAGGTGGGGGCCCACTCTCTGTTCAACCGTGTCCATTGGATTTCCTCCTCCTCCTCCTTTTTATCAAATGTGCTTGCTGGTCCCCACCCTCCACCGCATTCAGAGCTTCATGAAACCCTAGATTGTGAATTATAATTGAAAGTGACAAGATTTACAATCTTACACACATACAAGCTATTAAGCTAAACTGGCTGTGACATCAAATTCCTTTATCGACTACTTCTAGGCCTCAGATATGCTTTCTAATCTGGGCATTCAAAATTTGACCATTTTTTCTGTGCTTTGCTCCCTCATTTTCAAAGGGAAAAAAATGTCAAGAGTGCGGATAAGAGCATAGTGAAAAGATCTTAATATCAAGCTTTAAACCCGATTTGAATATAAAACGATTCGTAAACATGTCGAGTTAGTGTTAAGTATTCTGCGACGATAATGGAATAGTTCGAATTAAGGCTGGAAACGACATGTTTAGATTATTAGGCATGAACCCGAAAGCCCTAGTGCAAGCAAAACACAAAACGGTGAGTATAATTCATGATTTTCACCAAAGAAGCAAAAGCATACATGAGGAGTAACATCGGAAGCATACTTTTTCGACCATCACCACATTCTTAAAAACCCTTTTTTCATGATTTCATCAAACCAAGCCCATCACAAACTGGAGAGCAACCAATTTGGTTATATAAAAAAATCCAATGAGGGTTATGAAATGGAAATTATTCCAAAATTGACAACGCAAAGAGCCCCCCGTGGGCTGCTGATGAACAACTGCTAGCAGCTGCAGATGTTGATTTCTTTTTTCTTTTTCTCACGTACAAGTTTGACAGGTTGAGAAAAGCCATCTGCGTTTTTTTTTGGGGCCTAAAATAAAAAAGAAGGCAAAAAAAATAGAAACAGAAAAGCTAGCTAGCTAGGTAGCCATCTGTGTTTAGTGGTCCACTAGGATTGATGATGGGAGAGGTGAGTCTGAAGGCACGATGGTGGTGGTGGTGGTCGGTGGTCACAATCAAATAGTTGTGATCCAAATGCAGGCCTCTGTCACTTTGTGTTCGATTTTTTATCCTTGGCTGCGCTTCCATGTTTTATAACTGGAGACGGTAATTTTAAAGACGCCGTAAAAGAGTAGAATTCTTAGATTTTTTTTAACACTTTCCATCATGGTGTATGGAGATAGAGGACATAGACCATACCTTAAAGAAAAGAAGGTATTATTTCCATCATTGAATGTTATTTAGGTGAAACCCAGAAACCCAGTTGATTGGCTAAATTCAAAACTTTACCCTACCTTCCAAGTCCTGTAGCATTGGACCACTCCACAGTGTTTAAAACACATCGTTTAGAATTTGGGGTATTTCAGTTGGTCTTCATTTTGTCTCAACTCACTGCTTGACATATTATCGGCCCCCACCACACCAATGTTTCTGAGTTGGATTCTAGCTACTTATCTTCTCTTATCTTATCTTTGCCTCAAACGCATCAAAATTTAAACCTTGATTCAATCATATCATAGCTGTTGGATATGAAGCATATGAAATGTTCATGGTAAAAATCTAACTCAAATATGAGATGAGACTTAATTTTGTATGCGTTGTATCAGCCTTGTCGTCTACCTCCATATTATAACAAGTGTGCAAGTTATACTACATAGCTATACTCCAGTATGATTCTATAATTTCTCGTACGCTAGAATGACAAAAAATTCTTGAGTTGAGATGTTTAATCATAGAACTGGTTGACTCCACATCCACTTCAGGTTTGATGTATACATTCTTTTATTTCAAGTAAGATTTCAGATTATTAAGAAATGTATTTTAGATTAAGACATAAATCAATCTAAATGGTCGCATGCTTGTTTGATATGACTTCTTGGAGTTCACTTTAGAGTAGATATGCATTGCAAATATGTAAAGATATAAAGTTGTAAGATTTCACATATTTACAAGTCGACTTTTTCAGTACATGCACGATGGCCATGTTCACGAAAAAGGTACAGTTGTCTAATGGAGTTTGACCTTAAAAAAGTGGAAGCGCAAAGACACTTTGTGCTCCAACCTTAAAATTTGTAAGATAAGAACAAACTTAGTTTCATATATGTAGTTTACTTCTTTTTTATTTTTTTTACTTTTTTGCTGTCTGACCAAACACGAATTTTCCTTTTTGGTTTTTAATCTTAGTTTCTAATATCGGTTTGTTCTCATAGGAGAAATTCACTGCTCAATTAGCCAAGACAAGGTTCAAACCCTAGGCCCCCAATAGGTTACTATATCCATTGTTATACGGATGTTACAATAATGTAACATTCAATTTGTAGGATTAACATATGGGAAAAATTGCCTTTGCCAAGAAATTAAACAACATGCATATGATAAAATGTATTTGGATTAATTAGATGTATCTCTAATTAAACATTACACAACTCAACTCGTTTCATACAATAATTTCGAGTCATTAGGACATAAAAACTTATTATTCAATTTTATCAGTAACACTTTCAATAACCAATATTTGGAGTTTCTTTCAAATTTATAGCATGTTTAGTTATTTGAAATGAGAATTATTCTGATTGTTGACTTCCTCTGTGTTTACTAACACATAAAAATGTTAAAATTACGTGAGTTTTACGTTAAAACTTTATTCTTATTATTCAATTCTATGAGTGGCACTTTCAACCACCGATTGGAAATTTCTTTGAAACTTAATTTTTCTGAAAACCTGGACCAATACATATTCTAACCTACTTTGCAATCCGCCACCAAATTAAATAGTGGACTACTCGAAGTCTTAGTACTATAAAAAAGAGATGACTATTAGAATACCAAATATAATTATGAAAACACCATAGCTTTGCAAAATCATAAAACTGTTTATTTTGTGAGCTTTGGAAAAAATATAGAAATAAAAAGTTGGATTTGTGACTGGTCGATCACCATTAATTAGTAGGACACCAACTTAAACTTATGCCATGGACCACTAATTAATTAGGGCCATGTGAATTTGCACTTTTCTTTATCCAAAAATGTTTCAATGCCTTTTTTTATTTATAAGGTTTTTCCTATTGAAAGAGGCGATATCATACTAAATTCACACATAAAGTACGGATGCTAAGACTTGAACCCAGAACCTTGCTTGGGGGAGCAATTACTCCAAAAATGTTTCACTGCCTTTTAATTTTTCTTTAATGAATTGCAAAATTAAATTAATACTTTATCTCTAGATATTTTTCAGTGATGGATATATTGTATAGCATGTGCTATAAGGTAACTAAAATGTACGAAAATCTTGTAATTAATTAAGAAGAAGAAAAAAAAGAAAAAAAACTCCATCTAACAATTTGCCGGCACCGGACTAGGACGTGAATGATGCGACATTGGTTGGTTTGGCCTTCCTTATTTTGAATAAATTCTTCACTGATAACTTACCAATATATACTTTCCATTATCAACATATATGATCACTTGCTCTCTTAGACTTAATTTCTAGATAACTTAAACTACCACCTTATAAAAATAAAAAAAACTCAAACAACTGAATGCTCACACGGTGATTAAGTTGGTGACAATACGTATGCATTGAGGTCGTAAAACATGAAATGGTATATTACCGTGATGCCGATGTAATAATTGAGTGAAATCTGAAAAAGAAAACAAAAAATAACTAATGGGGAAAAAAGTTGGTTGGGTTGAATATGGTTAGACATTAAACATCTGGTTTTGCTTTAACTTGTAAATCATTGTGTACTTCGCGTCACTCCTTACGCAAAACCTTGCTTCAGCCACCTTCTTTCTTTGATCCACAAGTCCTCTCCTTAAATCCCTTCTTTTATGTATAAAATTTCCTCTCACTTCTGTTTCTATAAATTGTACAAGATTTTTCACATGGAAATGTCCTTGCAGGGATTAATTTGTCTACCCCATAATTAATAATTAAACGTTTCGCTGTTTAATTTGTCTTTATATATACTTAGGATACACGTGTATTTGGTAAGTGGCAGACCTCAAAACACTACTAAACCATGTTTAGTTAGCACACAACACACTCGAAAACCCAGATATTAAGGTCTAATCGAAGTAGAACCATCGTTTTATTTGGAGCAATGTTTCGACTCCATGCATGTCTAGGCAGTTTGGGTAAACATGTTTTATTTCTTAAAATATAATTTCACTTTCTGAGCTGAAAAGAAAACAACAGATGTAAATTTGAACTAATTGGTTTCAACTTATATAAACACACAGGCAAACAAAAAAACCTATAACATATCAAAACATGTTCAACCTGAGGTTAGAAATATTGAGTCTCTAGATGTTGCTGTAACCTACCACTTAATCCAGTAAAAACCCAGCAGCCGTAAAGAAGATGTACAAATTAACGGAGTAATTTTAGCAATTGAAAAATTAAGACACACGCTACACTACCACGGTCCTTTTCTTTTAGTACAAAAGATCAAGTCAATATCGTTTTTCACTCGGCTAGACTCCCGTTGGGATGGCTTATTATTTTTCTTAATTAATTAAATGGCAAATAAGGTGAATGAGCCAATGGGGGTAGAGGCAAAAAGGAGGGGTATTTAGGTAAAAGGAGGGGACATACGAAGGCTCACCTTCTTAAGGTTAGGTCACATGATTGCCCGAGGCCGAAAATGGTCAGGTGGATATCAGACGTTGTTGGGTTCATCTTTCGACACGTAGTATCCCTTGGGACCTTTGCATTGATTGCCAGTTGCCAGCCAAGCCCAAGCCATCATCAACTCCTCCTCCTCATCCTCCTCCCCCCCCCCATTTTAAGGTTTTCTCGCATTTCTCTCGCTTTTCCCCTATTGGTCTAAGTCACCTGCGCCTCACGTGCCCAACCGTCCTCTTCTCTGCACCGTCGGATCCACACATCAGATCTTTCCCTGTCGCTTCGTACTATTTATTATTTAATTCGATTCCTTCTGCTTAGACTGTCTTTATCATCGTTAGCTTAATTAGCCACTCTCTTAACCCTAAGCAAAACCAGAGGACCTGGTAATGGTTTTAAGGACCTGGAAATAATAATATAAGAGAGGGCTTGAGGCAATAGAAAGAGAAAAACAGAGAAATATAATACAATTAAAAGTATATTTATATATAAAAGAGGCAGGCAGCTTAGCTTTGTTTCCTCTATTGTTCTTGTTCTTGTTTGCTGTGGTATAGTGAGGGAGGGAAATAAATAATAATAAGAAGAAGAAGAAGAAGAAGAAAATTAAATAGTACTTTTGGGGAGAGAGAGAGATGGGGAGGGGGAGAGTGGAGCTGAAGAGGATTGAGAACAAGATCAACAGGCAGGTGACCTTTGCGAAGCGAAGGAACGGGCTTTTGAAGAAAGCCTACGAGCTTTCCGTTCTTTGCGAGGCTGAGGTTGCTCTCATCATCTTCTCCAATAGAGGAAAGCTGTACGAGTTTTGCAGTAGCTCAAGGTATTTTTTTTAATTTAAATTATTTTGTTTTCACCAAAACAACTAAACCCGCTTTTTTCCACGCTCCAATTTTATACAAATCAGGCAATCTCTCTCTTCACCCGCACTTTTGCTTCTCTTATAAAACGAAAATCAATTCATTCATTAATCAATTCGTTTCTTTCTTCTATATATCATCTGTTTCTGTTTAGCTGTCTGCTCTTTAGATCTCCAACGCGTTGCCTTGCGTGGCCCTTTTTTTGCTGTTTTCAGTTCTCGTCGTGGTCATCTGCTAGCTAGCGTTTTGGCCAAAGCTCCCTCGTGAAGATTTTCTTGTGTTTTGCTTTTGTGCTTTTCTTGAATTTTCGTGGTGTTTTTTTTCTTCTTTTCTTTTTTGATTTTTATTGCCGCTTTGGTGAATGTCTCGGTGTTTTTAGCAGGTTGAGTGTTTCTGCGTTGGCATTGCTGTTAGATCTGCAACTGGAAAAAATGAAAACGCCATCAAAAGAAGATACATAGATATAGAGAGATAGATCTCTCTCTCTCTCATCTACTGTTTCATTTCTTAACACTCTTAATTACTAGTTATACCTAGCTTCTCTCTCTCTCTCTCTCTCTGAAAGTGCGTTTTGGTTTTCCCAAAGCCCTTTTTCTCTCTTAATTTGCTCTCCCTTCCTTTCATTCAATTCTCTCTCAATTTTTGCCATCATGAAAGCGATCTGATTGATCCAAAGCACTTCAAGCTTAATTATTCTCAGGTTTTCGGTTTCCTTTTCTTCTTCATGGTGGCTCTTTTTCGATTTTCAGCTCTTACTTCACTCTCTTCCCGGAGGAGGAGTCAAAGCTCATACTTTCAGATGAACTAACCTGCAATTTGATCCAACAACTCTGCGATTCACAGGATCTCTCCTTCTCTCTCTCTCTCTAAAAGCCTAACTCAATTGATTAGCTAGGGTTTTGTTTTACCTTATTTTCTCTCCTTTTTTTGTTACAAAAATTTACTATGATTTTTCTCCTTCTTATTCTCTTCTGCTCCTGCAAATCTTTTGTTGTTTTATTTAATTATTCTTCTTTTTCTGGGGGTCTTGTACGATTAAGCATTCAGATTCCCAGGTTTATCTCTGTTGTTCGACTGGATATTTGAGGCGAGCGATTTTTAAAATTGCCAAAAAAGCAAATGATTAAATTACCCGGTTTCTTCAGTTCCTCATTTTGGTCCTTTAAATATAACAAGTTTTCCTTCATTTTCCATTGGATTAAATCCAGCCCTCTGTCTCTCTCTCTGAAAGACAGACGCAGATGTTTTTCAATCACATTTAGTACTATCTGCTTCAGATGACTTTAGGGTTTTCTTGTTCACTGTTTGTGATCTGACTTCTTCTTGTCAAGAATAACTTGCTTTCAAGTATAGCACTTTTAATTTAAATGCTTTTTGCCAGTGATCTATCTAATCTCAGTAAAATCTCTCTCTATTTTAACCAAATTATATATCTTTGCTTTTGTTATATTCTGTTTCTCATATAAATTGCAAAATCTAACAAGCTTTGCTTTTGTTTTTTGGTTTCACAATGTATCTAAGATAATGGTGAAGTAAATATCCATCTTAGATCCTGTACGTACCAACTGAATTATAATATTTGTTTAAATTTATTTATAGATTTATGTTTAAAGTTATGAGATATGAAATTAAATGAAAATTAAGCTGGAGAGTATTTTATTTATTTATTATATAAGGTTTAAAGGTTTCATAATGAAGATATAGGCTCTCATAAATAATCATCTCATTCCGGATTCAGCTAACAATAAATTAAAATGACAAGGTATTTCGTACTTGTTTGCTTTTATATATGTTTTAATTATTTGTTTAATGCATATCTCACTCTCCCAGGCTTGTGATATCTCTGTATTTTATTCCCTAATCCATCATTCACACTTGGTAATTAATTAAGTTTCAAAGGAAGATTTTACATGTTTCTTTGTGTTACTATTAATATACAGCATGCTCAAAACTCTTGAGAGGTACCAGAAGTGTAACTATGGAGCACCAGAGACAAATGTATCTGCAAGGGAGGCCTTGGTAATACAGTGTTATTATTTAATTAGTCGCGATGGAATTATGCTTAGTACTGTACATAATAAAGAATATTGATGGGAAACAAAAATAAACTGAAAAATATTATGACAATGGGTTTGAATTAAACTTATGGAGAGAATTTGTTGAAGGTATCACTAGCTCTCAGTTTTATTCCTTCAAATGTCAAAAAATTCTTAATCTTAATCAAACCAAGAAATCTTATATTATTGTGTCTCATGGGGAAATATTTTGAATTCGAATCTTTCACCCAATTTATCCTTGAGCTGAATACATCTTATCTTACTGCTCTCTGATCGTAGGAATTGAGTAGCCAGCAGGAGTATTTGAAGCTCAAGGCACGTTATGAAGCCCTACAACGAAACCAAAGGTTATTGTCCTTCCTATATCTTCAGTAATACAAAATTGTTTGAAAGGCTAAAAGTGAGGTTTTACCAAATATGACATTTCTTGTTAGGAATCTTCTTGGAGAAGATCTTGGCCCTTTAAGCAGCAAAGAGCTTGAATCACTTGAAAGGCAGCTGGATATGTCACTGAAGCAGATCAGATCGACACGGGTACCCAACCTGACCACCTTACCATTTGTATACTGTACATCTAGTGTGTAATTCTCAACAATTCCCTGCATGCTTAAGGGTTTTTAGCATTTTATGCTCATGGTTGGATTTTCCAATCCAAGTACACTTCTCAGCGGACTGCGAATCAAAAACTAATCTGATTTTCCAAATTTCCTCCAAGTAAAACCTGCATGACTTAAAACAATATATCTGTAACTTAGTATATTCTTACTTTACAGACCCAATGCATGCTGGATCAGCTCACAGATCTTCAGCGAAAGGTACGTACGAGGACACATCTATCTTTATGTATTTCGTGTTGAGTTTATTGTACTTCCATTTCCACCAAAAAAGAAAAATGTATACTTTTCCAGTATATTTATTCAATGGTTTTATTGGCGCACAGGAGCACATGCTAAATGAAGCAAACAAGACCCTGAAACAAAGGGTAGGCAATGTTTACAGCCATTCTAGTTTCAAATGATTATGAATACAAACCTATAATTCCCAACTGCAGCATACAGTAACTTGATTTTATATTTCATAATACTTACTTTTACTGATTAAGATATTTTAGAATATATAGAACACAGTTCATATACATGCATTAGCAAAAATTTCAAATCGTTGTTGACTACGTGACTTTATTTTGGTTTGCAGTTGTTTGAGGGATACCATGTAAATTCACTCCAAATGAATCCAAATGCTGACGAGTACGGCCGGCAACAAGCTCAAGCTCATGGCGATGGCTTCTTCCATCCCTTAGACTGCGAGCCGACGTTACAGATTGGGTATGTACCAGTTATGGATTTATGATAAGCTCTCTAAATTACATGAGGAAACCATTCATCTGGCCTAGTAGATATAGAAACCAAAACCTGCTGATCAGAGAAAACCTACTTTCAAAGTAATGACAGTTGAATTGTTGGGGGAATTAGGAAGGTTTCTTGATATTAAACAAGACCTGAAATTTCAAAGCGCATGGATGAATCTTTTCATTGAGTCATCATTCTCATCGAATGTATTTGTTAATAATTTTGCAGATACCAGAACGATCCAATATCAGTGGTCACAGCAGGTCCAAGCGTGAGTAATTACATGGCAGGATGGTTGCCATGATAATAAAAAGTGTGTATGGAGAGCAGCCAGCCATGAATGGTGATGCATATTTTCTTTTGATAAGAAGATACAGTATGTTCCTTTATGTTTCTTCTTTTTTTCCTTTTTTTTAAATTTGACCAAAAAAGGACCATATTGTAATTGTATGGACTTATGCCATAACTCTGGACCTGAAGAGTTGTGTGTGCATGCTCTCAAGCAACTGTGCTTTCTTTCTTTTAGCTTCGCAAGCTTTGCTTTGGAATTAATAATATATCTTTCCAATATTAGACTCTATGATTTTGGTGTGTTTAATGCATGCCTTGCGGCCCTTGGCCATCTTATCTACAATATTGTAAGGTAGGAATTTTTCTAAGTTGCCCTGTGCATGGTCAACAATAACTCTACATTAGATTTGACAGCGATTAAGGACCCCTTTATTATAACCCTTCATTCTAATCTCCTTGAATTTTGCTAAACAAAATCAGCTATGCTATAAACAACACGGGCCAACAGCCCAAGAAGCTCAATACTTCTAGTTGTGGAGGCCCACGAGGCCCATTCCCTCAATCTTGAAGATCACGAGGGTTGTCTAATTTCGAAAGCAAAAGAGAAAGGGACAGTTGGTTGCATTTGTTGCTTGTGAGATTTACTTTGAACGACCAATTGATATTTATTTCCTTGGACTTACAGGAAAAACATGGTGATGTATTAGGCGTAGAGGGATTCTCTCTCTCTCTCTCTCTCTCTCTCTCTCTCTACGTATATAGACAACAAGGAACATATGTGAGTCAAGAATGGTTTGGGTTTTGCTTCAATCTTCAAAACTCTTAAATTGTCTCATGTCATGGTTTCTAGCTCCGCTACCAGACGACGAGCTTGTAGCCACCTAAGTTATAATATCCATGCTTGCAATGTCATACTATTGCATACATTTACAGGTGGCATATATTCATATTCAAGAAGATGCATGAAAATCCATTATTGTTTAAATATTAGCACGTGAGACACAACAAAAACGTTTCACATCAAAGTTATAACTTTTCAATGCCTTGAAGAAGACAATGGAACAAATTTGTCAATCTATGCGGGCCCAACGTGAGCGTGAAATCGGTGAAGGAGGATCGTGTCGGGTATATAACCAAACTTCTCGTTTGAAACTACAAATTCATTATTCATCATTCAAGGTAAAACTTTATAGGGATTATATTAAGGGAGATTTATTATTATACTCAATATAGGGGCTTAAATTATAAATAAAAATTATATATGAAATAGACTTTAGAAATACATTCAAAGCTCATTTACAACATAATAAAGAGGCTTCAAACTTTCTATAAATTACAAAACTACTTTTCTTAAAACAAGCTCAACCCCAAAAACTTCATTAAAAAAAAACGCAAAATACTCAATAGGGCATCAAAGTAATTTTTGAAACACAAGGGCGATAGTGTATTTATTAATGAGGGAAAAAAGTAACAAGTACAAAAATCGGGCACAAACCCTAGAGGATTAGGCGAGTACTCTACACCAAGCGAAGCGTAGTGGTCGTCGGCTACAAAGTAGCCTACCTTTTTGGGTTTTTTTTTGGATTTGTTTATAGAAATTAAATTGTGTAGGGTTTATTTATATCACTAGTGTTAAGAATGGGTATATAACTAAATATCTCTTATATTAATTCTTCCTAGCTAGGTTTTAGAGTTTAATTAGTCAATTAGTTTTAATGAATTATTGAATTAGAGATTAATAAATTAAGTAGTTGGTGCTAGTTGGTAGGTAGGTGGTATCGTGGTAGGAATATTTGGGCACCCATGAATTTTTTAGTATAAGTGCAATTTTGAAAGACTAAAATTTTTATTTAAAAAAATTATTAAAAAAAGACATATTATGAATCAGTTTGAATTACATTCAAACTTACTTTGAAAGCTTAATCGATACAAAATTTTCTTCCTTGGCACAAGACTTGATTGATGAATCAATTTTTATAAAAGACTTGGAGTTCTCTCAAAATTTAAAAAAAGGAAGAACATAGACATGGTGATGAGTATGTAAAACAAGTTATGAATTTTCTGATCTTGAATAAGGAATTGGTGGTTGTGACGTAAAGAACTCTTTCTTTAAAACAAAAACAAAAAAGTCTCCTCATTTGACCAAAAAACAAGCAAAATATCCCTATTGCTGAAGGAATTCCTTTTTCGTCTATAGTACGGTTAATTTTTTTCCCCCTAGTCCAAAATGACGTCATTTTGGCGAGGAATTTTAAAAAATTATAATTATAAAAAATAAAAAATAAAAGCTCGCATTGCACACAGCGAATAACATCTCAAATGAGGGTTCAAAGAGGACTTTTGTGAAACAGGTGGCGTGCGCCTAAGCGAAGGGGCAACATTCCTGTCACATCTTATATCGGCTCTGCCGTAGCATGATATTGTCCGCTTTGGGCCCCCTGCCCTCAGGGTTTTGTTTCTAGGAACTCACGAGCAATTTCCCAGTGGGTCACCCATCCTGGGATTGACCTAGCCCAAACTTGCTTAACTTCGGAGTTCCTATGACTCCAAAGCTAGTGAGCTCCCAAAAGACCTCGTGCTAAATGAAGGTGGGTATGTACATATAAAGCACATCACCCCTCTCCATTGGTAGATGTGGAATGTTACAATTCCTGCACCTGCAACTCCTGCTCCGACAAGGAAAGGTGCAGTTGCACCTCCTTGCGCCTATGTAGGTCCGCCTTTGCTAGGGACGGATCTAGGATTCCAAAATGGGGTTGGCTTTATTTACCTGACGTACAAACCTACTAAGAAGATAGAAAACGATGATACGAGTGAATTTCGTTGATAATAAAAGAATTCCAAAGAATCTTTGATCTCTTAGGTTTTTTATGTTGACCTGACATTATAAAAGTATAACCTATTAAATAATATATACAAGACAACATGTCAGCAACTAATTAATTCATTAAATCTCACTGATCGATAATTCATTATTCATACAAGTAAGAACACCAAAATTATTATAATAGTTTTCTCTATTTCATGACAATAAAAGCCTTTGACTAGGTTTTTCATAAGAACTCGATGACAAAATGTAATGGAAGTAATTCTTTTAGGTATAGTATGAAGAAAAGGAAAGCTAGTGATATGAATGTTTTTCCAAAAAATCTAAAAATAGTTGATCATGTGTTTATCAACTCATAATTGATGCAGAACATAATTAGTCCAAGGTAAAGTTTCCAATGTTTTCAAAAAGAAAAAGATAGTTTTCAATACCAGCTAACATTAATTTCAAACTAATTGGGTAAAAAATTATTATGTTTACACTTTTGCCTTTGCAAAGATTTGCAAGTTAACCTCCTAACTAGCAGAGATGGGCTAAATGTAATTTTGAGTTGAAAGACAAGAAAAGTCACTTAGGCTATAGCCCGTCCCTGGCCTTTGCTTGCAACGCTTTCTCCAGTGAGGGAAAGTGAAGCTGCACCTCCTTATGCCTTTATAGATTCGCTACTGAATAGAAAATCATAATTAGATGTCAAAATTAACATCAATACTATGGGTAATTACCGAAATACGATCATATGGTATAACTCATCCACATGACATAAGTGAATATTGACGATGTATCCTAAAAACGAGAAATCTTAACTCTGTCATCTAATCTAAATTATAACTCTGTCTACGTGTTTCAATTCCATACAACCATTTCTCCCACTCCAATTGAGATAACCAATCTTCCCGTCGGAAGATATTCAAGAACATGTGTTTTAAATTTTTTTAACCTATTCGGACATGACAAATCTAATTATTTGTTAGATTCTTCCACTATGCTAGCTTCTCTTGGGATAAGCTAAAATAATGAATCACGACAAGGCATCATCGGCGACCATCAATTGTTAAATATTCAGTATTTGCAGGCCCTGCAAATGCCACGTATCTGGATCAACTCAATTATATCTGTCCCCAACCACCTTGCATTCAACCAAATCTAACACGTTTTGATTAAAAGATTTCTCAAATTATTGGTGAATTACCTCATAATCCTAATTTCATTAGCTTCCCTAATAATGAGTAAAACAATTAATTTCTCGATAATTTCATCAAACTCTCACCTCATAAAAACAGATTATTTGTTTGTCACAATTTTACAAGACTATTTATATATTAATTAGTATGTAATTATAACTTTCTCCTAATTAAGCATCATCCAGCTAAAAACAATTTGACTGACCTTACGCATTTTCACAAATTATATCGATTTTTAGGGTTTTTCCTGTAAATTAATTATAAAAAGTATTTTACTTTTGCCCCGAATATAAATTTTCTTTTTAAAAAAATAGAAGAATAATATTTGTTTTTTTTATTTGCCAAAAAAGAATAATAATATTTGGAGGCGGTTGTTTGTGGGAGAAGATAAGGTCCCACGTCATCTGGTTCCCGCCCACTCATCACTGACTGCACTTCCACTCCAATCCACATCGCGTGTGCCACATGCGAACAGCTTACGTGTCTTCCTATCCAATCTTTCTTTTGATCTCCTTTTTTGTTTGTGTATATTTTATTTCCGGATAAACCGCGCAAAGAGCTTCCATTTATAGCCGACTTTTCTTTTTCCCGTTGTTCGTTTTTCCTTTTCCTACGAACCAAACAGAAGATTTCCGAGAGAGAGAAAAGAAAAGAAGAGAAAATGGGCTCTCAGAGATCTTGATAAACAAACAAACAAACCTCTGCCTCTCAAAACTCACCACCTGTATTATTACGAAGGTCAAGAAGAAAAGAGCCCAATCCAATCAGACTAACGCTGTAGATAAACTTCTCCAATTTCTTTTATCCATTTGCCTCGTTTCTAGCAAAATTCAGGAATTTCGATTTTCTCTCAAAGAATTTTAGGTTTTAAACATTGTTGACCTCAATACCCTAATTTTCTCGGGCAGAAAAAAGATGATGCGAAGGCAAGACCAGCAAGACCAGCAATCGAGGGTTTTCTACGAGCTATCGGCTCTGGTTCTCAACCTCCTCCGATCTCCTCCCACGCCGATTCAGTTCTCCGATCACTCACCGGTGGTGCCCTCATCTCCGTCTTCGTCGAGGCGGCCGCCGCCCGCGGCGACGCAGATTTCGCCGGCGGGGTTCGCCTCGCTGATGCTGGGGATTTCGATGGCTCTGATGCTCTGTGGATCGGTGACTTTCTTCATTGGTTTCATATTGATGCCTTGGGTTCTCGGATTGGTTATGGTCTTCTACGTGGCTGGAATCGTCTCCAGCCTCTCTGTTTTGGGAAAGTCGATTCTTTGTTACGCGTCGGCTCCGTCATCACCGCGAAAGGAGATGCCTGGTAGAGATTATAGCTTTTGCTTTTAATTATCTGTTTATTGATAGTAATTAATGTTTGTTTTCCATGGTTTATGGATTTTCTTTGCTGTCTGGAATCTTGGTATTAAATGGTTTTTCTGTTTTTCTTATTTATTATATCATTTGTTTCCATTTGCTTCTTGAAAAGAACCAGGAAAACATGTATTTAAGATTACTATCGCTTTTAATCTAAAGATTAAATTTTTTAGTCAGAACAGAAAGTGGTAATATTTGGAATTATAATCAAATCAGTTAACATTTATTTAGAATAGCTCGTGATTGAGAAGAACTAAACAATTATATTTGCCATCATGTATCTGAGAGGGAAGTAACACCAACTACTACTTTAGCCTTACATTTTTCAGAGCACCGATCCATGTGTTGCATGGCTCACCAAATAAAACTTTAGTATTCGGCCTTGCCCTTGGATCTGCCCTTCTTCATTGGAATTGTGTATTGTTATGATATTTTATCAAAGGAAAAGTAAGGATGAAGCAATTTTGTTTTCTTTCTTTTCTTCATGTATTCTTGATGCTTCTAATAGTCAGTAAGAGGGGAGGTTTTGGATGGATTCTTTGGAGTTCTCATCTGTGTAGGGTTGTAGCCATGAAGCAGACTCAAAATTAGAAATAAAGCAATTGCGATGTAATGAATTTTGAAATTGCAATTACTTTCTATAATTGTTTCTTTGCCAAAGTACCATGATTTGCACACATTTAACGTGCCACCTCTTTATTTTTCCTTATTTTCACTTTGATTGCCTCCACAATTGCGTCAAATTTCCAGCCTTTGATTGCCTCCACATATTATGTATCTTATATGCAAAATATCATTGTCGAAAAACTTCAAATTTTGTTTTTCCTCTTGAGAGTGAAGAAAAATGAGTTGGGCATGTTTGTTTTATGTTTGATTGAATATTTGTCAAATTTATTGTATATCATGATGTGGGGTTCCTTTTCCTTTGTGTGTAACTAGGAATAGTTTTTCGTTTATATTTCTGATCTGTTAATTTGGATTGTCCTACAATCTTGAAGTTCCTAGAACAGAAACAAACTGGAAGGTTTTGTTTTACTGTGTGAGGCTGCTCAGGAAGATAAACACTTCTGTTGAATATGCTACTAGGATATATGCCAAAAGTGCTGGTTTGACATTTGAGTGGATTTAGAGAACAAATTCTTAGATTAGATTAAGTTAGAACTCTGCTTGGATTGAAAGTAACTCCAATTAGCTGAGCATTAAGAGTTCTGGCTTGTTGATGTGATGTTTAGGTATTGAAAGTGATATATGGCGGATATTTAGTTGGGGATATATTCTCTGATCAAGTCAATCCAGGAAAGATGCTGGGAGGGTAAGGCCTATAGTCGCATGTTTGACATATATTTGACATATATTTGTTTCTGGGCCATCATCCCTGATCTTTCTCTTAGTCAATCAGATGCATTTTCCCATACCACAAGGTTAATAGTGTAGTTGGGGTATCTGTCCTTCCGTTCTTTATGCACAGGAAGTATTGTTTGCTGTCTTGGTTGGTACTTCTAGTTGGAAATTTCATTTAAAATGTAAAGTAATCATGCTGGGAAGATTGTTTAATAACCATCTGTATAAATTTTCAATTGCTGCAGCATGGAAGTTATTGTGAAGAAGAGGAGGGTGGTTCAAGAGAGTGGAAATGTTCATTGGAGGAGGATGGAGCAGCACAAATGTCCTGGTGTGGGGTGTGCTGCATAGAGCGATGTATAGGGCAAGGCCGAAATTAATCGAGAGGGCTTCTTGAAGTATTGATGAATGAACAGTAGATAAAATGTTTATTAATGTTCTACTGAATATGTGGAAGTGGCTTCTAATAGTGAATTGTTGAAGGATGATGTTAAAGTACTTCCAACCAATGAATTCCTACTTTTGAGGAGATGGAGGGGATGTTGCTTGCTGAGCCTTTTTTAATTTACAAATTTATAAATAAACCCAATCCTAGACATGTATTTATAAAAAAACCCAAGCACTATTTAAACATAGAAACACACCCAAAATCAACAATTGTATATTTTTTGGGTGTGTTTATAAATGGGTTTTGAGTGTGTGTAATGATGGATTTTGGGTGTGTTTATAAAGTGTTTTGGGTGTTGGGTTTTTTTATAATTTCAACCCCCATTTTGGGTGTTTTAGTGAAACTCCCTTTTTAATTCTATTTAGCTGTCGTTCCGTACATATCATATCTCTTGTTCTCAAATTTGTAAAAGTTATATGGCTCAGCTGGTTACATTATTTTGTGCTTTTCTTAAGCAAGATAAGAAATGGAGTAAGATCTATGTCACACTCTTATTTTATTGGGACATTTTGGAAAAAGCAAAAGGAGAGAGAAAATTTTTAAAAGAAGCAAAAATGGACAAAAATGCCCTTATTTATTTTTAGATTTCTTAAGGAATCCAATACATTTGTATGTCTTTAATTTGAAAGTTGAGCGGTTTTTTTGTCTTTTTTGAAAAAGTTTTGGCTTTTTCCAAAAGTGAAAATTTTTTTATGTCTAAAACCTAAAAAACCTTATTTTATTTTTCGTTGGAGCTAATTTTTATGATAAGATGGAAAAAAATTATTAATGAGAAAGCACAATTTTTTATGTTGTGCTTTTTCTTAGAGCATCTACAATCATGCTTCTTATTTTTGTAGTTAAAATTTGGCTAAAAACACTAGAAAACTATTTTAGGAGCTCCTTATAAAATTTGAACTTCAACCTCGCTCCCTAGTTTAGTAAATCATAAATTATTTGTTTCTTTTTTAAGTTTAGCATAAATATTCCATCTTCATATGAAATAATTTTTTTTTAAAAATAGCATTAAATAAATACTTAAAATAACATCAAAGTAAAGCAACATTTAATTATAGGGAGTCATTGTGAGTCTTCTCTCTCATATTTATTAGGAGTTTTTGGGGTTATCTCCTTTTAGGAGTTGAATAGAAAGTATGGTTGGAGGTGGATTTTCTCACTTTCTCCCTAAATTTTATCTAAAAAGAAAGTTTATGGAGTTCATTGTGGATCCTCATAATCTTTTTGAATGTCCCAGTTATTGTTCATTTCCTTTTCCCCTATCGAAAGAAACACTAGGGGACAAGTCTTGTTTTTAGGTTTTTTTTGTTTTGTGTGTGTGTGTGTGTCTGAATTTCAACGAATAGGTTGGTAATTGACTTTTGGGGTAGGGATGGGAATTGTTGAGTATCCTGATCTCAACGTATGGATATGGGTGGCTTCACTTTCAGGGCCAGCAAAGCAACCCATCCAGGTGGGGATGAAAAGGCATGGGATTGATTCTCTAGAAATCGTCGTCCCCATAACCAATTATTTTGGTCAAATGTCGTTTTTTATGAGAGAGAGAGAGAGAGAGAGAGAGAGAGAGAGAGAGGCAATAGTACAACCCTAAACAAGTCATGTCGTTTTAGGGGAGGGGGCATTAGAATTAGAGGTAAAACACCAGCATGAACACTTTGCATACCATCCTAAATGATTCAAGATGATGATGTAACTTAAAGAAAAATTGATTGTTTAGGAAGCGGAAAGCAAAAGCGTGCAGCGATGTTCAACTATGTGAAAAAGTCAGTTGAGTGAAGTGGAGTACCAAATGGAGGATAAAATTAGGAAATTGTCAAAAAATATTAAGTAGATGACATCAAACTATGCTAGGTGTTTTAAAGATATTCGGAGCGGTCTCTGTCTACATATATCAAGCATGTCTGACTGAATTATATTTGATTGGCTTCTTTACCCTACAATAGTTGGAACACCTCATTGGCCATTGGGTCAATTGAGCTTAACTACGAGGGAAAGAGGCAAATACTGTTGTACGTGCCAAAAGTGTTTGTGGGCTTCTGGAGAACATTGCGATGCTCCAGATTTTTTGCAGGCTATATTTTAGTTGCAATGTGTTGCTTGTTGGTTAAAAAGGCTAGTTTGGGCTCAATGCTGACGTTTTCTCTATATGCATTAGGCGTGTTATTACTAGTGTTTTACTCTTCTAGTAGGAAGAGAAGATGAATGATTAGGTAATATGAAGATGGTGTTGCATTCACTGATCTTATGTTGCGCTCGTTGATCTTAATCTCTAACCAAATTCATTGTGCTCCAAGTGGGGAATCTAGCTTGGATAAGTTCCTTTTAATGCTTCAATTAAGAGGACTTCAACATTTCACTTGCTATGGAATGGAACTTGGAAGAAATAACAACTTTAAATTGATATCGGACAAAAAGTACAATACAAGTTCATAGATACAAGTATCTAAAAGACATAATATTATTACAAGAAAGTAAACACAAATCCATGTGGACCTAAATATACTTAATTAACACAATAAGTAGTCTAACATAGCCTAAGGGAACCTTATCAGACAGAAACAACACTCCTCAAATTTTTAAATCCGAAAGACATAATATTATGTCTCTGCAATGAGTCCGATGAAGGTTGAGACAGCACTCCTCAGACACATGATAATCTATTTGAGATATGAGACAATACAATGAGTCTGATGAAGGTTGTTCGCATTATCTGCAATGCTCAGAAAGGCTTGCAAATACAAATTTGGTCTTAGATGAGCTAGAACAAGTAGTTAACTTAAAAAATCATACCAAGCACTGATGTTGGTAGAGCATTTAGGCAAACGATAGCAACGTAATTATGATAAGAAGTTGTCAACTGGAAATTAGATAAAGTATGTGTTTGGGAAAAGAAGATAATTCCAATGAGAAGTTGTCAACTAGGAACTCAAGATTAGGAGAGGATTTGATTCAAGTCTTGGCATTTGGTCTATTATGAGACGCATTTGACAAGTTGTTTGAGTTGAGTGTATTTGAAGTTTGTTCAAATAAGTTGTTTGTTCTTGAGAGAGATTGGTTGTCCCTTGAATCAAATCTCTTCCGGTTGTTTATAACCTTTCTGGTTCCTTGGTTTTGTATGCTTGGCAAAGGAGTGTTCAGACTAAGTACTGGTTTTTTCCTTGCAAGTGAGTTTGGCAAACCTTTGATTTTTTTCTTAGTTCTCGTGATTTAGCTTATTTAAGCAAGTTGGCGCGGCTAACTTCACGGTTCAAATCACATTTAATGCGGCTGTCATGCCTTCCTTGTGTCGTTTGACTTTCCATTAGTTGTCAAGGTCAACTTTGAGTTCAAAATTGGATGTTCGCGCCTTTAACCAAATAAAAGCAACGGTCTTCTAGGATTAGCTAAAAATCTTTAAATAAACAAAGATCAGAACAAATCCTCTGATCTTTGTTTATTTAACCCAATAATTTCTTTTTAGGAATCAATTATGAAATGCTACGTATTTGTAGAAACCTTGATTTTCCTTTTAATTCATAAATTAACATTGTCTGTTAAATTTATGAATTTTAAGAAAAGAAATAAACTTGTTAATTTGGAGTATTCAATCATTATTTGTTTTTAACAGCCATTTAATTTGGCTTTATAGACATGAATTGATTTCTATAATCTTTATCGAACATACTTTATCCGATGACTCTTAGTCTTTTCTAGTTGAACAATCGTTGGCCAATGTTTCTTTAACATCCAGCGCTGTCCGATGGGCTTTTGGGCCTTTGGACATGAATTTGTTAAGTTTAGGCCATTTTATTGCTGGATTTGATAATTGGGCTTTAATTGACTAACCACAAAATCAGCCCATTGATGGTAGAAATTAGGTTGTGCTAATTTTGGTACCAACAAGTGTTTTGTTTTTCCACGCTATACATAATATGTATACGGACGACGCTTATGAACAAAAGTGCTTTCTATTACATAAACATTTCCGAACTAGCAATAAATTATAAAACACAATTTCTATTTTGATGAACATAAAATATGATCCCATCGATTAACCCTTATTTGTTTCATTGCTTCATCTTCTAAAAAACTAGAATTCCACACGGTGTTGAAAACAAACAAAACAATCTGAACAAGTCAAAGCAGTGGTAAAATCCTGTCAAACAAGCATTAAAAAAATGAAAATGGGAAAGCAAATCCTAAAACCAAATCGGTAGCTAAATAGGCATATGGTCTCATCCAGTGTAGATGTGAACGCCAACAGCGATGAGGAAGATGGTGAGGAGGCCAAAGAAGATGATGGTGTGGACGAGGATGGAAATCCCACTGGTATGCATGCTCCCGAACTCCACCACTCTTCCCCTCCCAGGCAGCTGGAACAACAGCCCTGGACTTAGCAGCACGAACAGCACCACTGCTATCACCACCGGCCCCCAATCCGCCATTGTTATCTTCTTCTTCTTACTTCTTTCGTTTACTTCTCTGTGTTTGTGTTTTGACTGTCACCAAGATTTCTGTGAGCCCTTCTTTTAAAAGGGAGGGAAGAGAAGAATCAAAGAGTAATTGAGCAACTGAAGAAAGGAATGTTCAAAAGAAGGAGAATCAGTGTGGAAGAAGAAATCTTCTGCCAGCTTATCTTTATATATATATATATATATATATATATATAGCAAAATGCTTAATATAAGGCCTCAACTTTTTCTTTCAATTTTTGCTTATTTCTTAAAGACTGATTGAGGTGGGTGCCTTGTGGAGGATGCTAATTAGACACATGGCAATGGAGCAACGTCATGAACAAAACCCTTTTAACAGGTGTGCTATATGATCTTCCTCCTTAATCCTTTTGATTATGACACCCTAATATCATATACAAGTTAATCATATTCTCTACTTTAATTAATTCCTTGTCTTCACTCACAAGTCTCTTCTTCTTCAGTGTTCACTGAACAAATAAAGAACCAATTATAGCCCTCAAAATTCCTGCAGAGTTCCAATTAGGCCCTTCATTTTTTTTTCTTTTGCTCTCTTCCTCCGTTTCATTGCACCCAATTCTAACTACCTTTTGACCCTAACAAGAGAAATTATAAAATACTACGGTTATGATCATGTAGTACATCTTTTACACGTGTTATATATTTACCTTTATTTACTAGTTAGGGATATGTAAATCTCAGTATTTGGTATTATATATTTGTGGATAGATGGGTAATTTCTGAAACTATGAGATGAGAAGAATATCGTCGTTCTGCAAGTTCTGCAACATTCACATGATGTAGGCTATTGGACACACTGTTTTAATTGAAACAATATTGAACCCACATTTTCGAATTTGTATTAATTTTTGTGCCCATCCAATCCAATCCAACTCTATGAAAAACTAGTGGTTGGTTATGGATCATCATCAACATTTCTAGATTGTCTGCAATTGACTTGGGTGATTCTCTAACTCTCTTTCATCACAGTGTTGCTTTTACCTCAGTAAGATGAACTTGGTCCAATAATATATATATATATATATATATATATATATATATATACATAGGGCTTCTGTTGAGGGATCCCTCAAATAAGCTTATTCAAGGGACACTCTTGTAGGGCATAGCATGCATTGTATTTCAATGATACAAACCGTCTAGTTTTTAGATAATCCCTCAAAGATTATCTCTACAAAAAACCACTTGAATCCAAAACCATTTGACCACTCATTTAAATGCTTGTTATTATAGTATTTTCTTGAAGAACCATATGTGTCTATTTTGTTGGTCTCAATTAGACACCTTATTAATTTTCAATTTGCATGATTTTTTGTCAGGATAATCTATGAATGAAGATTTAAAATATAGATGGTTTGGATTGTCAGGAAAAAAAAATTGTACGGGAAAAGGGCGTCCCTCAAATAAAATTATTTGATAGATCCCTCAATAAAAGGGGATTGTATATATATATATCAATGAACACGGTGCTTCAACAAAGTATTAAAATTTCAATAATTTAATTGAGTGGTCAAATGATATCATATTCATGTGATTTTTTTTATAAAGATGATCTTTGAATGAATATCTACAAAATAGACGGTTTGAATTAGTGAAATACAATCCGGAGTAGGCCCTACAAGGGTATCTCTCAAATAAACTTATTTGAAAGATCCCTTAATGGAAGCTCTATGTGTGTGTGTGTATATATATATATATATATATATATATATATGTTTTGTTGTTGAAATCTTAAGGTTTACAATAATACATGGACCACCTCCACTCCCATTGGAGGCTGCTGCTTTATCCATGAGTGAGCCAATCAGCAATGAAATAAGCATATCCAGTGATCCAAAATCCAAACTACAATCATCCAAGACGTTACCACTAGTTTAATTTCACAACCTAAAAACAGTAAATCTAATTTCATTCAGCAAGAACATAACTTGGTGATCAAGAAGTCTATAGCTCTTAAGCAGCAACCACAAGCCAATGAAAACATGGCACAAAGAACACAAATTTTTCAATTGATCAAAGCCTCACTTAGATATTAGTACTAAACAATCTTTAGTTCACAAACACAACATTAACTGTAATTAACAAGTTACAAGGGAAGCCAAACAGAATAATTATTCCTCGGACTCTGTTCTGTTCAAAACAAAGTTGGCCACATTTTCTTCTTGTTTCCTTGGTGTCCCATTTTCACCACAAAAACAGAGGAGCTGGTAAAGAGTTAACCAAGGTAAAAATGGACCTTGATGGCCAACAAGAAGACGCAAATGAGAGCAAAGTAGAGGAGGGAGTGAACCATGATGGCTGCACCACTTGTTTGAAATCCCCCAAACTCCACGCAGCCATGGCGCCCAGGCAACTGGAAAAGCAGACCTGGAGACAACAGCACAAACAGAACCACTGCCACGAACACCGGGCCCCAATCAGACATCCCTAAAACTCTCTCTCTCTCTCTCTCTCTCTCTCTCTCTCTTAGTCTATGTTCTGCTGGAACAGAGGAAGTTAAGTTGGTACCAAAACTGCTGCAATGAGAAACGGTAGGTTTGGATTTGGGGGTTGTAAGTTTATATATGCAGAAGAGAAGAAGACTTTGATTGGAAGAAAAACAAACACTGACTGGCTGACTGGAAGTGAATTGGAAATGAGATAAAGAGAGAAGAGAGTGTGTGGGGCGGAGGCTTGGGAAAACAAGTCACTTGGATTCACTCTCCGCCGTCCCATTTGTGTTTGTGTGTTCCTTTCTAGTCTCTCTGTTTTCGCCATGTGACAAGGAATAAGAGCCACTGAGTCAAGTATTGCTTGCTTGTTAGGCTTCTTTCCCATTTAATGCTGCTGGGCCATCACTAACACAATTATACAAGAGCTCCTCCACCTCCAGTTTTTTTTCTTTCTATTTTTTGTTTATTATTATCTTTTTTCATTGGGTTGGCCTCACACTGAGGAAATGAAGATGTCAGTCCAATAATATTGATCATGGGTTAATTGGCCTTGGTTTCCCTTTTTTTCCTTTGTTGGTTTAGCCTTTTGATAGGGGATTGGGAGCTCCTATAATAAGAGCAACTCCAGCGAGGCCCCTTTGCCTCGGGCTGGGGGATTTTTTCGCCAAAAATGGGTTCCAGCGGTGAGCCCAGGCAGGGGAGGAGGTGTGGGACCCACCAACTCGGGCTGGCCCAAAGGCAGCTTCAGCCCGAGGTCCAAAAGGAGGGCTGTTGACGTCAGCGCTATAATACCCACTACAGTACCCCACTGATTTGATTTTTTTTTTATGTTGCCACGTGGCGTCGTCTGAGCTCTCCGATCTGATTTTTTCCTCCAATCCAACGGCAGCCAATTTTTTTGCAATAAAATACTGGAAAAAATTCAGAAATTTTTTTTTAAAAATACCCAAAATTAATGAATTTTTTTTCTATAAATACCAGCCTTTTTTTAAATAAAAAAATATATATATGAAATTTGAAATTGAAAATTTTATCCGATTATGAGATATGAACAGTATTGACATGTAGGAACTCGAAAATATTATCCAAATTAATTATTGTGGTAAAAAAAAGTTGTGAAAAAAATAATAAAATGATTAGTAATTGCTCTTTGCCATGGCAATGGAAAATACTATTTGCAAGGGCAACTACTATTCATGTGAATAGTGGTTGCCCTAGCTCCCCCCTTGCCATGGCTAAGAGCAAATGGGTGGAGTTACTCTAAGGGAGTGTGTGTATTGAATGTGGTTTGGAAATTTTATGTATATTCCCCTCTTTGTAAGAGGTCATATTTATACTACAACAAAGTCTTAGTAGCCAAGTAAATAATAAATTCATATTTCTATTTACAGTAGAAAATCAAGAATTAAAGTAAATCAAATACAATTATAATGGGAATCTTTGGTGTGTAAAAAAAGAAAGTCAATGGTCCACAAGTCACGCCAACACAACCCTCTTAACTCTATCTTAACCAAAAAGCGATAAATAAATAAAAAGGAGCTTATTATTTGATAATGGAAACTACCCTAGAGCTAGCAAGCTAGCCACTTTGAACACCAACTAATACATTATAGACTATGGTGTCCCAATAGTTTCTGTACGGAGTGGACGCCAGCTTCTGGTCATAATTATGGGATTTTATTTTATTTTTTCTTCTTCCTTTTAATAAGTACCACTTGCGTTTGACCAATTGTCACCATGGAAATGCTACCTAGTACCAAAGCCAACAGTTTTCATTTCCACAGGATAACCCCGATCACAGAAAGTCAATTTGTGACCGGCAACAAATTGACCTCTTCTGATTCTCAACTCTCCATGATAATAACTTTTTTTTTTTTTTTTTTTTTTTTTGTTTTTTTGGTAATGGCTAAAACTAATATAATAATATATTTGTTATCATGTCTTTTCTTTTTCTTCTTTTGGGTAAAAGTGTTGTAGCATGATTCAATTGGACCACCACTTGGTTGTTGGTCCGTCATTTTACAAATGTCAAAATCGCAGCAAACTAACCCCACTTTTCTTCTTGATATTACTTGCCTTTTTACCTGTATGGAGATATTCATCTTTCATGTGAATTACAATTTGACACATATACAAAAATAATTTATCAAAAACACAAAAAGAAAAACTTCTGCAAACATATTGTTTGTGCAAATAATCTCACGGGAGAATATTCGCTTCTAGATCCTTCAACCTTCGATCTTCCTTCTCTCTCTTCCTCGACTCCTGTAAAACAGATTGGAGTAAATAGACCACACTCGGGGGGTGTTGGCCAAAGGCCCTCCGATGCTTAAGTTAGTTCGAGTGTTTGTAGAAAAACAGTAGCTAAGCAAAGGGTACGGAGTAGTGTTTATGTAGGGTGTGAACCGGGCGGTCGAAGCGATGTGTGGTGGCCGGAGCCGTGTGGAGAAAATATGGAGAGTGGAGAGGGAGAAAGAGCTTCGGGTATTTTTCTCGGGTATAAGGAGTAGGTTTAGATGTACCTTGAATGATGAATGAAGTCATCTATTTATAGGAGCCTCGGGGCTAGGGTTTCGTAGAGAATATGCTGAGTTTATTCTCTACCCAAATTCGTAGGGATCGAGTCGGACTGAGATAATATCTGATTTAATGATATTATCTCTTTTTATGGAGATAATATATGAATTAAATGATATTATCTCTTTTTATGAAGATAATATTTGAGGTAATAACATTATCTTCTCTTTATTAGGATAATATCTTAATTAATGATATTATCTTATTAAATAAAGATAATATCATTTAATTAAGATATTTATCCCAATTAATTAATTGGCCAGATAAACTGGTTCAATTAATTAATTAAAAGAGATAATCTTCTTTTCCACGTGGCGTGCTGTGATTGGAGACGAAAATATCTGCTCCCACAAATGCCCCCCAGCTTCTGCGTGACGCTTGTGTGACATGTAGGAGATGAAATTATTTTTTTCGGGCTCTCCAACTGAGTCTGGGCTTTCTTTTGTGAGTTGGACTCCTTTTGCATATTGGATTCTCAATTGGTGTAGGCTTCTGACTGTTGTTTGAGTTGGATTCCCAGTAGGAAAGGGCTTGAGATTCCTTCTTGACCCGAGTTGTCCAACTTGTATAAATACATGGCTTCTCTTCACTCTTTCTTACATCGCAAACTTAACTTCTCTACTTTCTAGCTTGAGAAAGATCTTGGAGAATTTTGTACTACTTGTCGAAGAGAGGAGTTGCCGTGCATCCCAAAGTAAGTCGAGCACGTAAATTTTTCTTCGTCTTCTCTTTTTCAAGAGGAGGACCAGTTGGGTGGGACCAGGCTGGTTGTCGTCATGACTGGCAGCCAAAGACGATTGGAGCGGCGGTGGCCGCTGGTGGCTGCTGAGCGACGATCAGGAGGAAGTTGGTGGACTGCCCCTTGCTAAGGATGTCGATAGATGGAAGCAGGATGGTCCGAGCCTTGATGATTTGCCTGCTGGACATGAGGAGTGTTTTGCTAAACTCCCCTAAAAGAGGAAGGATGATGTCAGTCTTCGAGAGCTCAAGCCTGATGAGTTTGGAGATCGTGATATGCTCCGTAAAGTAGTCCGTGCGCGATCTAGCTCACTTGTTGAGAGGCAAAGAGATGCGGATGCTCCTTTTCAAAATTTGAGTCGTTTGTACCAGTCGAAGATTGGAAGTCGGTCTGGGCAGTCTACTCATCCATCCAACCATCATGTTTCAACTGTTGAGTCACGAGCAGTCAAGCATAGAGTGGATTCATCGTCGTCAATTCCTTTGGAAGTGAGGTTGACAGAGGCTAAGAAAGCAAGAGAGTCATTTGCCTGGGCGAAGGGCTCTTCTGCAACGTCAGCAGCTGATCCCAATGTGGACAAGTCCACCCCTGCAGAGGATGCAGGCGTGTCTGATCTGCTCAAGACGAACTTTCTGTCAAGTCCATCCACTTGTGCTCAGCTGGTTCATCAAATCCGTCAGGCTGGTGATCTTGGTACTTTCCCAAGTCTTTCCTTGGAAAAACAAAAGGAAGAAACATTTCTTCTCCTTCAAAAAGGAGGTGGGGGCAGATGTGGAGGATTAAGCAGGTGGAGCTGCTGAGAGTGTGGCTGATCAGACGGACGCTGAAGTGGCTGCAGATCAAGGATCTCCTGCTGGCGTCTCGGAGTAGATGAAGACTTCTTTATTTCTTTTCAGCTTTTGTAGTCTGCTTTCTCATTTAGAATAATTGGTCTTGCTTGATCGTCTTCTTTTTGTTGAACTTTGGCCGGTTGGTCATTTTACTAAGGAAATTTCAGTTATTTTTTCAACTTCAATTTGAATAGTGTCTTGTGAATTGCTTGAGTAACCGGCTAGTGTCTTGATTGCACATCTCCCTTTGGAGATTCATGAGTGCCAGGGTTCCCCTTGAAGGACTTCAGACGTGTTCTGCATATCTCTTAGGATGGCTCCCCTTAGAAAGTTGGCGAGTACCAGGGCCCCCCTTAAGGGGCTCCGGGCGTGTTCTGCATATCCCTTAGGATGGCTTGGTCGTCGCCCTGCGTCTCCCGAAGGACGCTGCTTATAGGCAACTGTGTGACTATCCTGCCTCCCTTAGGAAACGAATAGGAACCTGGATACTTCCCACATGAGGCATAGAGACCTCCTTTTAAGAAATTTCTGGCGCACCCTGCGTCTCCCTTAGGACGTTTTTTTTTAGTGGGCTGCGTCTCCAAACGGACGCTTTTAGTCGTCGCCCTGCATCTCCCTTAGGACGCTCCTTATGGGCAACTGTATGACTATCCTGCCTCCCTTAGGAAACGGATAGGAACCTGGATATTTCCCGCATGAGGTATAGAGACCTCCTTTTAAGAAATTCTTGGCGCACCCTGTGTCTCCCTTAGGACGTTTTTTTAGTGGGCTGCGTCTCCAAACGGACGCTCCTTATGGGCAACTATATGACTATCCTGCCCCCCTTAGGGAACGGATGGGAACCTGGATACCTCCCATAGGAAATTCCTGGCACACCCTGCGTCTCCCTTAGGACGCTTTTTATGGGCTGCGTCTCCCGAAGGACGCTTCTGGTCGTTGCCCTGCGTCTTCCGAAGGACGCTACTTATGGACAACAGTTGTGTTTTGTGGGTAGATGAGACATTTTGGAATGAGAAACTGAACTTATATTGATATTCATAAGATTACAATCCTTTATTTGAAAATAGAAATCACTGAGTACAAAAACTTGGAGCTTCTAGCAGTTAGGAGGAAGCATTACGGATAATACTTTCGGAGATGGTAGGCATTCCATTGCCGTGGTATTTCCTTCTCATCCATGCTGTCCAGCGTGTAGCTTCCTCTGCCCCCGAACCGGCTGATCACATAAGGGCCTTCCCAATTGGGTTTCATTTTCTTAGACCCTTGTCTTTGTGCAGTGATGAAGGTCTTTCTTAGCACAAGGTCGCCAGGTTGAAACTGTCTGATCTTAGCTCTTTTGTCGTAGTAGGACTTCAACCGCTGTTGATAGGAGGCGACTCGGATAATGGCCTTCTCGCCCTCGCCTTCAAGTAAGTCAAGGTTGAGTCTCATCTGCTCGGAGTTCTGCTCTATACTGCCGACATCAATGCCTATAGAGGGGACAGTGACGTGAGGAGGAATGATCGCTTCAGTTCCATAGGCAAGGGAAAATGGGGTTTCGCCAGTCGACCTTCGTTTGGTGGTGCGATAAGCCCATAATACTTCGGGGAGTTCGTCCACCCATTTCCCTTCGGTGCCTTCTAGCCTTTTCTTCAAACAGTATAATATGACTTTGTTGGATGCCTCGGCCCGCCCATTTCCTTGTGGATACCTTGGAGTGGACAGGTGTTGCTTGATCTTGTATTTCGCAAAGAAGGCAGTGATCTGCTTGCCAATGAACTGTGAGCCATTGTCAGTGACCAACGATTGTGGGCAGCCGAACCGGCAGATGATATTTCTCCAGATGAATCGCTCCACATCGGCTTCTTTAGTAGAGGATAGAGCTTCGGCCTCAATCCATTTAGTCAAGTAGTCGGTGGCGACGATTATCATTTCTTTCTTGGCTGACGCTGGTGGCAAGGGACCCACTAAGTCGATGGCCCATTACATGAATGGCCATGGACTGTTTTGCGGATGGTAAACTTCGGTATGCAGATTAGGGATCGGCTTGTATCGTTGGCAACGATCACATTTTTTGACATATTCAGCGGAGTCGTGGCGCATGGTAGGCCAGAAATAGCCTACGTTTAGAGTTTTCTGGGCGAGTGACCTGCCCCCCGAGTGGTTGCCACACTCGCCGTCGTGAATTTTGCAGAGGACTTCAAGTGTTTGAGGGTACTTTATGCAGGTGAGATGAGGGCCGGAGTATGATCTACGGATGAGCTTGCTGCCGTGCATATAGTATCTCGCGGCTTTCTGCTGGACCTTCCTAGCTTCGGACTTATCCGTTGGCAGGTTTCCATTCACTAAGTAGTCGATGATGGGGTCTTGCCAACTGGGGTCCTCATCAATCTGCATTGAGTTGATCGGCTCTATTTCTTCGATGCTTGGCAGGTCAAGGTGTTCAACTGGGATGGAGCGTCTGAACTGGGTGTCCAGTGCTGATCCTAGGCTCGCCAACGCATCTGCATGAGTGTTCTCTGCCCGTGGAACTTGTTGGATGGTGAAAGTAGGGAATTCTTTCAAAAGTCCTTAGACTTTGTCGAGGTACTAGACCATTCTTGGATGCTTTGCCATGTACTCGTCTGAGGCTTGATTCGTGATCAGTTGGGAGTCTGAGTAGATGGCCAGTCTCTTGATCGACAGTTCTTTCGCTAGGCGTAGTCCTGCAAGCAGTGCCTCATATTCTACCTCGTTGTTTGACGCAGAAAAGCTTAGTGTGATAGCTTGTTCCAACAAGGTTCCATCTGGGGTGATTATGACGACTCCTGCTCCCGCTCCTTTGTGATTTGATGCTCCGTCTACATGCAACTGCCACATGTCGTTAGGTAGGTTCGAATCGGTAGGGGAGGTGTCGTCCGCTTTTTCCTTGCTTTTCGTGACCATCTTCTCTTCTTCGGCTGTCGGAGTAAACTCTACAACAAAATCTGCTAAAGCTTGGGCTTTTATAGCAGTTTTCGGCCGGTAGAGGAGGTCGTATTGACTGAGTTCGATAGCCCATTTCATGAGTCATTGAGAAGCGTCGGGGCTGTGAAGGATCGATCTCAAAGGAAATTCTGTTATGACAATTATCCGGTGTGCTTGATAGTAGGGCCTTAACTTTCTCGCAGAAACCACAAGCGAAAAAATGAGCTTCTCCATTTTCGGATAGCGAGTCTGCATCGAGGAGAGCTTTTGAAGTGTAGAATACCAGATGTTGTGCCCCCAGCTCTTCTCGGATGAGAGCTGAGCTGACAGCTGAGTCGGACACCGCTAGGTAGATGTATAAGTCTTCGCCTGGTATCGGCTTTGAGAGCAATGGAGGTGAAGTGAGGTAAGTTTTCAAGTTTTGAAAAGCTACTTCACACTCGTCATCCTACTTGTCTTTGTGTCCCTTCTTCAAGGCTTTGAAAAATGGCCTGCATTTGTCGGTAGATCTAGAGAGGAATCGGTTGAGAGCTGCCGCCCTACCCGTTAGACTTTGTATCTCCTTTGTTGTGGCAGGTGACTTCATGTTGAGTATAGCCTTGATTTGATTTGGATGTGCCTCAATTCCTCTTTGGGTGACTAAGTATCCAAGGAATCGGCCGGACGAGACTCCAAATGTGCATTTGCTCGGGTTCAACTTCATGTTGTATTTTCGGAGTAGGCTGAATGCCTCGGCAAGATTCTCGATGTGGTCTGCTCGCTCGGGAGCTTTGACTAGCATGTCGTCTACATAGACCTCCATAGTCTTGCCGATTTGCTCCTTGAAAATTTTGTTCATTAGCCTTTGGTAGGTTGCCCCGGCGTTCTTCAGCCCAAAGGGCATGACCTTGTAGCAGTAGGTACCTCTTTCGATGATGAAAGAGGTCTTTGCCTTGTCGTCTTCATGCATCATGATCTGGTTGTAACCGGAGTAGGCGTCCATAAAGCTTAGCAGTTGATTGCCGGAAGTTGAATCGACGAGCTGGTCAATTCTCGGTAGTGGAAAGTTATCTTTAGGACATGCCTTGTTGAGGTCAGTATAGTCGACGCACACTCTCCACATGCCTTTATCTTTCTTTGCTACTAGAACAACGTTCGCCTGCCATTCTGCGTATGAGACTTCTTCAATGAAATCGGCAGCTAGAAGCTTGTCGATCTCGGCTTCAATGATGGCGACCCACTCGGGGGCGAAGTTGCGTCTCTTCTGCGCTACAGGCTTGATGGCTGGGTTGACGTGTAGGCGATGGCAGATGATCTAGGGATCGATGCCAGGCATGTCAGATGGTGACCACGCAAATACGTCTTTGTTTTTCTGGAGGAAGGCTACAAGCTCTACTTTTTCCTCCTGGCTTAGGCGCGAGCCGATCCGCGCCGTTCTCTCTGGCTTGTCAGGATCAAGGGGTACTAGCTCAACGTTCTCCTCGAGCTTCCATCATTCTTCAGGATAGAACTCCGGACGGATTCCCTCGACTTGGTCCTGATTCTTTGATTGCTATTGGGGAGTAGTTATTCCCTTTCCTTTATGGCATGCTCGGCCGTCAGGAACGGGATCTGCTTTCTCATCTGCTTATTCTACTCTCTTTAGATCTGCTTGATTCACAGGGAGGAACTGTATTTGCTTGCCTTTCTTCAGCCCTTGAGCTGAGCATTTCCTCGCCATTGCCCGATCGCTGTTGATTTGGCCGATCCCACCCCAAGAAATTGGGTAGCGAATCTTCTGATGCGTGGCGGAGGTGATGTCGTTGATCTTGCTGATCCATGGTCTGCCTAGAATGCCATTGTAGGGTGAGACTTCATCAATGACCATGAACGTTTGCGAGCTGATTACAGGTGGGGCGTAGACGTCAAGCTCTATCGTGCCTACGGTAACCGTTATTGCTCCATTGAAGCCAGTCAGCGACTTGGCTGATTTATTGATCTTTGTCTCTAAACCCATATGTTGGATAACTGTCAATTGTAGGATGTTGGCTGCACTGCCCTCGTCTGCATGGATTCGATCGACCATGGCCTGAGTGATTTGAATGCTGATGACAAGAGCGTCATTGTGTGGTAGATCAAGGCCAATTAGATCTTTCTTTCGGAAGCCGATTACAGGATCGTCTTCTGTTAGCGGAAGGTCGGTTGAGACTTGGGAGATCATAGTGGCTTGTTTGATCTTCCTTTTTTTTTCCTTGCTGGTCAACCTAGATTCCTCGGAGTCAGCTAGGATTGTGTTAATCCTTATGACCTTTTGGGGCGGCTCCTTGGTGGTGTCGCGGTCCTCTATCTGTTGGATGGCCTGCTTAGCGATGAATTCCGTGCAGTGACCTTCCCTAACGAGTTCTTCGAGGTGTGCTTTCCAAGCGAAGCAGTTGTTCGTAGTGTGTCCATGCGTCCCATGAAAGGCACAGTATTTGCTAGTATCCCTCCTGTCTGGATCTCCTTTCAAGGGTGGCGGAATTCTTACCCAAGGTTTGTTTTTCACTTGGGCTAAGATTTGATGTATAGGGATAGTGAACTTGGTGTAGTTCTCTCCTGCCTTAGTGTCCTCTTGTAGGTGTGACCTGCGCTTGTCCTTATTCTTGTTGCTAAATCCATCGCTTCTTTGGCCCGCCCGCTTGGTCTGCCGATCTCCCTGCTCAATGGACTTCTTCGCGGCAATTCGATTGTCATCCTAGAGCGCGTAACGTTCTGCGGTAGTGAAGACCTCTGCTAAAGTCTGGCTGGGAGTGATAGTCAGCTCGCGGTATAACTCGTATTCTGCTGGAAGACCTTTCTTGAAGGCAGATGATGCCATTTGGTCGTCGCACCCTACGATGTTGGCCTTTTCTGCTTTGAACCTCTTGATGTAATCTCGAATGGATTCGTCGGGATTCTTGCGCAGGTTGAACAGATGATCTGGGTTCTTCTTGATCGTCCGATAAGAAGTGTATTCTTTAGTGAAGACATATGCAAGCTCCTTGAAACTGTTGATCGACTCAGATGGCAGGGTGTGGAACCAGTCCTGAGTTGCTCCTCGCAAGGTCATTGCAAATGCCTTGCACATCAGTGCGTCGTTGGCCTTGTGGAGGATCATGACACTTTTGAAGTGTTTTAGGTGGCTCTCAGGATCGGAATCTCCCTTGAAATGCGTAAACGAAGGCGTTGAGAATCGCTTCGGGGGAGTAGCCTGCTCGATTTTAGGGGTGAAATGAGTAGAGATTGCCTGGTCCATCTCCTTACGTAGTGCATCCTCGAGGTTCCTGCCAGTCTTCAAGTCTCGAAGTCGGTCATTCACAAGTTTCTCAACATCTTCCGCGCACATTGCTGGTCGATCATGTTGGCGACTTTTGCGATTCGGGCGACGCTGATTGACCTCCTCGTTGGTCCGCGAGGGTCGGCCCTCTCGTCCGCGCTGCCTAGGAGGCATGTTGGTGGACTGCGTTTGCGAGGGATTTTCTGCAGCTTGACGGCGAGAATTGGTTCTCCGAGAGCGGGCAGTGGAGTGCCTCTCTTCATGATCCTCATTGCGAGGGTTACCGGGTTGACCTCCCTGGGGGCCTAGCCTTTCGTGAATATTTCTCTGCGAGTGGGCAGCGGAGCGCCTCTCTTCACGATCCTCATTACGGCGATTGCCAATTTGACCTCCCTAGGAGCCTAGCCTTTGAAGTACATTTCCTTGCGAGCCCAGGCGAGCACGGATGTCAAGTTGTGGGCCGAGCCTTTCTTGCATGTTGCTTTGTGTGTGGCTTGCAGATGCTCGCGACATGTCGGCAAGCTGATCACGTGATTGTGCATCCCCTTGTCTGCTCACTCCTGCTCGACCTACTTGGTGCCCGTTGAGCTGCCCACCGGTGCGTTCGTCTATTCTTCTCTCTTCGCCTGGTTGTCCAAGGCCAAGATTTTGAGCCACACTTATTTGATTGAGGAGCTGCCTCATAATAGCGTTTTGGTCGTCCATTCTCTGAGCTATCTGGTCAACTCTCATATTTAGATCTGCTTGGCTTTGTGGATCGGGAGGAGAGAAGCGTGTAGAGCCCAATTGCACACGGGCTAGGGTTTCACTGGAGGTGTACGCGGGAGCGTGTGTCGAGCGTGGAGGCAATGAAGGGAACGCTTGAAGTTGCTCCAAGACCGGGCCTAAGTCGGTGGTGGTAACGAGCCCACCCTGATGGGAGGTTCCACCATGTTCGGCGGCGGTGCCACGGAGGTTGCCAGATTCGGTCGCTGGTCCGGTAGGTGGCACGGTGGCGAGAGGTGGTAGTGCCACCATGTCAATCGCGAGATCGTGGGTGGAGTGGCTTTGGGCCGTCACGGATTGAGCCATCACGGCGGTTTTACTCCTCGTGCGCTTGCTTCCAACCATGGTTGTTTGGAAGGCTTCGGTGGATTGGAAAATAGGAGGAACGGATTTCTTGAGCACGCGTTGAGTATAACTCGTGCTCTCAATGAAAGCACCAAATGTTTATGCAAATAATCTCACGGGAGAATATTCGCTTCTAGATCCTTCAACCTTCGATCTTCCTTCTCTCTCTTCCTCGATTCCTGTAAAACAGATTAGAGTAAATAGACCACACCCGGGGGGTGTTGGCCAAAGGCCCTCCGATACCTAAGTTAGTTATAGTGTTTGTAGAAAAACAGTAGCTAAGCAAAGGGTACGGAGTAGTGTTTATGTATGGTGTGAACCGGGCGGCCGGAGCCGTGTGTGGTGGCCGGAGCCGTGTGGAGAAAATATGGAGAGTGGAGAGGGAGAAAGAGCTTTGGGTATTTTTCTCGGGTATAAGGAGTAGGTTTAGATGTACCTTGAATGATGAATGAAGTCATCTATTTATAGGAGCCTCGGGGCTAGGGTTTCGTAGAGAATATGCTGAATTTATTATCTACCCAAATTCGTAGGGATCGAGTTGGACTGAGATAATATATGATTTAATGATATTATCTCTTTTTATGGAGATAATATATGAATTAAATGATATTATCTCTTTTTATGAAGATAATATTTGAGATAATGACATTATCTTCTCTTTATTATGATAATATCTTAATTAATGATATTATCTTATTAAATAAAGATAATATCATTTAATTAAGATATTTATCCCAATTAATTAATTTGCCAGATAAACTGGTTCAATTAATTAATTAAAAGAGATAATCTTCTTTTCCACGTGGCGTGCTGTGATTTGAGACGAAAATATCTGCTCCCACACATATCACACCGCTGTTAGCATAAATGTAGGACCTTTTACTTACCTGATAAGGAGGGAAGTATTTTCATTTTCCTCCCATTAGAAAGAGCTCTAACCTACATGGCTAATATTTTGTACATCAATAAATAAGACGAATACGTCAAGTAAATACTCTACCACTAAAACAAGTCTCCATCGATACAAAACAAATGGAATGAAATGCATGTATGCCAAGGGCCCAATCCTCTTTTCCTATCTCAACCAATATCCAAAACCATCCAAGGCAGCCGCCTCACAATTTAATCCCAACCACACATACAAGTTACAACCCCACTCCTTTATATCCATAACCTCTTTCTCCGTCTCTTTGGCTGCATTATGTACCTGCTGCTTGCTTGCTTGCTTCCCTATGCTCTTTCATTCTCAGTCAAAATATGTGCCGCCGCACACACGAAACAAATGAAAAATGTGGGTGATATTTTATGCACTCACTCAACGAACGGAACTCAGGAGAGGAATATGCGAGCACGGCACCTTTCCCACGTTTTCTATTTTATCAATTAAAAATATCTCGTGACCAAAAAAATAAAAAATTATTAACGCAGCTGAAATTGCTGTCACCTATCTTAGTACTACTATGTTAAATGACGAAAACAACCCTCCCTTCCGCAGTTGGAAGGAACGTTGTCCCCACCTACCCATCTATTCCTCTGCTTCGCGGTATATGCGGGGGTTGTTCTGATCTGTCCATCATTCTAGGTAAGTACACCATCAGCGGTCTAGACATAGGCACTCACGACTCACGACCCGTACCGTGAAGTTTCCAACTTTGAAGCAATGGCAAGATTTTCAGCTGGCCAATTAGCTTTTGCCACGTCATCGGAGCACGAACCTTCGTAGAGGCAGGTAGCACAGGATAGTAATTCGCTCCTTCTTTGCTTACCCCCCTTCGTCCTCGACTTCCTGCTGGTCGTTTCGTTTACAATACGCTTGGTCTTGGTCGCGCTGTCTCTGTCGATTATTTTGCTTTTGAAGCCGAAGCTCCAAGCTCCAGCACTGCACTCGGCGAAAAACGGGCTCACCTGTGATCCGGTTCAGGTATATTTAACCGTCAGCCCGACCCGGATTTCGTCCCTTTCCGAAGCTCAACTCTTTAATTTGCTTCTTGTAGATTTGAGTGAAGTGTCGTCCTTGTCGACGCAAATGAGCACAAGTCAAACGCTTATTCTGCAGTTCGTGGTCAAGTTTTGATTTTTCGACAATCACTGAACATGATGCAATCAGGTACGTAGGATCGCGAGCTTGTTCACTTACAGTCAGAAAGAAAAGAAAATTACAAAATTACTAGTTTTTTGGTTGAATTTGAGTCTGAAAATGCACTGTTTATATAGATAGATTTGGAAATTTTCTGACCCCTTTCATGTTTATAATCAGGGCATTTGGGCCTGTTGACTGGTTTTTTTATTTAAAATTGTTTACAACCATTAGAATTTGCACTTTGTCTTGGTTAATTTCTTTCTGAATGAAATGAAGTAACGGTTCAAATGTGATTCGGCTGTGTTTGGTTTATCTTGTAGTTAATCTAATTTGGAACATCAGTTTTAAGTCTATCCTGCTGCAAATAATTTCATTTTTGTTTTAAATTGTGTCTTAATGTCTGATAGCTCTGTTTTCCTGGGATTCTATGATCTTATGTAAAGCCTGTGCTACGTTGTAATCACAGTCTTTGTAAACTATGGTTCATGGCCATTATAAGTTGTCAATTGGAAACTGTTTGACATGTGTACTATTATGCGTATGTTCTCAGGGTATAATATTAATGATTTGTTTCAAGAAGCTCAAACCCGTTGGCTGAAGCCTGCGGAAGTGCTCTACATATTACAGAACCATGAAAAGTTCAAGCTCGCCCCAGAGCCCCCTCAACAGCCTAGTAGTAAGTCTCCTTTTGGTATTGTATTAGGGTGGCATATTGGTATCCCTATCCTTGTTGTTACATCCACTGCGTATAAATTCATATGCCCCACCTTTTTGTGGTTTTGTAACAGGTGGATCTTTGTTTCTATTTAACAAGAGGGTCCTTCGGTTCTTCCGTAGAGACGGGCACCATTGGCGTAAAAAGAAGGATGGAAGAACCGTTGGTGAAGCACATGAACGACTTAAGGTTTGTTGAAGCAGTCTATTCTGTTATCCTAAATGCTTTCTTTTGTGAAAAAGGTCCTTCCTTATTACACTGAACAGTATTTTTTTTTTTTGGTGTGGGTAGTTATGAAATGAGTAAGGTATTTGTTAGAATGGTTCAGTGGCTCGATGAAGTTTTTTTCTATTCTGAAAAAGTTCCTACTTTATTTTGCTCTGTTTATGTTTTTGCACTAAGCTAATGGGATTAGTACTGAGGTCAATTTATTCCCATATATCAGTTTGAGTAATGACATTTCTTATGCATGATTAGGTCGGAAATGCTGAAACTTTAAATTGTTATTACGCACATGGAGAGGACAACCCAAATTTTCAGAGACGTAGCTACTGGATGCTAGATCCGTGAGTACCTTTATAATTATCATCGAGTTCATTTCCTTATATAATTAAGTTTTTTGTAAAATGTCTGCTTTTGACATAATTATTATGCACATGTATTTAATTTACATCTAACTTCCATTGAGATAAAAGTAGGAATATGGTTTTGTCATAACATGTCGCAGGCTCGATGCTGTTTCCCTCCATTTATATTCGTATCGGTTAGGCTTTAGCATATGTTAGGAATAACATATATGGAAAAGATTTTTGACAAGTTATTATCATCCTTTTGGCAGGGCATATGAGCACATTGTTCTTGTGCATTATAGAGAAATTAGCGAGGTGAGTCTTTAGGACCTGATTATAAACAAGCATATCTCACTACTTCACACCGTGTGTAGAATTTTTTTAAAGCAAAGATGCACAAGCAGTCTTTGGTCTGTCGCTTTAGTTTTGAATTGACATCCCTGCTTGCAATGCTGCATTTCAGGGAAAGTCCAGTACTGGAACTTTTGCACAATCACCATTATCCTCTTCTTCTTTCAGCAATAGTCCGAGTGATAAGACTACTCAAAATAGGGGCTCTATCTCCATGATTAGTGATTTACATGAACCTTATCAGAATTTATCAAGTCCAGGTTCTGTAGAAGTTAATTCAGACGTAGCCATCAAGAAAATGGAAGGGAGAACCCAGATAAGTTATATGGAACTGGGGAGTCAGATAGTTCAGCTAAGTTTGATGTTAGTCAAGCTTTGCGACGGCTCGAGGAGCAGTTAAGTTTGAATGAGGACAGCTTCAATGAATTTGTCGATGATAATCCAAATTCAGATATCATGGACAGGTTCAATGAATTTTTGGATGATACAAATGGTTCGGATATCCTGGAAGACCATAGTGATATGACCAATCAGGATCAGTTTACTGCCTTCCATGGACCAGAATATGTTGTACATGATCAGTTCTATGGTGGACGTGCTCAGATGCAAGGTAATGCAAACAATAGTGGTGAACATAGTCAATTCATTGGTCAGGAATTTGCAGATAGAAACAAAGAATCTGCACCTTGGAAAGAGGTTCTGGATTCATGTAAGCCTTCATCAGTTGTAGAGCCCAAGGAGAAATGCTTATACGAATTGGACACAAATGTGAGTATTACCAAGTATTACATACCGTTCTTTGTTTTTGTCCCCATTTATTACACTTTTACTCAGATATATTTCTAGAGATTGCTAATGGATTTTGGCTGCTTAAATTTTGTATGTATTTTATGAATGGCTTGGTCCCATGTGTCTGAGATGGAATTAACCTCTTTATGTTAATTGCAACAGGAAAAGTTGCCATCTTCTTTCAGGAGTGGACCAACTGAAGGTCAGGAGCATTGTCAGTGGTTAAATTCAGACGGAACTAATGTTAAAAACTGTATGATTTCCTTTTCTCATTAGGAAAATTGGTTTAACACGTCTTTTAGCACCTACTAAATATTTTTCAGACTCTGACAAGTTTCACGTGTTATCAGTTTCTTTGTCACTGCCTGAAGAAGTTGACAGTTTCAAGCTTTCTCCATGTTCTTCTGCGATGGGAACACATTCAGACTATTATACATCGTTGTTTGAGCAAGGCCAGACTGGAACTCTTGATTCAGATATCAGTTTGACTGTTGCACAAAAGCAAAAGTTTACAATTCGGGAAATATCTCCAGAATGGGGTTATGCCACTGAGGCTACAAAGGTATGTTTCGCGTCATACTATGTCTGGTAATGCTCCTTAGAATAATCATTCGGCTAAAATGGAAGTAGTACTCCCATAATGTTCCCCTTGCTTGTTTTATAATTTTCTGGAGCATTTCTGAATCAATCTTCATGTCTCTGGTCCTTAATGGAGTCCTTATCTAAACAGTTCATTCTCTGCTTCACCTTTTTTCATATGATCATTATACTACAAATCAGTAAGGAAAAGTTGGATATGTTAACCTGAACTAAATCACTGAATAAAGCCTGTCACTATCAGATTATCCCTAGTGAATATTTTCCACCAGGTGCTTCTTATGCTACTAAAAGTTTGAGTTATTAGTCCAGATCTTGATGACCAGATATCAGAATTACCAATAATCCAGAACAATCTGTCTAATCTAAACTGTTTCAGAAACCAAATACCATGGTCTTGTAAGGGTAGCCTGTCTATGCTTGACTTTTTATTGGTCCCTCAGACCAAAATGAACTCTACAAAAATCAACTTGGAATGTTGATCTTACATTGTCTGTAAGAAAATAATGAGTTAATACTGTAATTTTGATTTAAGCTGCAATCAACGTATGATCTGATCAGTATAAAAAACAATAATTAAAACCAGTCATGTTCATGGGTACTGTCTTGTGTGCATTTTAGGCCAAGCAGCCTTTTTCTTTTTTAATGTGATATTTACTTCTTTTTTTAAATTTAAAAAATTGGCCAAGTGACAATGCAGAGAACTGTTGAGTATCCACCTTATAACAAAGTCCTAATTCGATAGATTCTCCCTTGGATTTGTTTTTCCCAAAAAAAAAAGGTTCCTTTGTGGAGCTTTTGTTTTTTGTAGTTTAAGATTAAACTTAAAGCCCACGTTGCTCGATGCAGGTCATCATTGTTGGATCTTTTCTGTGTGATCCATCAGAATCTGCATGGAGTTGTATGTTTGGTGACATTGAAGTCCCTGCTCAGATCATTCAGGACGGTGTACTCCATTGTGAAGCTCCTCCTCACCTTTTTGGGAAGGTGACTATCTGCATTACTTCAAGCAACCGGGTGTCCTGCAGTGAAGTCAGAGAGTTTGAGTATCGAGTTAAGAGCAGTAGTGGTACTAGTAACTCGCCTCCAACAGAAACTACCAAGAGTGCTGAAGAGCTGTTATTACTTGTCAGGTTCGTTCAAATGCTCATGTCTGATTCATCAATGCAGAACAGAGATAGTGTTGAACCTGAGACCCTGAGGAGATTGAAAGCTGACGATGATTCGTGGGATAGTATCATTGAGGCTTTATTACTCGGCAATGGAAGTGCATCTAGTAACATATATTGGCTTTTGGAAGAGCTTTTGAAAGACAAGTTGCAGCACTGGCTTTCTTCCAGATCCCATGGACTTGACCAGACAGGTTGTTCCTTGTCCAAGAAAGAGCAAGGGATAATACACATGGTTGCTGGTTTGGGCTTTGAGTGGGCCTTAAACTCAATACTAAGTTGTGGAGTCAATATTAATTTCCGTGACATAAATGGATGGACTGCTCTGCATTGGGCCGCTCGTTTTGGAAGGTAATAAAGCTTTCCTTTTTTTCTTTGGGGTTATTCCTTGTCCAAAAGAGCAAAGGAGTGATACACATGGGTTGTTGGGATATTTAGTGAATATGTTTCATTTCACTTGCATAACACGTTAATATTTCAACAAAACTAGGACAAAGGGTTACACTTACGTATTTCAAATACTTGTTTCATCAATCCAAAATTAGGCAAGGAAATAGCCAAGACAAAAAAAATCTCATATAGGCTAGCTCTTGTGGTGCATCATTCAAATTTTCTTATTTTAACAGGGAAAAGATGGTTGCTGTACTTATAGCTTCCGGTGCATCAGCTGGAGCAGTGACGGATCCCAATTCCCAAGATCCAATTGGCAAAACTCCGGCATCTATTGCAGCCATCAGTGGGCATAAGGGACTTGCAGGCTATCTTTCAGAGGTCTCATTAACTAGCCATCTGTCATCCCTTACACTGGAAGAAAGTGAGCTTTCTAAAGGCTCTGCTGAGGTTGAAGCAGAAATAACTGTAAACAGCATCTCAAACAGAAGCCTTCAGGGCAATGAGGATCAGGCCTCACTTAAAAACACCTTGGCCGCTGTCCGGAATTCAGCTCAGGCTGCGGCACGCATACAATCTGCTTTCCGAGCACATTCTTTCAGAAAACGAAGACAGAAAGAAGCTGGTGTTAGTATAGATGATTATGGTATCAGTTCAGATGACATTCAAGGGCTTTCAGCGATGTCAAAGCTAGCCTTTCGTAACCCACGTGATTACAATTCAGCTGCAGTATCTATTCAGAAGAAATATCGAGGCTGGAAAGGTCGCAAGGATTTCCTGGCTTTGCGCCAGAAAGTTGTAAAGATACAGGTACCTCAGTTTTTTTGCAGAATCGATTTACCATTAATTCATCCTGCACCACATATTTTGAAGTTAGGATTTGCTGTGTGCTTTAGCATTTACCATATGCAGAGCTTACTCGATTGTTGAATCAAGTTGCATAATGGATGAATTGAGAGTCAAAAGGAACCCTCACCTTTTTTTTCTTTTTTTTTCTTTTTAAATCAAATGCACCACGTGGATATAAATTCAGGATGTTGAAATTATTCTACTTAGTAAAATACTATATACTAAATTGGATTATATACTTTTCTTTCTTGACAGGCGCATGTGAGAGGGTATCAGGTCAGGAAGCACTACAAGGTAATTTGCTGGGCTGTTGGAATCCTGGACAAAGTTGTACTAAGATGGCGAAGGAAAGGAGTTGGTTTGCGTGGTTTTCGGCATGAAACACAGTCCAGTGAAGAAAGTGAAGATGAAGATATTCTCAAGGTGTTCCGCAAACAGAAAGTGGATGGAGCCATTGAAGAGGCTGTCTCGCGGGTACTGTCCATGGTTGAGTCTCCAGAGGCACGCCAGCAGTATCATCGCATGCTGGAGAGGTACCATCAAGCTAAGGTAAGCAAGCAAGTCACAGATTTTGATGAAACAACATTCCATGGACTTAGATTTAACTCATGTAAAACATCTATTCAATTTAATCTTGCAGGCTGAACTAGGTGGCACTAGTGGTGAAGCAGATGTACCGAATTCCCTTGATGATACATTCAATGTAGAAGACATTGATATGTATCAGTTTCCCTAGAAGCAAACATCTAATTTTTCTAACTTATGTTGCTCATTGGTTTACCTAAATTTCACTGATCACATAGTAGATGTATGTTGTTAGTATGGGTTCGGTTTGTACATAATGATCTTGGTTAATGATGTAAAGAGATGTTGATTTATGAGTTTTCATATATATTATATCGTTGCTGTTATTGCTTCCTGTTATTGTTGTTGTCAATGTCGTTTTTCGTTTGTTCTACTACAATCGCCCATTGGTCTCATGGATATCACTCTGATATTATTATAGACGGCGGTGGCTCATCCCGAGTGCCGACCCATGAACTCACGAGTCACGACAATAATCTTTTTGTCGTAATCGTCGATATTTAATTATAATTGGCCTCGTTTAGCATGCAGATTCTGATCAGTCAGTCAGTGGACCGACCAGATTCTGATCGTAGATAAATAAAATAAAAAAATAAAGAAAGCTGATCGTATCACTAACTATTAGCCATTCATATAGCCAAAAGGCCAATACTTTTACGCCACGTCAGGTGCAAGTGCTACGTGTCATGCCAAGATGACATGACAAGCTTGGCACTCGGTGTTTGCTTGCTTGTTAGTAGAATCTGGAATGAAAGAGGGGCTTTGTTTTGTTTTGAGTTTAACTTCTCTCTGTGTTGTATGAGATCTCAGAGTGACCCAACAACAACAACTCAGCCATGGATTCGAAAGATGAAAACGTGGAGCTGATTAAGGAGGCCATCAAGAGGCTCTTAGAGGAGAGGAAAAACAGAGATGCCTCAGCTGATGATGATGACGACCGCCTCCTCCTCTCCCGATTGCTCTCTCAGGTTAGTTAATCACCCATCTCAACTCTCTCTCTCTCTAATTAAGCTATGCATGTATGTAAACAAAAGAACCATACTTCCGATTTCTTTTTCCTTTTTTATGAACGAGAGAGGCAGGAGGGATTCGAACACGGACCTTTTACAATCGGCTCTGACCTACTCTATTTGCCTTGTTGCGATATATTTCTTCATTTCTTGTGCAGTATATATACACTGCAGGGTTGGCAATAAAATTCATGAATCCTGTTAATATTTTTGCCCACTGGTTGGATACTATTATTGACAGGTAGAGTCGTTAAAAGGCAACGAGCGACTTCAGAAACCCGAAGCTTTAACGAAACCGGGAGAGTTAACTTCGTCTGCAGATGGGGATCAATCGAAGCCGAAAAGCGAGAGTGGTGGTGACAAAGCAGACGGAGATGACGGTGGCTCCGATGAAATTGATAGAGAACAGATAATCGAAGAACTTAACAAGGTGAAGAGACAGAACACGATCACCCACTGGCTTCTTTCCGTCATGATTGTGCTCACTGTTGCTTGGCAAGCCTCTGAGGTGACCCTTCTCTGGAAATTTAAAGATGGGTTGAGCCACCCGTTTAAATACATTGGAGACATGCTCACAGGGAAAGGGACAGGCAAGGACTCAGAAGAACACAAAAAAGAGGTTCCTCCTCTCCCTTGTCTCAAAATTCCTGAGCTCCCTCACGTGGAGTTGCCAGATATGAGCCTAACTGGCGAACAGCATTGAGCAAATTGCTTGCTTTTCATCTGCCCTGGCTCAAAGATTCAATATTGCTGAATCCCTTGGATTTAATCATGGGATTCTTGAGAGGAGAGCCGTGAATATTGCTACTTCGATAAAGTTTATTCAGCAAATAGTCAATAAGCAGAATAGGAGTGGCCGTATTTTCCCAAGCCTCTTCTGATGAATATCGTCTTTGAACTGTGCTTGTGATTTTTGATTCAATGCAAGATTGAAAGTTACGGAAACGAACACAAAAGATTGTTTTACTCCATCCACAGCTTCACCATCACTCACTGACCAATCGGATTCATCCATTATGAATGTACTTATGATCCCAAATCTCCATCAGATGGAATTACCAGCCCGATCACTAGACAAATCATCTGATTAGTTTAAATGCCACGTCACACACAGAACACAAGGGGCAAAAGAGTAATTGGATCAAGGAAACATTCTTCAATCTTCAAACCTCCAATACCGTATTCATTTTAGACAATTACCCAGAGCAATGTAAATTTCCAATTCAACCAATAACAATCATAAGAATCTCTAAATTCTGGTGACAGAAAAAAAACACAACGAACACTAAACATCCAACCAAAAGAAAGTTCATACTTTCCATTTGAGATCCCTACAACTAAACAGTAATAGGCAGGGAAGAGAGCACACATATTCCCACCCATTGCTGAATGTGAGTGATGATCTTGTCTTCATGCATAGTTCAACCGGAAAATGTCATTGAACACATAGAAGCTTCCCTGTGGAGTAGGCATCAAATGGAACATCTGAAAACGAAAACCATAAAAAGAACTATGATTAGGTAAAAGCAACTGCATATGGAAACAAAAATTTACAATAATAAAGATCATGATGCTCAAATGCCTACATAATTGGTAAATCATGAATAAATTTGATTCAACAAAGGAAGATGGTCAACACTCGGAATCTAGAATGAGTTAACGAAGGAGTTGATTATATACACCTAAACATAAAAAAAATTTGAAAACAATTTTGAGAAATTGGATGTTTAATTAGTTATCTGGGATATATACAGCCTACTAAAATTTTGAAAAAATGCACCAGTAAACGTGTACTGATTTCTAAAAGTGAAAAACTGTTGAGCTCCTGATGAGGCAACGAATAATGATATGCGCTCGGCACAGCTTATATTATTAATTCAAGAGACAGGTAGCTTAAATTAGTAAAATATGGAACTCATAGAAACTCCATGGCTATAATTATAAACAGGGCATGCAAGCCAAGAAGAAGAATTAGAATGGAGCTCTTGTCCTTTTGGGGCACAAGCATACACACACTACATTTGCCAAAGGAGGAGGGAGGGAGAGAGGCAAAGAGAGAGAGAGAGAGAAGATGAAGAATCTTTTTAAATCACTTCACATCAGGTCAGCAATAAGGTTTTTCCTCAATAGCGCGGGGCAAGAAGGCTATTTTCTTTTTTACAATAATGAAATTTTCTGGAGATAGATGCTTAATGCTAGAATTCTCTTGCAGCGTGTCAGTCCTGATATGAGTGGAAGTAAAAGTAGCCAAATTAACATGCCAAATTAACTTTAAACAACCATATATACCAACACAATCATGAACAGCTAGTCAATCACACATCACGACCGAAGCAGAAAACAAAAGGAATCCAGCTGAGTGGCATCCTTGGGTAAAGTAAAACCATCCCAAGTTTTAAGCTGATTTACAACAAACACTGTTGAAACGAATAGCAAATCAATCGGTTTTGAATTGTTATCTTCTACACGATGTCTAAGGACCCCTGTAAAAAGGTGGTGGCCATAAAGAAAAAGGTAATACAAGATCGTTATACAACCTACAAAGCAATTAAAGGCAAGAGAGAACGGATAGGCATAAATTGATCCGACCAATGATTAACAATCAATGAAACAAAGTTATATAACAAGAATGAAGGTTTCTATAACGTGAAATTAGAACATCCAGATTTCGTGGACTTATTGCCATAATTTAGGCCCAATTAAATTGAAACTATGATTTAGTCAAAACTACGATTTCAATAGCGGATTAGTTCACAGCAGAGAGAAAACAGCAGTTTTATGCAGACATTCATACATTATCCACTAAAACCTCAATTTGTTTCTCCCTTCTAGAGAAGTGGACCGCATAGTTCCGCTGGTTGATTTAATAGCAAACAGGATTATTAAAGCAATTCAATCTTCTATTGAAGTATCGAAAATGAGCATAATATTGACAATTGACATGTCAGCAGCAGAAATCGAACAAAATTTAAAAGAAACAAAGTAAGAAATATTCAAATCCACACATGTATCCTTCTTTGGTAGTTGTCAGCATAAGAAATGCTGTACCGCGGCAAGTACAACCTGCATATATGCACACGCGGCCAAATCGGACTGAAACTAAAATTTACAGAAGCGCGAAATAATACACATAGATCCAATCACGACAAAAATCAAATCCGATGCAGAAAAACACCTCATAAATCTAACAAAACCAGTCAATCGAATATAGCAATTCCACTATCGTATATGCACACTAAAGTTTTAAATAGATCGAGGCCAACCTCAACCAAAACCCCTCCAATCTTACCCTAAAAGATTCATAATTCTAATTCTAGCCAGCAGAACCAACGATCGCACAACAGATTAGCAGCAGATCAGCTAAACAGCCACAACTTAAACCCTAAAACCGCCGCAGATAAATAGAAGACATGAAATCGGAAAAGCAAGTATATACCTGGCTGAACTTGAGAGCATGCTGCTCACCGGCAAGCTGGAGATTGCCGCTGACGAAGACGAGCATGCCGCCGGCAGGGCCAGAGGGCTGGCAATCGACGGTGGTGATGCTGTGCTGGCACTGCTGGAAAGGGAGGCTTGTGAGCTTGGCCACGATGTTTTGTGACCCTTGGATCTTCTGACCTTCGAAGGTCAACATCGAACCTTCCTGGTACAAGTTCGCCAAGGCCCCGCGATTCGCGTCGAACAACGTATAGTAATGCTCCACGAATGCTTTGGCCAACGAATCTGGATCCATCTCCGCCGCACCTGATCACCGCCCCCGCGAAAGAGACTCAAAAGACTCTGAAACAGAGAAGGGACTTACTGCAAACAAAGAAGAAACGGTAGGCACGAAGAGAAGAGGAGATCTGCGACCGAGTGACTAGGTTTTTATATATGTTCTGTTTTTTTATTTTATTTTATTTTATAATTGTAATTTTCCAAGTTTTAACCGATATTTAGAGGAAGATATCGCCATGAGATTTACCGGATCGGCCCACCGTATCGCTCCTATTTGCGTGGGTCTGACGCTGGTTATTATTTTCTTTTAAAGCAAGTTTTCTTTATCTTATGCATGAGATTTTATTTTCCTCTTAACTAGCCACTTGGCATGCCCGAACGCATGAAATTTTATTTTTCTTTTAACCACCGTAGTATTTTATAATTTCTCCTCTTAGCATGCCTTTGAGCATGTCAATTGCCTTTTATATAACAATTTAAATTTAAATTTATAGACACTAGCCTCTCCGCATGCACTTCCGCACATGTGAGATGCTTTTTTTTTTCTTTTTTTTTTTATAATTTAAATGAAATTTATTTTAGAATTAAAAAAGATGATGGGTAGTTGTGCTCCATAAAAATAGGATTCATTATCTGATTTTTCTTTAATTTTAATTTTTTAATATGAAAAAGTGTGAATTTATCATATTATCCTCATTTAATTAATAATTTTAATTCTTAATTTTGGATTAATCAGTGACATTTTCTGGTATTTTGAATGTTTCACCATTCTCTGCCTTTTGTTTTATATATATAACAATTTAAATTTAAATTTATAGATACTAGCCTCTCCGCATGCCTTTCGCGCCTGCGAGATGTTTTTTTTTTTTTTTTTTTTTTTTTTTTTAAATTTATTAAATAAATAAATGAAATTTATTTATTTATTAAAAAAAGATGGGTAGTTGTGTTCCATAAAAATAGGATTTATTATCTGATTTTTCTTTAATTTTAATTTTTTTTAATATGAAAAAGTGTGAATTTATCATATTATCCTCATTTAATTAATAATTTTAATTCTTAATTTTGGATTAATCAAGGGAATTTTCTGGTATTTTGAATGTTTCACCATTCTTTGCCTTTTGCTTTATATATATATATATATATATATATATCAGTCATAATCTCTTGGACTACATGGATCCAAGAGATTTGTGGTTATTCACTATTGGATGTAAATTCAACGATTCACTTACTTTTGCACTCCTTTTAAGAAACTTTTTTGAACCGTTAGATTAACATCCAACGGTGAGTGACCACAATCTCTTGGACCCCTATGATCCAAGAGATCGGGGCTGATATATATATATATTAAGAAATTGTATGTAAAATATTTCATGTGGAATAGGAGATCCATTTTATTTTTATATGAAAAAATGTTAATTTACTATTCCATGCTAATTTAATAAATAGTTTTCATTCCTCCTTGTTAATTAGGGGTAGTTTTTGAAATTATGAATATTTCCACCATTTGATGCGATTTTTAAAAAAGAAGTATTGAAGAGGGAGAAAAAGATAATTTAAAAAAAATACAAGTTCATATAACATCAATAATCACTTCACAGTCTAATAAGAGAATATTTATGTTTGTTTTTTTGTCACAGAGAATATTTATGTTTGTTTTTTTGTCACGAAGAATATTTATGTTTTGACACCTATATATTTACAAATGAAGAAAATACTTTATTATAATTTCATATTTTTGGATTTATATCCAAAGACACTCATAACATCCCAAGAGGAAGAATCTAGATTCCTATAGTTTATTAGAAAAATACTTTTTTGTGAATTAGGATAACGTAGAGCCATTATTTCAACATTTTGAAGTTTTTATTTTTTAATTAATCGGAAGGGAAACCTTTTCCAATATAAGAAAGAGAAATGTCATCAAATTAGAAACCATTTGGTAACACTTGGTGATTAGTAAAATTATTCCAGCTTGAACTTCACCAAATCACTTGGGGCTTATTTGGGAGTGATTCTCAGAGTACTGGAATCACTTTTTAAAAATAAAGTCACTTGACTCGATACATAATATTTTTCCGAAAGAAATACTCCCAACACCTTGGTGATTAGTAAGTTGCATACAAGTCATAATGACTCTTCGAAATGTACAAACCAGACAAGAATCATGAGATTTTTTCAAATTATCAACATTGTTGTACAGTTACATCACTGCTACACTGAATCAAACTTTACATCAAACCTAAGTTGAATCAAACTTGAACTGTTAGGGAGCAAACCAAAATGAAAAAGAAAAGGCTGGCTACAAATCTTTATTAACTTTGTTGTAATATACAAGGGCCATTCTCCACCAGTTTCCAAGTAAGTTAGAATTCCTTCTTTCTGCCAAATCAAATCCGTCTCTATGATACTACCACTGACTGATACTGAGAAATGGTTGACCTATCTCTTCAATGATTGCAACTTTTATTAGTACATTTGGGATGGCAATGCAAACCCAGGGCTTCCATGAAGGCATTGTATTTCTCTCACTTTGAAGTCGCTCTTGCTGGAACTTAACATTCCAGGTTACCAACTTCAGTGAAAAGGGCTTGCAGATGGATCAACTTTACAAGGAAGAATGAACCAGCTTTGATGTCTGGCTCGGAGAAAAAAAGAAAAACTAACACTCAAATATGAATATCCCATGTAATCAAGCAGGGCTCCTATATACACTCTCTGCAACAAAAAGAATTGTTCTCCTGAAAAAGGTCAACCAATGGGCAGTGCATTGTCAGTTCTTGATGGCACACAAGATGTTTTTTCATCTAATTTTTCATAATGAACAAGTATAGAACACGAACTAAATCTTCGTCAATAAAGAACTTACTACTGGGAAAACTCTGAATCCATTTAAAGCGTCCCGGAGAAAGAGCACCTGTGCTTATGTCAGCTGCAAGTCTTCAATTCAAATCCTCTCTACAAATTCCCCTTTAAAGTTGATTGGAAAAAACGTGAAACTTCACGATAGAGCTGTTCAGCTTCAAATGGTTTGGAAACATATCCATCCATTCCACACTTTGTGCATTCTTCATGGGTGGCCTGAATTACATCCGCAGTCATGGCCAGAATTGGGACATGCCATGTTAAAATATTTCCATAATCCTCCGCAGAAACTTTGCCATTTTGAATACTGTTGCTGATATTGCGTTCCATATTGCGTATTCGTCTTGTAGCTTCGAACCTGCAGGGGGAAGATTGATGTTATAGGTGTAGTACTAGTGACCAAATATTAACCCATGATAACTAAACTGGAACAAAATTACCAACAAATAGCCTAGTATGCCACATTTATGAATTATCTATGACAGCTAATTAGATGCAAACGGCTGTCATTACATATAAAGTGACTTGTAGGACAGCCCAACAGTGTTCTTTTCTATTTTTGTTGAAGTAAACAAGCAGGGATCTTGCTAAGCAGTAAGCCTCATGCATTTAATGGTATTCAGATCTTAATAAGAAAATGGGGAATGAGGGGAAAAATAAGTTTTCTGACATTTCAGCAAGATTTTCAAATTTAATCTTGAAAAAATGATTCCTTACATCAAAAGCTTTTAAAGTTAGAAGCACCACATACCCATCCATCTCTGGCATTTGGATATCCATGAAGCAGGCATCAAAATGGTGGGGCGGTGTAAGCAGTGAGATTGCCTTTCTACCACTGTCTGCACAGACCACTTCAGCCCCATACTTTTTCAAAGCACCAGCAGCTACTCTTAGATTGACATTATTATCATCTATGATAAGAATTTTTCTCCCAAGTAGAAGTTTGCGGAGAGTCAAACTTGGGAGCTCCCCATTTCGAGGATTACCCTTGTTGCCAACTCCCATGGCTCTTTGTAGTGAGGCAGCAAGCATACTTGCCCTGAGAGGCTTCATGATGACAGTTGGGTTAGAGACAACTGAAGTTGCAGAGTTTATTCTGCAAGAGCTACTAGAATTAGTAAGAATGAACAGCTTCGGTGGAACCTGGCAATCAATTTTCTTTAAATTATAGATGAAGAGAGCTGAAGTGCCCGAATCTTTATCCCAAACTTCCCGTTCAACAAGGACCATATTGACAGTTGTATTCCCACAGCACAAACTGGATAAACCCTGATCCAAATCAGAAACTACTTCAACACGAATTCCAAGCCGTTGGATATGATATCTTGACATCTTGGCCCTAACAGGTCTTTGGTCCACAACTAATGCTGTCATGCCATGAAATTCCGAGGATGGAGCATTTGATTGGCTGTTGATTTGCTGGATCTTAAAATCATCTGAATTACAGAAGGCCTTGGTGAAAACAGCAGTAAATGTAAATGTGGAACCAATCTTTGGAATGCTCACAAATCCGATTTCCCCTTTCATGAGGCCAACCAAACACTTGCTTATGCTTAGCCCAATTCCTGTTCCTCCATGTGTACGTGAGATGGATGGTCCAACCTGCATAAAAGGAGTGAAAACGCGAGATTGGGCTTCTAGAGGGATTCCTACTCCTGTGTCCTCAACAGATACAATAACATTAATGAGATCAGAGGACGATGCGAAATGGCTTGCAGATCCCTCTTGACTGAAACACCTAAATCCTCCCCAGCTACGGCGTCTATCTGCAACAGGGAAACCACTCAAAGTGTTCTTCGATGATGATTCAGTCTCAACATCTATTGAACCGATCAGCTCATTGACAAGATGAACCGTCACAAAGATGTGTCCTTTCTCTGTGAACTGTAAATTAAATAATCAATTTAGCTACTATTTATATGCAGGAATCGGACAACAAAGCTAAGCTTTTTTTCTTCCCTTAAGTTTTTTTAGCTGCTAAAATACAGTATGACTTGAACAAAAATCACAAGGTGATATCCAGGGCAATGAATACTTTCATTCTCACCATGTCAGTCTTTTTCTCTTATTAAGGGAATAAAATTTCATCCAGAAGGCACATTATTTAAATATATTTGGAGGCAAAAGGAAGATGATCTTTTGGAGTCCTCCATTTTTTTCCACTATGTTTAACTAGACTTGAGAACCCACTAGAAACTTACTTTGATTGAGTTCCCCATGAGGTTGGTGATAATCTGCCGAAACCTTCCGGGATCGCCGATAAGCATTTCAGGAACCTGATCTGAGATGTATACTGCCAACTGCTCTCCACAAATTTGATCATGCAAATTCCAGAAATTTAGTTATTAGACATTGAAAACCTTGAGTAGAAAAGCAGAGGTAAAAAAGCGGAATTTTTTTTTCTTCTTGTGGGGTAGGATGGTGGAAACATCATTTACCTCTACTCCTTTTTCTTGAGACTTCCCAGAAAAGAGTGATAAAACATCATCCAGAATTGCCCGCAGATCAAAACGCACTGCCTCGAGCTCCAGCTTACCAGATTCAATCTTTGCTTGGTCCAAGACCTCATTTATAAGTGCGACTAGTGCTTTTCCGCTGGCCTGGGCAGTTTTAACATAATCTTGTTGGGTTACATCCAGGTCTGTGTCCATTAGCATGTGTAACATTCCTGAAAAATGAACAGAATTGTCAAGCTTCAACAAGCTTCTTTTTGGCCTGTACTTTTTTTTTCTAAATATTTGGGCAATGCAGAGACGCGACTTGAACAAATAAAGGGGGCAGTCTCACAAACTCACCTAGGACACCATTCATTGGCGTTCTGATCTCATGGGAAACAGTTGCAAGGAACTACAGATGATTGAGATCTGATTAGGCACAAGCATAGTAGAATCCTAAATAAACTTTTAACTGCATTAACCAAAATCATGAAGTACCTGAGATTTGGCAACATCAGCTGCCTCAGCCTGTTTCTTGAGCTCCATCATCTTATGGAAATCATCCTCCACTTTGGCAATCCTATTTACAGTTGCATGAAATATATGCCCAACAAGCAACGCAATAATGAGGATCCCAATTGAAGTTGTAATGGCTAACCACGGCCATGGTGGCCTGTGCTTGAACCTGTGTAAAGACGAAATTTGGCTTCTGAATACAGTTTTAAAAGACTTTCTAGATGCTTAGGTGCCTCAGAAACAACCAGGGAGAGGACCATAGAACATGGAAATTCAACACTAAAAGTATAAAGCACAAGACTTATTTATTACCTGCAGCGCATCTCATGGATCCTTAAGGGATCTCCAAAACTTAAGGTGCTAATATGCTGCATTCCATCATCTGAAACATTTGAACCGTACATGCTGATTGGATGCGAATGATTGGTAATGTCATACACATTCACTAGGATGGTTTGCTTGCTTGCGAGTTGTTGAAGTAACTTCTCCACAAGTGACTCGATATGAAAGACTCCACCAAGATACCTGGTTGGCAGAAACAACAACCTTAATAAAGCTTCTTCTGAATTATAACCAGGGTGAATCTTCTATATTTTCTAGCATGTAAAAGCAAGCCTTGCGGATAAAACAAAGGAATGTGAATATGCTACTTATCTACAGAAAATTACAATATACTTTTCTTAAAAGCATGTTCTCATTAAAAAAAACATACCCATCAGTAGCTTGAATTCTTTCATTTGGAGTTGCATTTGAAGGCAGATCTCTTTTGTAGACAGCAAACGTCAATATTACTCCAAGGCGCTTTGTTTTAAGCAGCCGAAAAGGAGCAGTTAGAACCCCCTTTCCCGATTCTCTTGCGCGCAGCACATTTTCTCGATCTTCCTGTTGGAACACAAAGGAATTAAACTTCACGATTGAGGATCACAAATCAGGAAATCGACTTTTTTCCTATATAGCATGAAAAATGTTTGAAATGTTGGAAATGTTGAAGAGCTTTCTATACTGTAATCTATGAGTTGAAAGGCCAGTTCAGCTAAAAAATTATCAGGCTATTAAGATAGATAAAGGTTCTACCATCCATGTTTTGGATAGATCACCCCTACAAAATAAAAATAAAAATTCTTGAATAACTACTAGATGACATGCTATTTTAATCAAGATGACACAGTTTTCAGTCAGATCTACCAATAAAGTTGAAGAATGAATTACAACAAGTTGACAACAAAACACAGAATCTAGATAAGGAAATACCTTCCCCGACAGCATATCAAAAGAGATGATGTGTGCGACGGTATCCTGTGCAAAGATGACAGGAGCATATTCTTCCTGAACTGGAGATGGTTCCAAGGCTTCTGGGGAATAGTCATTCTTATGATCTGGGTTTTGTTCGAGGGTATCCATTCTCTTGATAGTCCAGCCCTGCTGCTTCTCAAATTGTTCCTTTTCCGAGTGGAGCACCCTTACAGCATATGCCACACCACTCGTGAGGGGCCTCTCAAAAGCAGTTCTTTCAGTGTACCTCGCAAAAGTTTCCTATAGGTTCAGAAGGTTAGGATGTTCTGCTGACTAGATGCTAGTTACCATAGCTAAAGAAAACTCATATCTGACTAACATATCAAATTAACATTTGGTCAAGAAACCGCTACTAAATTCTTCAAATTTCATGTCCTCAAGTAAATCCTCACATGACAAAAGATGCATCAACTAAGAGTCTAAGACCAACTATAAAACAATATAGTTAATTAACAGACGGGTACTTGATCAATTACTTGCAATTTGAGTAAACATACACTCAAGTCTGGTAGTGAATCAAGCCATATATACCATTCTAGGCTGAGGACCAATGACAAAACAAGGACACAGAAAGCAGTGAAGCAGTGAAGCAGTGAAGCACTGACTGGTTGGTGGATGAATATAAATTTCAACACATTTGGCATCCTGAAATTGCTCAGAGATGAAAGATGATCTAGTTACCTGGTCAATAGCAGATGGGTACTTGGCATGGTGGAAAGTCGAGATCAGCATGGACATGGCCTGAATATGGTTCATGCTCACATTAAATTGATCCTGCAACATCCTTGCCCTCTCATCACACATACTTGCAAGAGTTTCTTTCCTCTTCTCATTAGCTTGTGAGCTCATGTACCAGAAGATCCATAGGCTCCCAATCGTCCAACCAACCACCCATGAAACCAAAAGCCTTTTCCACCAAGTTTTGCGGACTCTCTTGGACCCAATATACTGGTAGTAATGATGACGGATCTTACTAATATTCATTGGGATCTTCTCCCACCATTTGAGGCACATCTTTCCACCATCACCAAGCAAACCAGCCTTGGTGTCCATAATACCACCAGTAAGGTACCAGTTCATGGAAATCACTGATATAATCCAGCAACATAGCATCCAAAGTAGATGCCCCACCTTTAAACCAAACCCAAAGACATGGAAAAAACTCATCCACAGCAGTAAACAAGGGAAGTTAACTAACAACAGTGCCAAGATGAAGTGACTCTGACTTCTTGTTGATTCCAGGTGGAAACGAAATGCGAGAGAGAGAGAGAGAGAGAGAGAGAGAGAGAGAGCCAATCAAATCTACAGGAACTGTCAAGCTAAACCCAACATTAGAAAGAAAAATCCAAACTTGGAAAAACAAATCCACCGACCTCCAATTCACTAAACCAGGCAGATAGATTGCAAAGGATGTGTGGGTGTGGGAAGATGTTGAAAATGTTACCTTATCCACCCACCAAATAACTTCCAATTGGAGAGTGCAAGCAAAACCAGGTCCCAAAATTAGGAAAGACAACAAATTTACAGCACTCCCAATCCCAAGAAGAACCAAAGAATCCCAAGATTCTGGTTTCTATTATAAGAAGAATTTGATTATCCTCTTGAGCTACCAACCAAAGCCCAAAACAAGCAATGGGGCCAAACTGGGCAACAAAGATTCCAAATTTAGTTATCAAATCAGAAACAAACAGCTCCCCAACAAAGAATCTGGAAGTAAATCTAGTCTAGGAGACTCCTTAAATTCCTGAAATCAAAGCAGAGCAAGTTGAAGCATGTGGGTGTTGTTAAGGTTTGACTATTGAGTAAGGCAAGCTGAAGAGATGTATTATGATGCAGTGGAGCAACACGAACACTATGAGGAATAAAGATAATGGTGGAAGAAGCAGTTTTGGGAGAGAAGGAAGAAGCTAACAAGTGTGGATTCATGGACACTAAGAATGAAGAAGAATCTGTGACTGTGAGAGATAATTTAGAAGAATATGATGGTAGAAATGTCTGCTAGCTTCACAGAGGGCCATTATCTCTATCCAAAAACATCCACCCAAGCGAACAATTAAAAATTAAAAATTAAAATGATTAAATAATTTGTTTATAGAATTACTTACAAATAATGTCATAAAAATATTTAGAAATTAAGGGCAGTAAGGTATACTTCCCTTCCCACTCAGCAGATATCCCTGCTTTTTTTCCAACTTTCCCTTGCGTTCACATCCCCATCCATCCAATGCCCAGTAGACAAATTCTACACGCTAAAGGAAGGCGCCAAGTCGTTAACTCTATGTGTTTGTATGGCTGTACTTTGATTGACAAAAGTACCCTCTGCATGGAAATCAAATTTCACTGATGCCCATCTCTTGCCTTTGGTCCTTTCTACCAAATGGCATTAGATACCCCGTACTTTTCCGAAATTGCCATGAGAGGACCAATAGTCAAAAGAGTAGGTAAAGAGAGAAGGCCCCAATGATAGGAACTTCTAAGAGGTGCCATTATGCTGCTATCATCCTCCTCCTCATCCCCTGTTTTGTTCTCGAATCTAAGCCCACTGTTTGGTTGCAGGCTCAGTGTTCTTTTTATTCTCTTGTTTTTGGATTTTAGATTGGGTTGATAGGGTAACTTTTGTTCCATCTTACATTTTTATAATGATGTTCACAACTTACCATTGGGCATGAGAAAAATGCCATCTTTAGTTAACTGGTTCATTGTTCTAACACAAAAGTCAAGTGCTAAATATGTTAAATATGGCTCAAGATTCCATCACTGTTAATATGATGCCTCATTTCAAAGACTCGAGCACGGAATTGTGGGTTAGGCCAGTTGATAAGGATGGTGTGAACGTCATCTTACACTTGAGTTCGAAAATTCCTCTTTGTAAATTATTTTTTGATACAAGAAACATCATAGATAAGAATTTTATATAAGAAAATAATGGTTAAAAATAAAGTTAAAACCAACCCCACCAATGATAAAGGAGTTTTGTTAATACATATGTAGTTGTAAGCAATCTTCCTCCAACCTAAGCGCAATAGGGTAGGCATCTTTATAGCTTTTATTTTTATTTTTCCAAAACTTGTTTACCATATAGGAAGCAAACAAAGAAACAAAAGTTGGACAAGGAACAAGGCATGGAAGCAAATAGAACCCAAATGCATGGGCAAAGTTTGTCAACAAGAAGATAAGCAGCTACAGAGAGAACCGGTTAGACGACAACAGTGGCAGAAGAGTAAATTTGTGATAAAGCAGGGGTAAGAACACAAGGGCACTTTAATCAAGGCTTGTCACGAAGTGATTAGGCCATCACTACTACTACCCACTTCCTTTTTTTGGGTCCTCCTCTCTGGGTGAGCTCTTTCTGAAAGCGACCCTCCCATCCCACGTCAGCGCACCGGTTCTCCAGCGCCGGCCAATCAGAATGTCCAATGTGTAATGTCCATAATGACCCTTTCTTGCTACGTGTCAATTGTGGGGGAGAGGATGGAAAATGTGAGCATCTCTCTCCCACGTGTACTAAAAGCCTCTCTCTCTGCTCCGCTTCGACAAACCTTGTCGGGGCCTGCTGTTCAGCATCGTGTTCAGGTTCGGGTTCGATCAACTTTTGTAACTGTAAAAATTGCTTCTTCACTTCACCGCAGCTTTTGGTGAGCAATAATAGTTTTTTAATTTCTTTCTTCATATAAAATATTTGGATCATTTCTTGATTTTATTATGCGCTATTTCTTATGCATGATTTGCATTACTTATTTATGTATTGACCACATTGCATCAAATGTTCAATAGCTCATCTATTCAATCATTTTCCTTTTTTTTTGTTGGATATCTCATCCGTACACATTCGATACAATATCATCTTGATATCATCGAAAACAGTTAAAAAAAGAGTTTTCAAATGTGGATTTATGTCCAGTGGATCACACCAATTAAGAAAAAGTATTTTATTGTAGTTCAACTTGTAATCTTTTTTTCTGGTCGAAACCTGTAATCATATAAAAAAAATGACGATATAATTTAGAAACATTTTTTCCATGATTCATTGCAGAAAATTGATATAATCTACTGCTTAGAGTTGTAAAGCATCACTCATAGAACAAGTGGTTGTGTATGATAGGTGAGAGTCGGAGGTTTTGAATTCAAGAATTCTTTGGAATCATAGCTCTGATACCATGCTGGACAATTACTAATTACATTCCGAAAGTTTAGGATATGTTTGATAACCATTTCAATTTTAGTTTTTAGTTTTCATTTATTGTGCTAGAGTATAGAGGAAAATAAGAGTGAGAATGAAAGTAGGGATGAGATTGAGAGACCCTTAAATTACAACCAACAACAAAAAAAAACTTTGATTTAATTGAAGTGTCATTCTTAGTGTACACCTACACCTAAAAGTAGAAATAGTAGCCACACCCGCACCACGCATACTAAATATATACTTAATTACTGGGGAGTTTCATTGTAGTAAATATGATGCGTGCGAGCAATATAAGGCTTTTCAGGCATTATTAATTGTACCGTACCAACTGTGAATTAATAAGATTATATTATTTTGTCTTTGTGTTAAATGGTGTAAATAAATTGCCTCAACGGGTAGATTTCGTAGTTCTTTTTCCATTGGATCCACAAATTGTACTTGGTTTGTAAGGAGGGATACAGTTTTGTCCTCTCAGAGGAAAAATTTATTTTTATGCCAGCTCATTGAAGTAGCATGCAGGGCCTAATTGAATTTTATACTTTCAACTGGTTTTTATTTTATTATTATTAATAGAATAAAACAAATACATATATATATATATATATATAAATTATGGAGACAAGGAAACAAGGTAGCCAGCTTATTTCTTCATCTGCAAAAACCTGCTTCCGATAAAAATGGTGGCTGTCGAAGACCCTTAACCCCTTTCGTATTTTGCTTTTTCATTTTTGGTCTGGTTAGGTTAGGTATTGTTCAACTTATAAAGTCCAAATGCTTAGAACATAAGATCGACATCACCGTCATAGCAAAGGACATAATTACCCACCTCATCAAAGGTTGAAGAATTTTGATACTCATTCTCTCATGCACGCCTGAGTTATAATAATTGTTGATTAATGTGAATTTCATAATGAGTCCATTGTATATGATTAATATAACTATCAATCGGTCACGTACACACGTGACAATTATTCACATTGGCCGGCGCTCTGCATCCAAATATACAGAAAGAATTGCGTTATTTATATAATGTAATCCATCAAAAATTACTTTGATAGTACATATTTGGAAGCTTCGATCAGCAAGCGACCAAATTGAGGAGGAGTTTAAAATAAATATAGAGCTTGAACAAGGGTATGTCCAAACCGAATAACATAATAAAATTGAAAGGTGAAAGGTGAAAGACAGGACAAGTTTCAATATCGATACCCACCTAATTTACAAAAGCAAAATTAATTAATTAATAATAAAACATACTTTGGTCACTCTCAACAAAGCTCCCTTTCAATTCATTAACAAACAAACTAGGTGTCAGAGATTACGGCATCCCACCCGCCCAGAAAAGAATCAGCTTGTTACAAAGAGAGAGAATAAAGGGTTAAAGCTGTCTATGAAGCATCTCTAAACCCTACTTAATTATTAATCTCATGATCAAGAGAAAGTAATTTGTGTGAATTACGTTATAATATTATTAATATTATATAGCTGTTTCGTTCTTGCAAGCCATGTTAGGATGCTGCCTGCTGGCGGCCACCGCCGAGGACTATCCCACGCGGCATGTTATGGACGGTTCGATTGATTGTCATTGGTGGGACCTAGAAAGTTCTCAAGGACTCTGATCCAAGGAAATTTGGCATGTGTTGGTTTAAGTGTTTTAAAACACTGCACTAATCAAATTGATTAGAATAATTAATTCAGATTATTGTTGGAGGTGGACCAACCAGTCCATTTAGTGTGTCTCTGTGTGATAGGGATGTGTCCACATGCTCGCTCGACGGTGGGAATTTGCCAAATTTTATTGCTTCCCAACCTAACATCTCATCACACCAAGAATAAATTGGAACTGAAAATAGGTTTTTTTTTTTTCTTTTGGGTGTTTTGGGGTTATCTGAAGGAA